TAGAGCACACATTTGAAATCGAGAATCGGGCTCGATATATGGTTAAATTAAAATCAGTAGGCGAGGCTGTAATTTCGCCAGCTGTTACTCTCATGAGCGAGGCAGAAAATAATAGGTTTAACATGCCAAAAAGCTGCTCTGTCGTTTATTGCACCTCAAACATTAAAACAAATCCAGAGTTACGTGTTTCTGTACTTCCTCTAAGAACAAAGGACAGTAAAAGAAGATGTGGCTTCAGGCTTGATCGCTGTTCAAATAACAGCGTTGGTTTCCCCAAAAGTGGGCGGGGCTGTAAAGTGACGTAGATTTTACTCTCATATAATTATTCAAAACCATTCTATTTATTCTAACGTAAATTACATGCCAGTGTTTTATCTTTTTTTTAAAGTCTGCTTTAAGGGTTGTTTATATTTCACATCATTAATCAGAATCTGCAAAGTAACTAAAATAAATGTAGTGGAGTAAAAATACCAGGTTAACCTCTGAATTGTAGTGGAGTAGAATTACAAAGTAACAATGAGCTGTCATGTGGGATATATTAATGCTGCCCATTATGGATACAAGCGATTTTCACCCATTTAGTAATTACATGTTTTAAATGTGTACACACCAATGTGTTTCATATTGCCTAAACCTCCAGGGCTGTACACAGTTTAATACTGTCAACTTCTAATTTTGGGAAAAACAAAAACGTCTTTTAAAACTACAATTCCCAGTAGATACGTGCCATAGAGAACATGTTGCGAAACACAATAGCCAGTATGTGTAGTTCTCGGGGGGCGTTCGAGTCCAGTTTTGAATAGTCTGCCGTGGTTTCGTTCCATTTCAAAGAGCTTGACGCTCGGCGTAACCTTGGCGCACTGCCACTCCAACATCCAATCCCAGAGCTTGAAGATTAATCACAGGGTTTGTCAACGGGACTGTAGTCCCAAACGATAGCTGGGGATTATGGGTAGTGTAGTGTCTTCGGCCATCCTAAACTGAATTTTTTTTTTCGGATATCATATCGCATTAACAACACCACATCTGGCGTCACAGAGATCTTCTGTTACTGTCCTTTCTTCTTAGAGGAAGTACAGAAACACGTAACTCTGAATTTGTTTTAATGTTTGAGGTGCAATAAACGACACAGCAGCTTTTTGGCATGTTAAAACTATTATTTTCTGCCTCGCTCATGAGAGTAACAGCTGGCGAAATTGCAGCCTCGCCTACTGATTTCAAATGTGTGCTCTAAAATGATATTTATAAATGACTATTATCATTATTATAAGCAAGACAATAAATGCCAAAGATATGTAGAAAATAAACGTCTTTAAGATACGTTCATAAGAAACGTGCAACAAGTCCTCCAACTCATACGACCAAATGGGTCGATTGTTTAAGCCCTTATTACGACCAAATATGTCGTTTGTTCAAGCGCTTAATACGACCTATAATTACGTTTTAAAGTTGTCGGCCTCTAGTGCTCCCGTTGAATGCAAACGTTACAGATGGTCGTTTATTCACAAATAACCCTCTCTGTAAAATCCTAAATTGTAGGATAGTTTGGCCATTAAAACGCTTTATGATTAGATTTCTAGCGAGAAGTATATATTGTACTTTTAGAATCCACGTCCAGTCGTTATGTAGGATCTATAGTTCGATAGATATTACGAAGATGATTTGAGGTTTCGTCAGGAGAACGTGTACATGCGGCAAGCGTCCATGTAAAGTTACGGGTTGAAAACAGTATTTCCAGTCTCGACGTTTTCATAATAAAACCAATGATCAAATGATTTAACAGTGATATCTGCAGTACTCATCCACTAAAAAACATCAGTTTATCCTAGTTAATTATACGACATTAATTGGTTTAAATTGTGTACAATGCTTTTGTGTTTTTCCCATAGGGTTTTCTCTTTCGATTCTGAGAGACACATTTCTTTTTTTAGAGGTTTTGATAGGCTAAAATCACGCCGCAATGCACGTCGGGATATGGTGTTTATGTGATATGAAATCGGAAAACATTAAAAATAATAATAATAATACTTTATTCCGAGTGTTCTTGCTTTTCTCTTTGAAAGTCATCACATAACGGCATTGTAATACACGGTTCGGCTGCATTAAATATTACATATCTGCCGTAGATATGTATTTATAGAGCCCTGATCAGAAGACCTTTTGACAAACTGGAAGAGATGCCGCCAAAACTGAATACGTGACGTGGACCATAACATATCAACAATTAAACAACATCTTCCATTTCTTTTCACACAATACGTCTCCTTGCAGTATCAACACTAATTCGGCTGACTTTTATATTTGATCCAATAAGTAGATAGTCTGTATTTACACCATAACGGTGCACAGCTGATAGAAAGGGATTACTGATTTTCTGAACTACCTTTCCAACTCCTCATGCAGTTGACTGTTACAGGTCTATAAAAGTTTATGGTACAATGCATAAGCTTCACACTGAGAGACTGAAACTGTATTTTCCTTTACCGTTCTGTTTTAATTTCACAATAAAGTGAATAGTCATATTATGTTTGATATTATTATGTTTTATTAACTAGACAACTGGTCTAAAACGTACCTCCTAGTGGTTAAAGCACGTTATTGAATTTAGTTGTTGAATAAGTTTAATTTTTATGAAAACATTTAAATATTAAGAGTAGCCTACATATAAAATAGGGGTCAATTATAGAAATATAGAATTGAAAATATCAAGAAGATACTGTAGTGATCTCTACAATAAAACAGTTTAGTGCAGGACGTCCAAAGATATTAACAGGAGGATGTGCAAAACAGACAAACTGATAAGGCTGAATTTTACTCAGGTGTAACGAAAGTCTGATTTAAGGGTTGTTTATATTTCACATCATTAATCAGAATCTGCAAAGTAACAAAAATAAATGTAGTAGAGTAAAAATACCAGGTTGACCTCTGAATTGTAGTGGAGTAGAACAAAGTAGTACATGCTGCTGTAACAAAAACATTTCCCAACTTGGGATCAATAAAGTATCTTATCTTAAGATGATCGATGGCTACTGCCATATTTGCTAAATGTGCATCTGAACCTTGACAAGTGCATGTTTCAGGCTTATCAATTAACAACAGGAGGGGTCACAGACATAAGACCAGCTGTTAAATAAAGCTCTTCTGACCTTAGCTGTCATGTGGGTATATTAATGCTGCCCATTATGGGCACAAGCAATTTTCACCCATGTATTAATTATATGTTTTAAATTTGATAACACCAATGTGTTTCGTATCCCCTAAACCTCCAGGGATGTATACAGTTTAATACTGGCAACTTCTAATTGTGGGAAATACGAAAACGTCTTATAAAACTACAATTCCCAGTAGTGACGTGCCATAGAACATATTGCGAAACACACAATAGCCAGCATGTGTAATTCTGGGGGGAGGGCTGGGCTGGACCCGTCCAAGTCCAGTTTTGGATAGTCTGGCGTGGTTCCATTCCATTTCAAAGAGCTGTTTGACATTCGGCGTAACCTTGTCGCACTGCCACTCCAACATCCAATCACAGATCTTGAGGGCTAATCACGGGGTTTGTAAAGCAAGGCGGATGTTGTAGTCCCAAACGATAGCTGGGGATTCTGGGTAGTGTAGTGTCTTCGGAAACTCTGTAGTGTCTAAACTCCGAAAAAACGATTTGTTTCTCCGAATCGAAGGTTAAAAACACAAAAGCATTGTACACAATTTAAACCAATCAATATTGTGTAATTAACAAGGATAAACTGATGTTTTTTAGTGGATTAGTAATGGAGATCATTTGACAGTGTGGGGAATACTTCCGGTTTTATTATGAAAACTTCGAGACCGGAAATACTGTTTTCACCCATGCTAACTTTACATGGAAGCTGCCCCATATACAGTACACGTTCTCCTGGCGAGACCTCAAATTATCTTCGTATATCTATCAAACTGTAGATCCTACACATCCACTGGACGTAGATTATAAAAGTACAATATACACTTCTCGCTAGAAATCTAATAAAAAAGCATTTTAATGACCAAACTATTCCACAATTTAGGATTTTCCAGAGGGTAATTTGTGAATAAACGACCCTCCGGAGCGTTTGCAATAGACAGGAGCATGTTGTTTCTTACACAACCACTAGAGGTGCTACACTTTAAAACGTGACTCTGGGTCGTATTTAGCTGCTGAACAATCGACCTATATGGTCGTTTTTTGTAGGAGGACAGGTTGGAAACGAACGTGGGAGAAAATATGTTTCTAGAAGATATGTAGAAAATAAACGTAGGCTATTTGAGATACGTTCATAACGAACGTAACGTGGGAGAAAATACGTTTCTAGCTAAAAAATTGAGAATGCAGTTTAGTTCTGTGGGAACGTAATTTTTAGGAGACAGGGTTGCCCTCGCAGTGCTGGTCCAGCGAGCCGTTTGGTTGATGCAGAGCGGAGTGCACGTTCTGGGGTGTATGGTTTAACCATGTCCTGGATGTAGGAAGGGCCAGATCCATTCGCAGCATGGTACGCAAGTACCAGTGTCTTGAAGTGGATTCTAGTTACTGAAAGCCAGTGAAGGCAGCGGAGGAGCGGCGTGGTGTGGGAACATTTTGGAAGGTTGAAGACCAGACGAGCCGCTGCATTCTATTAGTCAGAGTATTACATAACCAAGACCTATTTAATTATTTGTAGTGTTCTGCTTCCTTGACAACATACAGTAATCTACAGTTAACACTATACCATTACAGTATTTCTCCTTCCTCATTGTCTTGTCTTAAAAACCTTCGGATGACGCAGCAGTTTAGCTGGCGATAACTTTTACAGACTTGACTGCATAATGTGTTGAATTAAACAAAACATTTAAATGTAGCCCAGGGGAAGATTGTAGGTGTTTAACTTTCACTTATTGCTGCAGGGAAAGCTCCTATGAGACGGAACACACCTACAGACCGTATGAAGCTCAACCTGTTACCACACCTGGCTGCTTCTGAAGGTAATCAGATCCAGCTGGTGGGACTGCTTCTCTCGCTGCTTCCCTCCTCTCCATTCCTCAGCAGCACGTCATTGTATTCAATACACCTCGCATTAATTCATGTTTTGGATCGATGGTAAAAACAAACACTTGTTTTTAGTGATGCAAGCACTCATGTCGTCGATGCAACGTGCAGCTGCTGCGCAACCAGTTTGTTTCTGCCTCCTTCTCTTTTTGTCGCATTGGATTTAAAGGAGAAGCGGAGTTATTGAATATGAGAGCACACTTATATATGTTGGCTGTTTTTCTATATCTGTGAGCCGTTTGTGACAGGAAGACATGATTGTCAGAAACTCGAATAGTGTCCTCCGGTGATAATTTTTGGGGCGCCCACAGGGAGGTCGAGAGAGACACCCGGAGAAGATCCCTCCGGACAGTCTAACTGGAAGGCGTCCAGCTGGCGGGCTGAGCAGGTAGGATGAATGAAACTGGAGGGGAATAGTGTTTGCAATGTTGTTGATTGGATGCATTGTCACATGTCACAGCCCAAAATACTTCCACAAAATAAAATCGGTCGCTCGATACGGATTGTTTTTTGTTTTTTGCAAGCGCCACTCCAAACTTCATCCACAAACCGGGCAGTTTAATGTTGTGTGGCTGCTTGGAACCGACCGTATGTTGCACAGCACATTTCAAGACATTTTACACATTAAAAAAAGGAGTCGTTAATACGGCATAGCCTTCAAGTAATTATGCAACAACTTAATTTGATGATACTTGGTTGGTTTAATAGTTAGTTCTCCTGCTAGCTCAACACTCCCTCAAATGATCTGCAGAGGCCAGTAGTCTGCTGTGCGGCTGCTTTGTGGAACATGTAATTATTTCTAAACGTAATGCTTCATGTGAAATGATGTGCATGCCGGATTCCCCTGGGGATATAAAACATCGTACTGAGGTGAATAAGGACGTTTAATGCATGTGTATTCTCTCAATAACCACGGCCACCTTAAATTGTTGAGTTCTCTACTGGAGTTTGGTTGATTATTCGTTGAGAATTGGCCGTGTGTTATTTATGATACAACTCCATAGCACTGCAGAGGAGCCTGTGTATACGTTTTTAGAACGAATGTTATAAATATAGCACATCTCTGGCCCTTTGCTTGACAATACATATGTGGGTAACTTGTTGTCAAATGTAGGCCATATAGAAGCTGTTTCACCAGAAGCTATTCAATTCTGGAATAGGCCTTTAAAAATAAATAAAAGCCATTGTAAAAAGGGCAACAAATCTGACTGCAAGGTATGTATTCACGTATATTGTCAAACAAACATCAGTATTTATTTGTATTTATCCCCCTCGTCATGTGAGGGGAATTGTTTGGGGTCCCACTACCAAGCTTAAGAGATTCTGCATGAGACATTTGCTAAGTAAAGTTATTTGTAGGGCTGATTTTGCACTCATAGTTCTGTTGATCAGAGTTCAGCAGTGAGTCATACGCACATGTTTTCCCTCCTGCAGACAGCAGTGCACCTCAGAGCAGAGGACGCAGTGAAGGGCAGCATCCAGAGACCCACCCTGCTGGATCATGGGAAACCAGACTGGGAGAGAAAGTCATGGCACCACAGGTACCTCAGTCATTTTACTAAGACCGACAATGTTAAGACTGGTGTTGTCCTGGTTCTGAGACGGAAAGTGATTAGCAATCAGATCCAAATGTGTCTTCTGAAGGTTGTTGTCCTTTGGTATGCAGAGTAACAGGACCCTTTACACAGAAGAGGTAAGCTTTGTGTGCGTTTTATCTTTTGCGTTGCAAAATAATACAATTGAGGAATACTGAACTTATAGAGAAAGTGAGAACGTCATTGTTAATTTTGGTTGGTATTCCTTGCTTTAACACACCATGAAACATCAATCTTGTTTACCTGAGGTCACCATCATTTCCAGAAAAGGCAAATACCATTCATTATATCCTTTTGTTTACCCAACAGGTTAAACAGCGGCTGCTCTATCATGAGCATCACATTCCCGCTCTATAGATTGTACCATGTTTGTGTCACATCCGTTCTGGTGTGAGATACTGTATGATCATAGAAACATCATGACACACAGGAAGTGATGAATCCAAACTTTGCAGAGAACTACAAACTGTATCCCAGAGGAGACAATAAAAGTTGAATGGTGCATTCAGTGTCCTTCAGTTCAAAGCATCAGAGTGCAGCTGGGCTAAAGTGTCATAACGCCCCGTGCAGCCTTCCTGTTTTCTGTCTGAAGACCTTCAGCCTGCCACTGCTCAGTTTAATTATAATTCACAGCTGTTTAATATGCTGCTCTCTGGTTCCTCTCTGGGCTGGCACTATGCAGGAAGTAGGCTCAAGCTAGAGGATGAAAATAGCTCCTCTACTGTAGCAGAGCAAACTACATCATGCTGCTGCCATATAATTGATGAGTCGGCAGAATCCTGAAGCACAACAAAAGGACAAGGAGGGGAAGCCATAAAAAATCTGAGGCGATGGAAGTGTAGATTTCTGTAAGCCTGCCAAGTTCTGTGTGAACAACATACAAGCATCATACAGAAATCACAAGCCTTTTGGTGAAAGTTAAAGTGGACCTATCATAATATATTTGAAACATATATTGTAGGGCCATACCTATATAAAACATGTCTGTGAAGTTTTTTTTTCAAAATACCAAACAGATCATGCATTTTAGCCATGCCTCATTTTCGCTCTATTTGCTCTTTTCCAGCCCTGTTTTTGCAAGGGCTGGTTCTGCTTTTGTGGCAGACTACAGCGCCACTTACAGGCCTGGCATATGTACTACAGCGTCTCCAGTGCTTTCGAGCGGTCTCTCATTCCCCTAATAGGTGGAGAGTTGCCCATATAGGCGGTGCACCCCTTTTCTGTCGTCAGAAAAATTCAAATAATAATCAGCTCCGTTGCAGCCCCGTTTTTAGAGATTTGGGTATGGAGGAAAAGAGAGAGGGTTGGGTTTTCTGACACTTGGTGAGTTCCCTGACACACCGGGGACACATATTCATGTTTAAAAGACGTACAAAAGTGCATTTTGCATGATAGGTCCCCGTTAAGATATCTCAGGATACAGAATCCAAACTGCTAAACAATCACTCTAAACTCTTTTAAAACTGTTATTCAGAGGAGCATGGTTAATGCTGACCACAGGCAGCACTAATGATGGATGTAATCGCCTCCTGGTGGCAGTGAGAGCAGCTGTTGGATAGTAGATCAGGGAGAAATCGCCTCTCCTCCTCCTGGATGTTGCCACACGGGGGAAAAGTGTGTGAGTGTTTCTCCTGCCAAGACACTGGCAGCAGAGGCTTTTTGCTGCATCGGTTATCCCAGGCCAGTAAATAAGGGAGCAGTGCTTTCATCTGCATCGAGGAAAAGAAGAGCACATCATAGATGACTTTCAGGCTCAGGAGTCATATTTCTCTTTTATTTCTCTGATGTTATTTTACTCGTATTCCCCCCCTCTCAGGTTCTCCTTTAGATTTCTACCAGACGCCTCCCACCACGCCCTCAGAGGCAGATCTGGCGGCCATGGCCTTGTCCTGTACAGCCTCCTCCAGTAAGGCACAGACTCCATCACCGGCCGGCAGCACCACCAGCTCTCCCCTCGCAGAATGGACACAGAAACTATCCGCTCCCTCAGAGTGGGCTGTGATCAGCGTGGACAGCATCAGCTCACAGACCAATGTGAGCGAAGCAGCAGTGAGGCAGCATGGGGGGGCGGCGGGCAGCCCTACGTCGCGGCCCCCGTCCAGAGGATCGCCCTCAGAGCACAGCTGGCAGGAGAGAGACAGCGGAGTGGAGCCGCAGGCCGCAGCAGAGAGGAGTGAGGAGATGACGCTGGTGCTGCTCAGTCTGATGGAGCACTACAGGGCCTCAATGGGCCTGACCCCCAACACTGATGTCACCACAGGAGCAGTGGGTAGGGCCTCCATCTTCACTGTTTTCTGAAAGACTCTTGGATTTATCTTGCATGCCTCCTCAGTGAACAAGGAAAATAATTAGAAACTCTTGATGATTTTTTATTAAACAGGGTGGCATTTAAAAGCAGCACAACTGTGGAAAAACCTGTTACAAAGTTTCACACAATTTGCAGATTACAAGTCTAATTCATCCAGTCGAATGGTGCTTTCTTCAAAACACCACTATTTTTGCTAAAACCTTCCGATTGTTACCATTTGGACTCGCAAACACTTTTAGCACTCCTGCGCTAGCTTGAGGCGGGTTATGTGAAATATGTAATTAATGCTCTATTCTGATTACAGTTGTTAGACTTTTAAATACGTTTTCTCTTAGCTTCGAGAGGTTTTTATTGTTCAACTCGTCTTTCAGAGCTGCTCAGGTGCTTGATAATGGAGAGAGATGAGCTGGTGGAGGAAGTGGACCAACTGAGGGAGACACTGAGGGTGAGTTGCAGGTCCCATAGCTCCCTTACACTTTCCCTAAAAATGTATATGTTCTGGTTTTCAGACTTTACCTGACAACGTTGAAGGTCTTGTGTTGAAAAAGTGAATAAAAACCTGCAGAAAATGTAATGTATTTAGTTTTTCTTCTGCACTTTAGTCTATTAGCAGAATTTAGCAGAAGAGGTCACAGGAATGGCTTGCTTTAGAGTACTGCATAAATACAAATATTGATGTGGTCAGGTATCAGATGCACTAGTGATCTTTTGAGAGCCATGTCAACAAGAGGCAGCTTTTAATATTACATTACATGTTACTTGTTAGACGCTTTTATCCAAAGGGACTTACATACTCAATACTGTGGACAATCCCCACAAGAGCAATTTGGGGTGAAGTGTCTCAAGGACACAACGACATGCTGACTGCAGTGGGGTTTGAACCTGTGACCCCCTGATCCGAACACCAACGGACAATTTACTGCACCACACGCCATACCAAACAGTGTGACCCTAATATCAGATCACACTGTTTATTTTCCATGTGGTCTCGTGTATTTTGTCCTCCATGGCAGATGGAGAGGTTGGAGTGGCATCAGTTCCAGAGTGACCTGCAGGTGGCGGTGTCTGTGGCCGACCGGCTGCGGGTGGAGTCGGATCAGGCCCTCAGTGAGGTGCAGGAGAGTCACAGAGCCGTGGAGCAGCAGCTGGATCAGGCCCTCAGCAGGCAGCAGGAGAGAGACACAGAGCTGGAGAGTCTGGAGGTCCAGCACCAAGACGTCTGCAGCCAACTGAGCGAGGTGTCCCTGCTGCGGGAACACGAGCGAGCCGAGCTGGACGCTCTGAGGAAGGCGTGCAGGGAGAAACGCATGACGAACTGTGACAAACAGACACAGAGACAAGACTCTGAGGTGGGGCAGAGGGAGGAAACACAGAGAGTTGTTGTGGAGAAGCCCAGGGAAGTTGAAGCCGACACTGAAGTAAACATTTTTGAAAAGCCAAAGCAGCCGACTGATGCAAGTCAAGAGGCGGAGGATCAAGGTGACTCTGAGGAGGCTGATGGATCAGGCAGCACGGCGCTGAAGGGGAAAGGGGTGGCGGAGGGATACCTTCGCAGTCTGGCTGTGCTGGAGACGAAGAAGGATCCCAGGAGGATTGTGATGCTGTCTGAAAGATCTTGGTGAGTCTACTGAGCGCTCGCATCTCATTCACCTCTTTAACAGGAGACTGTATTATAAAACATGCAACAAACATATCTTTTAGGAGTCTCTCTCGTCTGCCACTCCCAACTGACTCCTCCAGGGACAATGGGACCTCAAAAGAAACGAGCACAACACTGCCGCTATGCAAGGTACAATGTTCAATCAGGAGAGACGGTGTTGATGTAAGAATACATATTTATTGCAAAGATACACAAATGAATGTAATGGTGATTTTGGCGATTAGGCCCCGTTGTGCAGGAAGTATCATTCGGGAGGGTAGAGCCGATCCGATGAAACCCCCCGGGGTCTAGACACTGGTGGTGGTGCATGGATCGTTGGGTCGGTCTGAAGGGGAGTGGCTTAGCTTGACCCTGGATTCAGAGGGACAGGAGGTGAAAAGGGTCGGAGGAGGGTTGCGTCGAGTCACCTGTAATGACAGCTGTCAGAGGGGAGAGCAGATTTAAAAGGCTTGGCAGAGCGCTATGAGAGGCTCTTGGGAATAGAGCGAAGTGATTGGTTAAGCTGGATAGTGACGCCCCCGATCACTTATTGAGAGGAGAGAGAGTAGTTACTGTCTTCCTGGTTGAACTTACGCTGAGCTTCATTAGATGTAGAATATAATGATTATATGGAGGGGTAATTGAGTGATGGGGATGTAAGAAATGGTTATATTATTGTTCAATCACATTTGTAGAATCAGTCTGTAAACTTTTCCAGAGAGAGGAGCCACCAAAGCCGAGGAGAACAGACCGGATCCTGCAGCGTCAGGACAGCTGGTCCAGCTTTTACACCGGTGAGCTTTAACTTCAGCGCTGAACCACCTTATGTAGTTATTTACCGTTTAGTAAGTGTACGGTTGTATGACTGTTGCTTTGTTTGAATGTTGCAGGCAAACAGGATGAGGACCAAAGCACAGATTACATCAAGTAAGTTACTATAAGGCCCTTTTCTCATGTATTACTAATATTGACACCAAGGTCTGTGGGTAAAAGAGATAGAGAGGATGATAAAGCAAGAATGAGTCAAAGCATCCATGAAGTCGTATGCAATCACAATGTCATTATATGTGCCTTTCGCTTTTCTCTGTCAAATTGTAAGTGTATGTAATGTTCTTTGTGTAATCGATATGTAAAGTTCAGTTAACGTTTTGTTAAACAAATGTAACAATATTCATGAAAATGTTCTTGTGTTGTCAGACCCCAGGATGGTTTCAGTGCTCTGCTGAGGCGTCATGGCGGCTCGAGGAGAAACTCCCTGCTGCGCTGGTGCCAGAGTCGTACCCAGGGTTATAAGGTGAGGGAGGAGCATGTCACCATTATTGAAGAAAAAAATGTAAATCCTCAGTCAGTCAAGTTTAAGAGGAACTCAGGGTGGGAAACAAAAATACATTTTTACCAGTTAATTGTTGTCTTCATGAAGTGTGTTTTGTGGCAGAATGTTGAGATCACAAACTTCAGCAGCAGCTGGGAGGACGGCCTGGTGTTCTGCGCCGTTTACCACACATACTTACCAACGCACATCCAGTACGACACCCTCGACCCAGCACACAAGGTAATACTGTCGCTGTTCATTCTTAAAACAAAAATAATCACTTGTGTCGATTATGTTTTTTATAATGTTATTCATAAAGACTTTTGACTCGAGCGCATGTATCGAAAGAGAGACAGAGAAGTATAGCAGCTATCGAAAAATACTGATAACCTTTAAGATATTAAAGCTGGATGTACAGGTTATCAATCAAGAGTAAAATTCACTGCATGGACCATCAAATCTGAAAAAAATATGTTGTACTCTTTTTTTTTTTCATCAACAACTATTATAAATGACGCATGTATAAAAGAAAAAAACAATATGCTGGTGCTTTTTAGAAGAATCCATGTCTTGGAGGCATGTCTGTAAAAGCTACTTCTGATTCAAATGTTTTTACAGAAGGAGAATCTGGACCTTGCTTTTAAGACTGGAGAGAGTTTGGGAATCACAGCCACACTGGTGAGACACTTTACACCTTCTGAAGCTTTTGGTTTCTACAAAACCTTTGGGGAGTTAGAAGTTGTGTATCTTAAACTAGCTGTGTTCACTGTCCTGTGATCTTATCTCTTCGTGTGAATGTGTGACAGAGCGTGGAGGAGATGCTGAAGGCCGACGGGCCGGACTGGCAGAGGGTCCTCGGTTATGTGGAAAGCATTTTCCGGCACTTTGAGATGTGAAGTTAAATGTCTCTCTTCTTGTTCTTCCTCCTGGTCCTTTACCATGATTGTGACTGAAGAACTGAAACACTGTTCATCACAATCTGCTCATAATGAACTCTGATCAGCCAGGATCAGAAAATATGTCTGCAATATTAAGACTTAACGGTGTGCTTTTATGTATCAAATATAATGTTCATCACACAGAAACTTAACCTTGGGAGTATTTTTATTTTTTTTACTTATCTATTCATATCCAAATAGCAGCAAGGTGATGCAACAGACACTTTGTCAGATTTAAAGTGAGTACAGGAATACAAACACCTCGACTATTACTTTCACGTTGGGTGCTGAGTGCACTGGTTTTGCACTGATTGTAAAAACAAAAGAGCACTTTATTATTAATGTTGACTTTTGTTTCACTTTTTTTATTTCTGAATATGGGGCACTTGAAGTTTTATTTATCTTGACTTTATAGTTATTTTTTTATCATGAACGTCTCCCACTTATCATCATGTCTGCATGCACCCTATCCCAAGAAGTAGGATGCAGACATGAGATTTTAAATGTTGGATTAGTGATGTTTTAACCTTAAAAACTCAAATGTTCATCAATGCGAAAGTTAACTTTGAGGAAATGTAAATATGTAAATGTGTGTAAGCGCTTCAGTATTTTTAGAAACATGGTAAACATATGAAGATGTTGTTGCCAAAGCCTTAATGCAATAATAAAGTTATGTGTATAGAAGCTGTTTTGTCCCTACCCATTTTCTTCTTTCTTATTCTCTTATTAAAACCACAAAGAGATTTAACAGAAAACATTTTAATATACAACAAGATAATGACATTTGATACTTCTGGCAGCATATAAAAATGGTATTAAAATCATATACAAAAGTGGCATTAATGGAAACATGTTTAAGGTCAGATGGCATAAGAAAATACTTAAAATGTAACAAATAAATATTGAAACATTAAAAAGCAATAATGTAACAATTTTTTGCAAGGATGTTTTAAATGAAAGCATAATGTAGAGTTAGTGTATTGAGTTTGAACCTAATTGTTCCATTATTTCTCAAGTAGATGATGGAGAAGACATTTGAACTACAGTATGATTGTGTTGAAGCAACCTTGCATTTGTCAAATGAATGTATAAAAGTCTTATGAGGATGGTATAGCGCCTCCTATAGGAGGTGTTGACAGCGGAGGCAGGAGGAGAGACTTCAGTTTAACAGACATGGCTGCAATCTCAGGGTCCTGGGTTTCATACATCTTCACCAATCGGGCAAACTTTAGGACACCTGAAAGTGAAGCAGAGCCGACATAAAGGTGAAACAATATGACATCTAAGGAGTATTTGGTATTGGAGTTTAAAAAGGTCCAATGTAAGGTTTAGTTTATTTGCACACATAGTCTCAAAGTCAACTTTATCTTTCAGTTTGTGTGTACAGACAGAGAGATCCTCGGTTTCCCACAATTCCGAGGAATACAAAACACAATATATGTATAAAAATAGGTATATACATAGATATACACAATCAGACACATTTGTACATATGCACACATTAAGACATAAATAAAAACACAAAGTAAAAGAAGACGGTAAGAATTTAGGCAAAATAAAGTCCAATATTCAAAGAACTTCAGGGTTTTCTTTATGAAAATGCCGCCTCATGCTCACCCTCTCCTTCGTTGTTGAAGCCGTACGCTTTGATGACCTCCTGTTGGATCTGGGTGGACACGGGGAGAACGAGCTGAAGCATTTTGCCCATGTCGTTGCAGGAGCTTTCTCGAGCCTCCTCCATCCTGGCAGCGTTCTCCGGCACTGAGAAGGCCTGGATCACCTCACTCAGTACCACTGTGTAAGAGAAGACATTGGTTTATGCTATAAACATGCATTATGTTGGTCTGTATTAAGTGTGGACAATCAAGCTTCCTGTGAGGATGTCAGGTGTAAATCAAAAGTTTTGTGACGATACATTATAATATCAAAATGTGCAGAAATCACAAAGTATACAACAATAGGATTTTGATTTTGACGTCACTGGGATAGAGACACTATCATATTTCTATCTTACATAATCATTTTGACTTGTAGCATGTATTCACTGATGAATAAACGTTGCACTGCAGCGTTTACAGCTTTAACGCTTGTTATTGCCATACATCGGTTTAACCAGCTGGAAGTCTTTCAGAAATTATGATATAAAAAGACTAGAAAAGACCATAAGAGCTAGAACATGTCAACTAAACAGATTATAGAAAGTAACGCTCACCTCTGGTCTGCTCCACAGTGAGGGTGGGCTGCTGTGCTGGAGCTGAGGCCATGTCTGTAGAGAACAAAACAATGTATGTATGGTTAGGAAAGAACAAAGGAATTTAAATGGCACTAAAAAGACAAAAAGGACCAAATGTAATAATCAAGTAAACCACAAAATTAATATACTACTTTTTTGTTAATCATTTCAGTAAGTTTCAAGTAAACCTGACACATTCACAAGTGTTAGCTTTTCCACTGAAATGATTGTTGCTGCTTTTCTCTGCTGAATGAAATGGTTGTATTCCTATCTATAGGTTTTTTTAAAGGCGTTGGTTAATATATCATTCAATGCCGGATTTACATAACACTGGGGTCCTTAAAAAAAAAATTGATTTCCAGGCCTGTTGACAGCGTTTTGTGGATAAGGTCCATTTGATTTTTGTTCTGCTGCTGTAAGTAATCAACAGGGTACACTTCCTTCTGGTAGTATTCATACGTAATATCTCTCTTATTGAATAACACAAGTTGTGGTTGGAAATACAAGACTGATGATTCTGGTTTTTTGACTATTTAACAGTTGTGTATAAATACCTGGGTTAGCTAAATTATAGCTATTAACATTGCTGTCTGCTAGGCAGGTTTTGGCCTAATGCTCCTACGCTTAAATGCAAGAAGTAAAGCTATGTTAGTCAGTTTTATAGTTATATCATTAATACCAGTTTGGTTTTGATGATGTTTGGGCGGTGGTACAGCCACTGTTGACTTTCTATCGATAGCTTTGACTATAACGTAAATTACTTTTGGCTCAACGACGGTTACCAACAGCCTAAAACACATGTAACGTTTTAACAAGATTAACCACTGAATTTAAAAGAGCAAAGGTTTAAAAACTCACCAATGATTAAAGAAATGTAGCTAGTAGCAGACCTGGGAAACCTAGCTGGAAAATTACACTTTTTACGACATTTGAAACCTTTGTTACGACAGTACGTCCTTCTTTCAGACAGACCCGGATGTAAAAGGTAAACAAACACCTTAGCTAGTAGCATGATGACATCTCTCCAAAAATGTTGTTAAAGTAGCAGTAAACGTTTATGGTAGTCAACGTTATTGTATTTGACATCGTGTAAAGCTTTATTGAAGCAGCGCTAATACCAGTGAAGTTGTGTATTGTTTATTAGCGCCTCTTTTGCCACGTACACCTAATTTGTGTTATAACGTCAGTGTAAAGGAGCTGGCGTCATCAATGGAGCAGAAACTGGCAGATTTCAGAGCCAGACGACAGGCTGAACATACGATAAAAAAGGATGAAGATACTGTGAAAAAGGGAGAGAGTGCTAGTATGAAGTGCAGAGATCAGACCGAAGAAGACACCGCTCATCTGATTGATTCAACCAGTGACAGCGAACACACAGAAGAGGATGAAAACATCAAAGCCTCAACTCAGATCCCTCCAAAAAAGGTGAGACATTTCTGTGTTCATTTTGCAGTTGGATTTCTGTTCTAACTAAGAATCGGGTGATATGAGGTTAATTAACTGTCTGGTTCAATTCCAGTAGTGGATTGATGCTAAGTGCATTTACTCAAGTCGATGGTCTTGTGTTTTACTTGAGTATTTCCAATTTAAGATACTTTTAACTTCTGTACATCTCAGAGGTAAATATTGTATTTTTATTTCACTACAATTGTATGACATCCTGATTATAATTTGTTTCAGATTACATTTTGTTCATTCTCTTCAAGTAAAGTAAAATAAATGTATCTCCACATTGGGTGATTATGATTTTGTTGTTGTGTCATTGATCTTTTTGAACCGGTTCTGTCTTCTCTGCAGGACCACAGTGATTGGCTTCTGGACAGCGCTTTTGGAAGATGGCTGACATCGAGACAACTTGGCTTGACAAACCTTACTTTGCTTAAAATACTCCTGTGGCTGGTGCTGCTCGGCCTGTTTGCTGAGCTGGAGTTTGGCCTGCCTTTCTTCGTCCTCTCGCTCTTCTACTGGCTCTATGAGGGTCTCAGGAGCCCAGCTGCACGCGAGCCTGGAGAGCTGAGCGCTTACTCTGTCTTCAACCCAAACTGTCAGCCTCTGATGGGCACGCTCACTGCAGAGCAGCTGGAGGGGGAGATGGGTTACCGCGCTCTGACTAACAGAGCAGCACTTGTATATTGATGATTTCCAATAATCACAACTTTTTGTCCATTTAAAAATGTCCTTTGTATTCAGGAAAAAAATATATTGTATGCAGGAATAATGATTTAAATTGACTTTTTCTGTTTAACTCATGAAATTAAGATCAGTCTGCTAACAGTTGTATTCCTGTTTCTGTTATTTGAAGCAGTTTAATTGACTTAATTGTGGGAGGTGGATTTGCTTTAAAATGAATAACAATTGAGTGTACAATTACATTGGTGACATTCTTTTTGAAAGTATTTTTTAAATCCAATATTAACCTCCGATTCCTCGTCTTATGAATATGGATTTAGTAGAAAATGTGGGAATGGTATTTGGGAGTTGGTATTCTGAGTTACATTGGAAAAGGGCAAGCTCCTACTCATTTATATGAGAAAAACGTTTGCGTTGAATAAAAGGATTTTAAAGTGTAATAAAGAAGTGTAATATATCAGCCAGTATTGCATCTCTGTCTCCAGGGCCGGACTGGGACAATAAGTCAGGCCGGGAATTATACACCCAGCCAGGCCACTACCAGTTTTTTGTGCCATTTTGCTGGATTTATTTGTCAATTTTTACAGCGTTGCTGCCCGTAGTGATAGCCCTCTAAATCTACTACCCAAAAATAAACATATGGACATGGGTTACTATTTTTAAAAATGTGCACATTTATTTAGGAATCTATGTGAACATATTTTAAGTGGGGGTGGACCTCAGATCCTCTAGGGGGGTCCGGGGGCATGCTCCCCCGGTAAGATTTTTTTTTAAATGTTGGACTTAAATGCATCAATCTGGTGCACTTTGAGGGGGAAATAAAGAGACTACACCCATATGAAACAGAACTGTATACATTTAAATAATCATAAAATCATAAGAACATGGCCATAACCTTTATATATACAGTATATGGCCATAACCAATAACATACAGTACCATATCCAATATGAAAAAACATTGAAACTTGTTTATTTATTTGTTTTTGGTTCATTTATAGTTGTGAGTGGTGTCTGTGCTCCTGAACCAGCCTCTCCCGTCTCCCTCCTCTCCCCCTGCTCCTCTTTGAGGCAGAAGCAAAGACTAGTTCTAGCTCTCAACAAGTTTTAATAGTTTATCTTACCTTTTTTCACCTAGTTAACGTTTTTTTTTTAATTATTCATGCATATTTTGCTAATCACTCCCCCCTCAAATGGAAATATGTGTTTACATAAATGGTGACCAAACCGTTTGAGACCCACAGAGAACTTAGACTAAGTGAACTATCTAAACACTCAGAGTCCTTTTCCTCACCTGAGCTGAGGTTATCAGTCTCTAAGTCTGTGTTATGAACTTGGTTACACAAGGATAAGGACTCAAATGCACGACCCCGAAGCCAAAGGTAAAGTACAATTAAGATACTTTATTTGCACAAAAAAGGTAACAAAAGAAGATCACTCTTAAGAGATGACAAAAAAGGTTTGAGCAAGGCAAAACAGAAAATCACTCACAACGTGAGGAACTAAACTTATAATAAGTTTCAGGAGCCAACATAGGCTTTCAATCAAAGCGAGCTGAAGAGCATAGCTCTGTCATGGGGACAGGACAAGACGAACTGACACTGAACGCTGGGAGACTGGGGAATTTAAACACTCAACAACAAGACACAGGTGAACACAATCAGGGGCAGGGCTGATACTGATGAGGGCGGGAGAACACATGAGGAAAGGGAGTCAAGGGACCTAAAATGAGACGTGACAAAAACAAAACAGGAAGAGAAAAACAATACAAAATAAACATGAAACATGATTGACTAGCACTTTTGACAGTGCACAACAGTCTGACTGGAGAGGACTCTCCCTCCACCTTGTTGTTGAAACAGCTCCTTATACGTTAGCGCAGCTAGCTAGCACCAGATGCTAACAACAACAATACACGTAACCGGTGCGCACGCTTTATCTCACTCCTCGCGCCACACATACACTAACACACACCCTCCCGAGCTTGAATGACACACAGAGACCAATCGAGGGCATTAGTGTATGATCTGTATGTAAGGCCATGTCGGCAGGCCACATCATGTAGACAGCCAGTCACCCTCTGTGAGGCAGAGTCAGACCCACCCACATTTGCGCAGCGTTGCGTTCACAATACATACATAAACAAATAATCCTCAGGCCAGCAGGCAATTTATCAGGCCAGGCCATCGGGAAACCTCCCGGTCCTCCCGATGGCCAGTCCGGGCCTGTCTGTCTCTGTGCCTTCAATTTCACAAATTATAAACACCACATTAACTTTTCTACCATTACCTTTTTACTGTTTATTTTTTAACAAAATGGTTGGATGAAAATAAATTATGTTTTGTGACGGATCATTAATAAAACTAATTATGTGTTACGCGGCCGAAAAGACTACGTCTAAAAAAATGAGAGAAGAAACAAAGTACAACTTGTTGTGCCGAAGCAAGATGTTTCCCTCTCCCATCTAATTCCGCATTCTCTGATCGTTTCTGTGTTAACCGAGGGCCAAACACACTGACCCACTTGGTTTTTAAAGACACATATAATAGTTGTTTATTTTAATTAAGCCACTGTTAACATCCTCTTTGTTCACATTGAACGTATTAGCATGTGTCTCGAAGTCATGAGACGCTATCTTATTATTATTATTATTTATTTGCCTCTCGGTTGGTCAGGTTACTATCTTGACAATTCATTTGGCTCTTTGGGTCGATAGTGTTGCACTTCCTGTATCTCCGAACTTCAATTTACTGAACCCGTGAAGACTGTTTGGCGGTTTCTCCTCTATCATCATCAGTAAGTATTAAACCTTCAATCACCATCACCACTTTTCTACTGGGTATTAATACATCATTTTTGGTTTATTGTCGCTGAACCGGCGTGCTAGTATCAACAGCAGCATGTTGGCTAATTAGCCAGGAGTGCAAAATGTACTGCTTATTGTGACTGATTACAATAATCTCTTTAGTTAAGGAGCCGTCTTAATTGCTCTAAGAAATATGTGTATTTTATTCACAGGTGATGAAAATCCAAGCTAATGACACAGTTAATTTTGTGAAGTGGTTAGGTCATTAGTCATTACCACTTTCTGCTTGTTACACAGACTTTGCTCGCCTCGTCCACTCCTTTGATACACATTGATTTGCCTTATTAGATAAAGTGGCTTCTAGCTCAATTAGGCTTTGTCTTTCTTTGTGGATAAGATATGAGAGTTTGCAGTTCTAGCATCATCCACTATTACAGTCCCTATACTGCTGATCCTCTCGCCTCTTTACTTTATTAAGACTGTAATGATATGTGTGAAACTTCCTCTAGCTCTTTTAGATACGTTTCCAACTTCCATGCTTTCTCATTTACCTGGGACTGATGCTAGTCTACACTATGTTCTTTGTTATAAATAATTGCCTGAATCTGGCTGTGGTATTGTTTATTTTAAACATTAAACTGTATAGTATCTTCTGTGTGTATTATATGTATCTGCTGTGCCTTCATGTGGTGTGCCTCAGGGTTCTTTATTGGGTCCTATTTTATTTGCTTGTAGGTCATATTATTCACACAGGTAAAGGTAGCTCATATCACTGTTTTGCTGATAATGTGAAGCTAGGGGAAAGATAAACTCAAGTTATTCACTATAGTCTGTCTGCAATAAAAGACTGAATGTCCAAAAAACTTCACACAGCTAAATGCACAGTCAATTAGGGATATGTATTACGCTATACAATATAATGTTATTTGATCAGACTTTGTACCACAATCAACAATGGACCTATTCACTTACCACTTTCTATGTATTATTCACAGAAGAGGGAGATTTTGAAGTTTTAAGGCAAATTGCAAGAGGTAAAGATGCATTACCTGTAAATGTTTTTTTTAGTATGTGTCCACTAACAACTGTCTGCTCTGTCGATCAGCAATGTCTGCAAGTCCTGCTGTGTTGATGCGGCTCGTGGCCTCTGCCTTCACTGTTGCTGAAAAGGCCGGTGCCATTGTGAGGAAAGTCCTTCACAGCGGAGAACTTGGCATTGTGGAAAAGGTGGGACCAAAAACCGCAGAAAAATGTAAAATGCATGTCCCAGTGAAAACCTTTTTCTAAATACTGACCTGCTGTGGAGATTCTGACCCAGTTATAATACAGGTAGTATATTATAGTTGTATCCTTTTCTGATTTTCCCATGTGTCCCTGCATAGACTGGAGCCAATGATCTGCAGACACTGGCCGACCGACTGGCACAACAAAGCATTTGTGCATCACTGTCCAGAAGTTTCCCCAAAATCACCATCATTGGAGAAGAGGTGAGTAAATTAGACTCTTTGTTGAATGTGTTAGCACCATGGACAAACAAGATTATTTTATAGAAGAAGAGTGAAAGCCTGAGTTCTTGTGTATCACTTGCTGATTAGGACCTTCCACCTGAGGAGATAAAGGAAGATCTCATTGAGAGCGGCCACTCGGAGGAAATCCTTCAGAAGACATGTCCAGCAGAATATAGAGATCTGAAAGAGGAGGAGGTAAGGGTCATCAGATTCAGAAAAATATAAATATTCCAGTAATCATAATTGGATTTCAGACAATGCATTCATGTGAGTTTTCTTCTGCATAACAGCTAGTTGTGTGGGTCGATCCTCTCGATGGCACAAAGGAATATACTGAAGGTAGGCTCTTCAAATATGTTTTTTAAATAATCTGCCTCCACACATGTGTTCTGTTCTGGGGGCGGAGACATTACTGTGAGTTCTGCTTACTGAAACTCCCTGAACAAATGCCTTTTAAGTATTCAATTTGAAATGAAGGCAAAGCATAACCTCTTAGTTTTTTAAGTAATTACTCTTACCTTGAAAGCAGTGGTGGAAAGTAACTTAGTATATTTACTCAAGTACTGTACTTAAAGGTAGGGTAGGTAAGTTTGAGAAACCGGCTCGAGATACACTTTTTGTTATATTCCATGGAATGCTCTTAACATCCCGATAGCAATGGATATCTTAAATGCTTTGACAAAAAATCCATTAAAAAAATGTCATCTGTGGAAGCCGTAGTACTGTAAAAAGCACGACCAATCATCTGAGCCGGCCCGGCTAAAGTAACTGGATGGCCTACCTGCCTGTCAGCCTTCCATCTGTGCACAAACTTATCTCGTGCCCTCATTGGTCATGTGCGCGTTCGTGTGTGTTGGAGGAGGGGCTCTGTAAGGAAGTGGAAGATTTTTCCCGGCTGTGTATTTTCAAATTCTAGCGCACTCGAGCTGGTTTCTCAAACGTACCTACCCCACCTTTAAGTAGTAGGTTTTGTTACATTTGAAGTGGGTGGCAGCAACATAAACACCATTGTGATATAGTTGCGATATGGGCTGCTTTCTGCTTCACTATCACTTTTCTTTCTCTTCTTTATGTATTCTTGCTTCTTCTTTCTCTCTCTTTCTCTGCTGACTCCAGCATCAAAGAGTCTCCATCACCAAACTGAGGCCCAGATACCAAACAAAGTGTTGTACACCTCTCACAGCACAGCTCTCTGTATGGAAACTGATTAAACCGTTAACCCTGTCGGTGTATAAAGTGAATTACTCTGCAGTAAAACTGATTGATTCAAATGGCTTTCAGGACTAAAGCTGAGAAATAAACCAAAGTTATCAGATAAATGTGCAGGATAATATGAAAATAAATGAATATGCACAGACATTAAAAGATAAATAAAATATATATTCATTTGTCTTATTGCTTATTTTTGTATGAACACATTTTAACATTGCTTTTTTTTGTTAACATTTATTTCGTTTTTTTCAATTTATTTCCCTCTTTATTTTTATATTTAAAAATGAGATGGCAACCCTAAATGTTGTCCCTTAACTGTCACCTACCAATTTATGTATTTTCAATTAAATTTGCAAATTTGTTTCCACATTTCCACAATTATACCCTTATTATTTTCTGTCTTAATTTCTTTCTTTCTTTATTATAATACCAGCTTCAATCCTCCATATGTATCTGACATCCTGCTGTTTTCTGATTGAAGGTCTGCTGGATAATGTGACGGTGCTCATTGGTATTGCATACGAAGGCAGAGCGATTGCAGGTGTCATCCACCAGCCTTTCTACAACTACCAGGTACAGAGCGATCTAAATTAAACAAGATAGAGTCCCAACAGCTCTCCTTCCTTTAATCCAAATGTTTCCCCTCGTCAGCTCGGAGCAGGAGCATCCTTAGGAAGAACCATGTGGGGAATCCCGGGGTTGGGCGCTTTCGGATTTCAGCTGCAGGAAGTTCCCGGTGACAGACGCATCGTTACCCACGACTCGTTCCCATAGCAACAAGCAGGTGACGGACTGTGTGGACGCCATGGAGCCTCACGAGGTTATAAGAGTGGGCGGTGCTGGGAACAAGGTGAGGACTTTAAAGTAGGATTTTATAGTTCTCTTTAGGCACGACTTGTACATTAATTACTTTGACTATATTTCAGTAACGTTTTCAATGAAAAACATTTCTACGTCTTTGTTTTATGTCATAAAAAGTGTTGTTTTTATGACATAAATCGGATCAGCAAGGCTTCTTCCTCTAAATCTCTCTTATAAGGGAACTTTTTCACATTAGCTTATTTCAGTTATTCTTACTTTTATTTACTGGTTTTAAGTTAATTATGTCTGTATTAATTCTACTTTTATTTATTTACATGTACCTTTTTATTTGTTGTCTTAATATTTCGGTTATACATCTTGATGGTTATAAATCTTGATGGTTTAAAATAAAAATAAAACGTGATGATCATTAATTTGCTGTCGAACGTCAGACTAACACAAAGCAAAGTTTTGTTAATGATTGACATTTTTTTTATCCAAAGTTAATGAAACATTCATTGTTTTATTTGCCTTCTTATCGACCAAGAACTTGCTGTACCTAGGACCTTTGTCCTGTGCCTGCAAATGTTTAAATGATATCCATGCTAGATTATTACATTTTGAGTTCAACTCCAAACCTATTTGGGAGTCAGCCAAAGTGGTCAGAGAACCTGGAGTCTTATGACATATTCAAAATAGCCTTTTCTGATGTGTATAGAGTGTGTATTTATCACATAATCTCTCTGCAGATAATCCAGCTTGTTGAAGGAAAGGCTTCTGCGTATGTCTTCGCCAGTCCCGGCTGCAAGAAGTGGGACACCTGCGCTCCAGAAGCTCTACTGCACGCTGTGGGAGGTATGACCAATTTGCTGAAATCTGTTTACACCAAACTAGAATTATATTTTGTAGCTATGTAGGTTCAAATGTAAGCTTTTTACAAAATGCATAGTTTACTAGTGCTTGAACTCTGTCTGAAATGTTTTTATTTCTAATGTTTTCCTTTTATCTTGTGCAGGGAAACTGACTGACATGCACGGCAATGCATACTGCTACAATGCTAACGTAAAGCACATGAATTCTGCAGGCGTTCTTGCTACACTACGCAACCACGAGTACTATGTTAGCAGAGTGCCGCAGTCGGTGCTGCAGGCCCTGAAGTCAGATTAAGTTCTGTCTTCATCAGAAGTCACACTAATGAACCTCTGTCATGGTTTAAAGCACTTAAAAATCGAACCACAAGTGCAGGAACCCTCTGTATTTAAATGTCCTAAAATCAGAACAAATAATGATTTAAAGTCACATTAATCTACCATGTTTTTGTGTCATACATTATTAAATCAACCAGAAACAGACAGCAAGCAGGCTCAACAGCACTTCCATTTATTTCATCGTTTCAAACAAACTTTACAAATCTCAGAACGTCTTTACACACTGTTTCCAACTTGAAGACCAAGAGATTAACAAGGCAAAAGGCAAAGATTTAATAAATAAAAATACATCGGTTAAATGCTTATTAAGGAGTTAAAAAGGATTAACTTCATTCAATAACCACGTGGGAACACTGTGATATAACTAGCCAACAACAAACAAAATGCCATCGTCCTGCCTTGATGATTTTGACCTCTTTACAATGTCATGCGATGACTGGAAGCGCAACAATGTTCAGAGAGAGAGGTCGAGATCTACTGCTGTGATGATGAATATACTCAGAACTATTTTTGAATCCCGTACTGTCGGTTTCTGCCGTGGTCTTCATATCCGTCTCTATTTTTCTACACACCTACTGTACAAACCAGACTGAAGGACACAAACTCAAAGTGCTTACCGATGTTTGTTTCCCACATTAAATTGACATCTGAACTTAAAACAAAACTTGAACACTATTGCATTTCTGTGTTTCCCCTTTTGTTAATACCAAGTGGTGTTAGGGATAGCAAACAGTTTCAGAGCTTGGAAACGCTGATCTAATGTAGAGCAGCTGTACAGGAATGCTAGTTAAAGTACAGCATTTAGCAGCTGTGTCCTTTTCTAAAGTTCAAATAGGCTTTAATGGCCTGTGCACTTGTTTGTTTGCATATGACAAGATGTCTTGCAATATTTCTTGCACCATCAACATATTGACTGATATCTCTTTGGGGAAAACATTCTAAAGTCGAAGGGAAAGTCATTGCAATGTCTAATTTGCTGTTCTTAAAGAATAATGTGACATTTTGGGGAATGTGGTTACTGGCTTTCTTGCTGAGACTTAAGAAGATGGATACTTTATTTCCGTTCAATAAATATGAAGCTTTAACCAGCAGTTTGCTAGCTTAGCTTAGCTTAGCATAAAAACTGTAAACAGGTAGTCTAGCTCTGTCTCAACGTTACAAAATAAACCTACTAGAACTTCTGAAGCTCACTGATTCATGTTCTATCTTCTTAGTTTACCCCAAACAAAAAAACTGTGTTAATTAAAGATTAACACCTGTTTACAGTTTGTGTGCTAAGCTTAGCTGGTTTGAGATTCATATTTGACAACCTTATCTAACGTTTTGCGAGAAAGCATTTTCCTAAAATGTCAAACTATTCTTTTAAGCTGTGTACTAGTTAAGCTTATATAGGAGTGGGCACTGGCAGTAATTCAGTAATTATATGAAAAGTAGACAAATCAAGGTGAGACACGAAACAATTGGCCTCGTTTTTACATTTTACATCGGCTAGGTCAAAGTATCCGTCTCAATCTCACAAGCGTGCATGCATTCACAAAATCACTATGGAAATTGTTAATGTGATGGCAGAGAAACATATTTCTTAACATCCTGCCCATTCCACAAGGTTTAAATATTGCTGAATGGGGTGAGTAGCAGAAGTGAGTGATACATCAAAAAGAAATGGAAAGAAATACCACTCGCATGTTCATAAAAATACCCACAGAACAAGCAAAAAACACTCCTGGAGTTTTTGTTTACACATGAACAAGCTGACTGAGAGAAGGCTGGAGTGTTTGAGGCAGCCTGCGGGACGAGGGTCAGAGACCAGCCGGGGGGAGGGGCCAGCCGCTCACCTCTTTTTAGGTGCCTGAGCGGTGCGAGGGGGGGTGACAGGGCGTCCTGTATTCACCCCTCCATACTGGTACTTTGCTTTTTTTTCTGACGGCTTCAGGATCTGAAAGAAAGGAAGATGGTAAATTCATTAAAAAGGCATGGTTTGTTCTCTGTGCTCTTTAAAAAGCCACCAGACTCCTTTGACAAAACAATACTGATAGAGGCTGCGTTGGACCAGTAAACCTTGTTTGGGAAGTTTTAGTTCCCTGTCTGTCACTGAGTTAAAAATATTAAAATGAGTGAATACTCATTGCTTAGCTTCCGTGCTGGTTCTACCTATTGTAAGTCATGCACTGACTATAGATCAGTGTTTCCCCTACCATTGTCTTGGAGGGGCGCTGTGCCCCGCCAACGGAGCCCCGCGCCCCCCCTGAAATTCCAGGTGTTTAAAAAATAAATAATATTCTTTTTTTTAATTTATAGATACCAAATTGCAACTAATCTACTGTATATTTACTGTCACTTTACACATTGAACATGTGTTCTTTTATTAAATAAACGAAACGCTTTCATTTTAAGTTGTGAGTTTAGTGTATTTGACCCTAAGAAAGGGTGATGATGCATTAATCAATAACAATAATCCACAGCTCCTCTCTGCTCCAGAGGATTTCAAAAATATATATCCCAACTTTACACTGTGTGGGATTGGTGGATTTGTGTGTCCATCAAGGAAATCTCGGCCGGCAGCCATCATGGTCTGAAATGACCAATGGACATCGAGAAATCACTAAGGGCCTACCCACCAAGTAAAAAAAACATAAACCACGTGTCTCCCATCAGTTTCCTTTAGTGAGGAGAGAGAGAGAGACAGATACAATGGCTAAAAAAAACGTTACAGTTGCCGACTTCGCTAGAGATTTTTTTCGCTAGCAGCAGTGAAGATAGAGCCTCAGAACCTGAAGTCTTCGACTCTTCTGAAGAAGAAGAATACAAAGACAACAACAAGGATCCATTTGGACATGGGTAAGTGTAAATATTACAGTAATAGTGTACTGGCAATGTGTGGGGAATACCGCGAAAATGAACAATAGGTTTATTGATATATATTTTGTATCGATAGTCATTAACTTTTTATTGGGACAAAATAGACTCTCCATTAGCAAACGTTTACTCTGTGTTAACGTTATTTTGGTGTGTAAAAGTGAGATTACATGTGTAGATGATTACATTAATCATTTATTCGTCCCACAACGGAGACATTTACAGTGACATGTTTTTGCCATCGATTATTTTATCATACCGTTCTGTACAGATGAGACTTTGTCATAGATTTATTTATATGTGTGTCTGTGATTTTATACTGAATGTAAAGTAACTGGAAATACCTGTGTGTGTGTGTGTGTGTGTGTGTGTGTGTGTGTGTGTGTGTGTGCGTGTGTGCGTGTGAGAGAGAGATCGAGAGAGACTCCTTCTGCAACCTCCCAAACGTTATTTGTATGTGTGCATTGTTATTTGTGCTTGAGCAACATTTTACTTGAACTTTATTTCAATGAAATTAGTTGTAATTATTGTCCTACACAGGCGGCGTTTATCCAGCAGCCACAACATCCATCTGTGCCGGCCCCCAGGTCAAGATCTACTGTGGCTCAAGGGCCTTCACCAGAGCCATCACCACCAAGGACCAGCAGACCATCATCACTACAGCTGCCTCCACCTCCATCTGCGGCTGCCACCAGGTCAAGACACTGGTACTTGCTTACCATGCTGCGAATGGATCTGGCCCTTCCTACATCCAGGACATGGTTAAACCGTACACCCCAGCGCGTGCACTACGCTCTGCATCAGCCAAACGACTCGTTGCGCCCTCGCTGCGAGGGGGACCCAAGTTCCCATCAGCAAAAACACGTGGGTTTGCTGTCCTGGCTCCAAGATGGTGGAATGAGCTCCCCATTGACATCAGGACGGCAGATAGCTTGCACATCTTCCGGCGCAAACTGAAAACTCATCTCTTTCGACTCCACTTCGAGCGTTAGAACTATTAACGAAGCACTTTTATACTAATAAAGGACTGGCTTACCTAAAGCCAGTTGAGTAGCACTTGAAATGTTTGGCTCTATGAAACCTGATGTACTTATATGATTCTGTTTTCTTCAAGGTTGTGTCTTCCTGGTCGAATGTACTTATTGTAAGTCGCTTTGGATAAAAGCGTCAGCTAAATGCAATGTAATGTAAAAGATACACCTCAGCACAAAGGCTCCACCACAGCCATCACCTTCAACCCAGCCAGCAAGGAGGTCTCGTGGAGGTCTCGTATAGCACTTGTACACCCCACCTACACAGCAGCCCATGCACCATCACCCCCACAGCAGCCAGACCCACTGTCTTGGAACACAGACAAAGACCTTGACACTGTCTTGACATTTATAATGAATAGTTGGTTGAAAGTTCTGATGTTCAATATTGTAAATAGTGAGATTTTCCAGTTTCTTATATTTATATAAATAGTTGGTTGAAAAAACATATTTATAATAAATTGTTGGTTGAAAAAAAAAAGGTTGAATGCTCAATTTGTATTTGTACACATCACATGAACCTTGGTATGTGATATGAAGTCATTATTCAGTCCTAATGTATCTCGGTCCCTGCTGTGGTGAAAGTAGAGTGATAAACACCTATTTTACTCAAAATTTGAATTTAATGTTTTTCATTTTAGACATGAATAACACATTTATATACAGTGTAATTCAAATATTGCACTGCTTTTGTGATCCTAGGACTTTGGTAACCAAATCTAAAACACCAAAACAATTCGATCACATGAGTACATTTGTGTTTTCACAAGAGTTTTGAAGATTTTCCAAAAATCCGATTTCACATTTTAAGCTTTTGAGCTACTTATCTCATCAAACAGTGCTCCAAGGTGAGTAATATGCATATATAGCAAGACCAGAGATTGTCCTGAACATTTTGATATTTAACACATGGGGTGCCATGTTAAAAGAAATACATTTAAAAGGTGATTTAAGAAAACATCTAAAAATCGAGAAAATACCCTTAGACTCCAGAGGGTTAAGAATGGTAAAACTGCGCCCCCTGGGTTGTCATTCCTAAATTATGAACGACAGCTTGTGGAAAGTTTGCTAGACTACTGGTTGCATGGCAACTAGGCATCTCGCGAGTTGTGGTAATTGGTTAGTACAATAAAGAAAGGATTTGTTTTGGAATTATTTTGTGTTCCGTTTTTTCTTGGGCGGCCCTTAATCCAATATTGGATACCTAAATTGGCCCTCACTCATCAAAACTTTGAGAACCCCTGCTTTAAAGCATATCAGGATTCATGTTGCGGTACAAGACTTTTTTGTTACCTGAAAGGAGCACATGAGGGACTCGTCCACACTCATCATGCCGCCTGCGTTGTCAAACTCCCCGCAGTAGTTTGGGGCGGAGAACAGCGTCACCAGCTGTCGCTTGGCAAAGAACTCGTAGCCGTCTTCAACAACCTGTAAGGCAGCAGAATGAGTCAGGTTTTCAGCAACAAGTAAGGCTTTGGTTCTACCTTTGCAGGTGTGAATGTGTTATATTTGCTAATACCAAACCCAGCGATTATATAACTCAATGCAGAGACTTAAATAAGATAAGATGGACCTTTATTAAACCACGTAAATACATATTTTCTTAAATACTCAAAGATGTGTTTATTACGAGGTATTTCATTGATAGAAAATGACCATCACTTTAGAGATAGAAGCATTTAAAAAAAACGTTACGTATATTTATATAAGTGAGCTGCTACATTAGATCAGTGTGTTTTATGAATATGTTAATCTCAACAAATAATCAACACTACTTTTTTGTCTTTTTCTATGCAGGCTGTAACGTATTTACACTCATGAAAAAACTCAGGCTGTAACGTATTTACACTCATGAAATTATTTTAAAAAATAAGGTTATTTTACTTTATAAAAGTTGAATTGTCCATGGTGTTATTTTGATTGTAGCTGCGTAGCGTTACCTGATGTGCTCTGCAGATGAGGTCCAGGTCGTGACGGTTGAGAAACTTGCTGACCACATCGGCACCGAATGTGAAGGACACTCCCCGGTCGTTCTCTCCCCAGCCCTGGACGTCTTTGTCTGGGTCGGACCACAGCAGGTCACACAGCAAGCCTGGAGCAAACAGTAAAGACAAGCAGTGATCACTGGTGGAAGTGTATTAACACCACCTTCTGGTTTATTGTATTCAACACTAGAGGGCGACACAGGAGTGGATTTTCACTACCGTCCCATCTTAAAGTGCTTTGTGTTCAACTGCAGTTTTTCTGCCAACCACCACCACCACCACCACCACCACTACTACTACACAAAGGGATTATGGTTGAATTTCTCTATGAAACACACTTTTTAAATCACATGTTTAGCACTCATTATGAGCAGTTAAAGAACTTTGAGCAATCTAACCAGTATATAACAGTATTGAGAAACACCCAGTGAAAGATGCAATCAGCTGATTAAGATTTTGTCTCGTTTTAGTTCAGACGTAAACACAACCGACCTGTGTCTGGGACATCAGTGGGTCTCATGATGCGTCGAATCTGTTCCATGGACTGTAGATCAGGTGAGAGCCCTGAAGAGGAAAAGAAGATTGTAATAAAATCGACACATACTACAGAAAATCCTGCAAAATGTTGTATTTGTACTAAAGCAAAATGGTCTGGGTTGAGTTGCAGGTAGTGATGTCAGAACATATTATTTAAATAAAACTGTATTCTCAATAGCATCATCATTAATATTGCATTATGATTAAGATGTGTAGATACTTCTGGTGTATTTTAAGTAATTATAGTAGTAGTATAGAACAAATTACAAGTTGTATACTCTAATTTAAGTATTATAATATTGGTAAAACTTAAAAATATGACTCCCCTCATTAGATACTGAATACTTATAAATAGCGCCATCATCTTTTTAAAACTTGTGTAGACTCTAAATGAATTTACGCAGAGACACGTGTATTATCCTCATTATTCAGTGGCTGCTACAGAAGTGCATCACAAACCTCCATGGCAGCAGAAGATCTTCTCATCAATGATCGCAGCAATGGGCAGACAATTAAAACAGTCTGTGAAGGTCTTCCAGAGCTTTATGTTGAACCTGCGCTTGCCTGAGAAAAAAAAATAAAATCATACAGACAAATCAGAAAATGAGCAAGTGAAAAGAAAGCTCTTCGACTTACGGGATTTCTAAATTCAGATTTGCTATTATGTTTTTACAATAGGCCAACTCACAATAAGGACAGTGATCAATATGCATATGAAGCAAGGGCAGTGTGTTTTCCAACTTACACTCATCATAGAATCCGTAAATGCGATTGATGGAAGCACACTCGTGGTTCCCCCTGAGCAAGAAGAAGTTTTCTGGGTATTTGATCTTGTAGGCGAGCAGCAAGCAGATGGTCTCCAGCGACTGCTTCCCTCTGTCCACGTAATCCCCCAGAAACAGATAGTTGGCCTCTGGAGGGAAGCCTCCATACTCGAATAGCCTCAGCAAGTCTGTGTATTGTCCATGGATATCACCTGGAAGGATATGTTCAGCTCATTATCCAATACATTAACAATAACGCAAATAACATCACAATCCAGAGTTTCCGTTAGCCGGTAATTACCGGACTTTGACCGGTAACATATGCTGAAGACCGGCAAATCTAAATCTCTCCGGTCAAAATCATTTCCCCTTAGCGCAATACCGCATCAGTTACGCCACTTATGTGACAGACAAGAATAGTCAATTCTAATGTCTAACACTTAATGTGGAGAAAGAGATGTCCTGTGTGGGTTGATTGTGCGTTGATCTGTTGGTAATGCCTCAGGGTTCCGGTGGGCATGTAAACAAATGCATAATGCTGCGCTATACTTTGCGGCCTCACCCGGTTGCATAGCGACGCTTATTGTTTAGGTGTCTTGATAAGCAGGTAGTCATATCATTAGCTAGAACTAGCTGGATCTGATCGATATGGACATAAACGCGAGTGAAGTCTAATCTGACGGGAGAGAGAGATCAGCTGCTGCTGACGAGTCGATACCAGCTCTGCATGATCACATGCAGCGGTGAGCGGACAAAACACACACTTCAGGTTAGAATATCACACGTAGCTATTTTAATGACCTCTCAAACTACCTAAACTAGTTATAGATATGTTTAGTTTTACTGTCGGGTCACTCATTACTGATCCGCGAGCTGCATGATACTGACGGGCTGTCAGGAGAGGGAGAGAGCGCTCCATTTATTATTCCCGTGTTATTGTAAATTACTGAACACTTTTGAATAGTTAATTAATCTACTATAATTAGTTTGTTTAATATCGAATCATATCAATTTGTTTTAAAGCTCAATAAATAACAAAGAAGACCTTTGACCGGCACTTTTCTCCTTTTGTCCGGAAGATTTCAACTTTAACGAACATGTTGACCGGCAAAAAAAAGTTCTAACAGAAACTCTGGGGGGGGATTTTGAATCTAAATTAACATCGTGAAATTCAAACACAGATTATATAACGTTTGAAATAAACCTTTAGCTTCATTTGCACAAGGTCCTGACATTTTCAGCGACTGAGCGGTTAACTGTGGCACTTTGACAGCACAATCTGGTAGTTACATATTAGTATTTTATGTGACATCGCTTGTCAGCAACCATTCATGACATTAGAGGCAATTTGGCCGTTTGTGCTCTGATTAAGTTTTCCAGTCATAATTTTGTTTTCATGAATCTTCTGATATTTACTCCTGGGTTTAGGAAAAGACAACTACATATTGTTTTCTTTTCAATAAAAGCTTTTGTGGATCTGATTTTCATGAATGCCAATGTGATTGATCACGGTCATTTTAAAAAGCAAGAGAATTTTTTTTTTCTCAATGAAACAAAACTTGGTGTGGTGATAGGAAATAGAATAAGCAGCCGATGCACCAACATTAAATAAGTCAAACTAGGGCAAACACTTCAAACATTGTGTGCGATTTGATTTCAACAGGGCCTCACAAACCATGTTTTGTCATTAACACTATGCATTTTCTCTGCACCTTGCACTGGAGTATATATGGAAACAAAACATGGTGGCTGTTGACAGTTGCAGTTCTCACCACAGATTTTCAAAGGAGCCTCCAACTCTAGCAGGATCGGCTGACTGAGGAAAATCTCTCTGGACTTGATGCAGAGCCCCCGCACCTCAGCCTCTGACATCTGCACCACCTTCCCTGGACGACATCCTCGCACTGCAAGGCAAAAATAACCATGAGGTCAACACAGGCTGATCCTTTAAGATGGGTGAGTAAGTATTAGATACCAGACATTAGGGCAAATTAAGCATGAATCTTAGAGTCAAAGCATGTTTCAATCATGTGCTTTTCTTTAGGCAATGGGGTTAGCTGCAAGCCCTTTTGTGTAATGTTGCATCCCAGTGTGCCATTAAAGAGAGCTGACCATTGCATTTGCTTTGTTACTGGCCAGACATGACATTTACTCCAGTCAACACAGGTTGTTATGAGCTGGAAAATACAGGAATGAACAGCTTGTTGGCTCAGCTGGAAGTGAGTATGTTAAGGCAGTGTGGTCCAAGCAGGATAAAAAGCGTAAAGGGCTGCTTCATGTAAAAAGAACAAACAACAGACTTGCTTGTTAATGTTAGCGTAGGCAAAAAGTGCACATTGATGTCTTAACCCTTACGGTACGTCCACACAGCAGCTTTTCAAAAATCTTGAAAATCTTGGAGCTGGGCGTGTCTGAAAGTTTGGGGATTTTTTGCGAGCAACACGACCAACAACCAATCACATGAATCTCCCACCCCCGACATACAAAGCAAAAAACCCCGGGGATTTTATGCGAGCAATATATATATATATATATATATATATATAAACTCCCCAAACAGGCGAAAACCAACCAGTTTCACCCACTGTCTCTGCCACCTCCCTCCATGCCTGGTTCCTCCGGTTTGTATCGCGTTAATAGTTCTGGTCGTAAAGAACCGGGTGATTTGCTACCGTAATTTCTCGTTTGGAATATGAGGAAATTAACTGCGGTCTGGTTCTCCCTGCTTACACGCGGTTTGATTGGCTAGCGCTTCTACTGTCAGATTTGCATAAACGGGATTTGATTGGCTGACGCTTCCAGCTCAGCTTCAAAAGTTGAACATTGCTCAACTTTTGCATCCTGAAAATCCTGGAAATCTTCGCTTCGCTCCCCCACAATGCAGTTCGGCGAAAAGCGAGGCAAAGTGACGTCATCCCCATTCAAAGTCAATGGGCAGAGAAGCGTTGGAAATGTTGGAAGATTTGTTTAAAGCTGCTGTGTGGACGTACCGTTAGATGCACGAGTGACTGGATCCTACACTCTTCCATAAGTGGGTCAAAAAGGACCCGTATTAGAATAATGTGTTTTTATGCAATTGTTGTCATTTTGGTTAAGCAAAATCAATGGTATAATATTTAGTATTATATTTTGGTTCACACTAGAAATATTTAATTTTTCACTATTTAGAATTTTAGATTTTTTTTTAACATTTTTAACATATTGATGCAACGGTCTCCGCTATTCTGAGACCCTCACAGTATTCCAGTCCCTTTTCAAAACTCATCTCCTCTTGTCTACTCATAGCCCACCCCCCATCAATCCATGCCGGTTGATCAAGTTTGATAGTCCTATACCCCCCACCCTAATCTTCCCTTATATTGTAAAGCGATGTTGAGTCCTTGAAAAGCCCTATACAAATATAATGTATTATTATTATTATTATTATTATTATACTGACAGGTATCAGATCTTGCTGTGTAAAATAATCTTCCTGAGAGGTGTCACTTGTGATGTAGTCTGTGTGGTCTATAGTGAATGTATGTTCCCATAGGATTCCATAGAAAATGACATGTTTGACCCACTTATGGAAGCTTGGGGTAGTAATACAAAAACTACAATTTCTTAAAATTTGAATGGCATGATATCCAAAACATGTTTTTTGAGGAATAGCTGGAATATAAAATGATTAAAAAAATGTAATTACAAAGAAACTTCAAGAAAACCACCCCACTTATGCATCTAAGGGTTAAGTATCCAGCAATGCAGTACCCTCAAGGAAGACCTTAAGCATTTGAAAAGAGAATGAAGTCATTCATATTATATGTGTTTGTGATGTATTTTGTTGTTGTTTTTGGCATTTATATTGATTGCATGTGTGTGTGTAAGTGTATGCATAGACAGATACATGTATGATACTTTTATTTTTTTCAAACTACAGGATCATAAGTATGTATATATATATATATACACACACACACACACACACACACACACTTCCATCTCTGGTTATAATTAGCTTATTAATTAATCTTAAAAATGTAATTAGGGCTTGTGATTTCCTACGTAAATGGGGGCGTGTCCAGGGTGTTAGCCGATTTGCTACTAGCTACCTTCCTTGCTAACAAGAACAGATAATGTTACTTAGCAACCACAGAATTCCACGATTCTTTCTCGTTCCATTCGAATCCATCGTAAAAGATAATACACGAACGCTCTGTTACACTGCTAACGTTACCTCATTCGGCTAGCTTAGCTATTAGCTACAGGGTTGACTTATATCAACAAACACAGTTAGCTAACTCTGTCTTGATGTGTTTTTCTACGCCTTTCTCGCTTTTTACAAACATTTCCACGACTAACGTTGATAACTAACATCCGACATTAGCGAACATGTAGCTAGATGGAGCTATGACTTCAAAATAACGTGTTTTAACCACGTCTACATAACTCCTGAAGCAATAGTTAGCTTACGGGTTGACAACAAGCATAGCTAACAACGCAATATGCGAAAATGGCTTTGTTTTATGAAGTTGCTAGTTAAAAACTGAAACGCACAACAACAGTCATTTTTTTAAATTGATTTAGACCACATAAAACAAGTGATCGCACTGCCACCCTACCTTCCAGTAGTCGAGAGATGAGGCTGTCAACGTTTAGCTCGCTTTCCGCCATGTTTCTGATACTCTCAGAGGCAGGCAACGGCTACAGTTAGCCCTGCACACGGACTTGTAGGCTCAAAAGAGATTCAGCCTTCCCATTATACATCCATGCTTCCCATGCTAGCACACACTTGCCAATGTATAGTTTAGTACAGACACACATACAAATATTGGTCTTAAGTAACTAAGTAGATACTTTATAAAAAGGGAACAGGTGAGTGGAGCATCATTGAGTTTCTTATTCTGTCAGTAAATTATCCAAATTAAATGTTTTTCATTATTTTAGTCAACCCTAAACAAATTGATTGTACCTTTTAATAATGACCTTACATGGTCGGCAAAGTTAAATTAACTTCAGAAAATCAAATCTGTTCTGAGAAAAAACTAATAAATGTTTAAAGATAGGAACTTGCCATCCCACTGAAAAACAGTCCGTAGAGATTTAAAGGCGTAGTTGTAGTTCAGTCCAACGTTTCATTTGGATTCATTTGACAACAGTCAACTATTTTCATGAAGAATATATATATTTTTCAAAGTCAACTTTATTGTCAATCTTACTCAGTTTGTGTTTATAGACAGAGATCAAAAAGACGTTTAAATAAAATTATACAATTTACAGATATGTATACAAATATATATATCCTATATACACCATCATGTATAATGATGGTGTATGATGTAGAAGGAAGTGTGGTAGATAACAAGTAAGGCCCAATCCCAAACCACTCCCTCGACCCTACCCCTCCGTGACGGAGTGAACTCCGTCTGTAGCCACACTCGCAGCTCAACGAGGGTCCCTCCTGTCAGATGGAGGGAGTAAATACAGCAGCAAGCTTTGGGACGGCCTCCCCTCTCTCCGGCAGAAACAGGAAATGCCGTAACTGTATGTAACAACGGTTTCAAATCAGCATCTCTTAGACAAAAAGTTTAAATTAATAACTCAAATAAAACTCCAAACATCTTTCATTGTGTTACTTTTTTGCAAAGCTCTTTTAGTTTTAAACCTGATGTTTATAAGCTTCTTAGTTTTTGCAACAGTCTGTAAATGTACACAACTTTATAATGAAATGCACACATTTACCTTTTTCTAGAATAAACACAGGTATGATCCTAAGTTAAAACATATGAGGTTATCATGAGGTTGTTAACATCGCAGTTTATCAGTGGATGTTTGCTGGAACTACTTGTAAACAGCTTGTTTCCTGACGGACACACACAGCGTTGAAACCGGTCAAGTAGAGACCGGTCTCAAGTCAGCACCGCTGCAGACTCGTTGTTTGAGGGCTTGATAGCCCAATCCCCCTCCACACCGCTCCACACTCGTTGGTTTGGAACAGCCCTCAATATGGCGGACCCTCCGCGTGAACGCGCAAACGGAGGGGTAGGGTGTAGGGGGCGGTTTTGGAATGGGCCTAAATATAGAGTTACATACAGATCCATGTTACAGCAAAAGATGGAATAACTAAGAAGCACGCAGTATAATAATAATTACATGCAACAATTAAATAACTGCTCAGCATCTCCTCCACAATCCCAATCTGCTGTGTCCTGTTTTCCTCCCCTCTGCATAACACCCCATCACACATACGAAACACAACGCAGAGTCCGAGGGTGTTAAGAGTATGTTTATTTAAATGTCCTCCTCTCTACTGGCCAACACAGGGAGCATATGCTGGGTGTAGAATTTTTCCAGGAGGAGGAGATTTCCATGCCATGCAGGGTCTTTGGGGATGGGGATGATGATCGCCTCCTTCGTGGTCCACACAACAAAGTAGCAGAGACTCCGGTCTGTGATGTGCAGCTGCCCTTGGACCTGGTGCCAGTATGGGTGATTCTCCTTGAGAATATATGACCCACCCTCCTCACGAAGACAGAAGGATGGTAACTGGACTGCCTCCGTGATGGTCATGTTCCTCTGGCTGTGTGGACACTTCACCTCCAGCAGGGCAGATGGCTGCACAAGTCCATCGGGTGATGCTCCCAAAACACCCGACTCACTCACAAAGAGACCAGACTCGATTCGAACACTGTCACTTGATAGGCCTCCACAAAAGCCTTCACCCCTTCGGCCTCGTTTACAACCCCCCAGTTGACAGTTGGCGATGTCTCTGGCCAGTGGGTTGTATGTCTCCTCTCGCTGTTGGTAAAGTTGAGACACCGGCTGGACTACTTTTTAAGTGCCAGGCTTCCTCCACTGGCACTCAACATCTGTGGAGCTGATCTGCCACATGGCAAATATTGCCAATGCTGCAGCGTGGCTGCATTTGTACATCCCCTGTGCACAATCACAGACAGCGCTCTGCATCGCGCCATCGTCTCCCATGCAGATCTGTACAAATAAAGTAAGTACCATTTGTTAGCATGCTATAATAGATTGAATGAGCAATAATACAAGGATGGTCCGGATCTGGGGGTGGGAGGGTTTATTTTCCCATAGTTTTGTCCTCTTGTCTGATTGTTGTTATTGTTTGTTTTTTCTGTATTTTTTGTAATTTGTGTTGTATTGGTTGTGATTGTACATTGTATTTTTCTAAATGTGTATGAATACATTTTTGAAAAACATTTGATCAACAATAAAAAAGGATTTGGTCAGCATCTAGACTCAGTGTGTAGTTTATTAATTAATCAATGCTCTCTACATTAGGAACACACATACCAGTGTACCAGAGGGAGTCACACACAGCTGTGCCAAGATAACCAAAATCCTTGAATCTACACACAGCAAATAAACTCAAATGACACAACGAGAAAAAGGAGATCACACATACAGTATAGTGTGGTGACCACCTATTTAACCACTGGGACATAATTCAAACTTGGAACTACAGTTGCGGTTATTGTTCCCACACGGACATGTTATGGGTTACCTATAAATAGTGTGTACCCTCTTGGCTCTCTCTTGTCGACCCGGGCTGCGACCCGACAACATGTCCTTTACAGCTTGTGAATAAATTACTATTCTTGCACCTTCCTTGCACCGCCTCTGACTCCATATCTCTCGGCACTACAATAGTCGATATAAAACTGGCCGCTTCAATCTGAAGAGCAACTAAAACAAAACACGGGAGTGTACCTTGTTCTTGTGAACACTAATGTTATCCACAGCATACACAGAGACCACGAATTTCTTAAGGAGAAAACTAGTTACTAAAACAAAACACGTTAGTGTACCTTGTTAGCTAATGTTAGCTAGCTGACATTAACGTTACACATTGCACTCATATTACTCACCGAAACCTTGTAAAGCCGGTCCCGCTGCTCTTACAGAACGGACTGTTTAATCATTTTAAGATTGGCTTTAATCAATGTTTGAAAATGAATTCTTCATAGCCTATATGATAAATGAGAGGTAACATTTTATTTATGGTATTATTTCCACATATTTCTCCATTCTTCCTTCTGCCAACGGTGTCGCAGTTTCTCGTCTCTCCTGTTTTTGTGCTTAGTGCGTACGCATGGGTTAGAGTTTGCGTGGAGGACCGCACATTTTCCTCTCAAGTTAGTATTTTATAAATGAGGCCCCTGAACAGGACATCGCACGCTCACTGCTTGATAGCGCGCGAAGGTCCGTTTACGCCGTTTGTTAAACAACATCGTTATGGGGAAATGCAAGTTTGCGTCCAAATGGTTGGAAGATAAGGAGGAAGGACAATCTGTTGTGTTCCGTGTATAGAGCTGTGTGTTTGTGGGAGCCCCCAGTGGCGAGTGATAATAGCGCAGCTTTATCTACAACAGGAAATAGTCATACAGGAAGTTGTGTCAGTCAGTTGGGAAATTACATGTGGCAGTCCAGTTTTTGTTAGCTCCACAATCTGGCTTCATCCATCTTCTGGAGACTCGTTAAGCGCATTGTCTGTAAGTAAATATGTTCGTCGAAACTATATTAATGTAGAACGGTGTTTATTTCATAATTTGATCGTATTTCTTACCTTTTATTATGCAATGTTAAACTGCATCTGCACCACTAGGCCTAAGCTAACGCCTCATGTCAATGACAATGTAACAGTATTCCGCTAGCGTATTAGCTCGTTGTTAGCTTAGCCTCTTTAGCATATTAGCTCGTTGTTAGCTTAGCCTCTTTAGCATATTAGCATTTAGCTAAACTCTTGTTTTCTCTTCAGTTATAACATAGATTTGTTAGCCTTCTAAGTTGTCTAACTAGTCTAGCATGACTATAGCATGGTAATTTATGTTGTGTTTCCGTATACCTGTCATGTATACTTATCCCATTGCAACTGTAAAACAATGTCTTTTTCTTGTGTGTTACAGTTTTACAATAAAGAATATAAGAATATTCAAGAGCTTCAGTAATCTCCAATTCAGAATCCCGTTCTCCTGGAATTATTCGAAGTTCATGTTTATGCTGACTGAATAGCTAGATTCCAGGAACATCTAGTGAGAACAGTACAGTAAAAAGACAGCATTACAACAAGCTCCACACATCGGAGAGCATCTACGTGGAACCTCAGCTATCTTAAACAACATTGAGCCACCTTTCACCTCAAGATGAGTCATGCAAGTTCCAAGACTGTCGGGGACAAAGCGGAACCTACGAACGACAAACTCAACGAGGAAACCCGGTCTCTACAAACCCGTTCAAGGGAAAGCGGTTCATCCCTCAGTTCAAATGCCATGCTTGCCGTCGCAAGAGCACGAGCAAAAGCCGAAGCAGCTGAAGCCAGAGCATCCTATACTCAGCGGGAGATAGCTTTAAAGGTTGAACAAGCCCGTATACAAGCTACACTTGAAGCACTTCAGGTAGAGAAAGAAAGGGACGCTGCTAAAGCCGAATTGGAAACCCTGGAAGCTGGCCTAGTTGAGAGTGATCTAAGATCTGCAGCCAAAAAACCTATCCCTCTCTCACCTCTAAAACGGCTGCAACATACGGAGGAATACGTGAAGGAGCAGTCACGTATTAAGTCATCACACCATTCCAATATGGACGAAGCCCCATTTCACACACCATATGTGACACGCCAATGGCAAACTGGACTTCCACGTGATGATCAAGGCAGCCTTCCCATCAAAAACAAGCATGGGGTCTCACACATAGGCGAACAGCCCTCCAATCAACACCAGTCTTCTACTCACCCACATGGGGCCTTCGGCATAAATCCACGTATTTCAGAGTACGACAGAACACCTACCAACCACGATCTTGCCAAGTGTCTGGCTCGCAACCAGCTCCTCACAACAGGCCTAAGCACCTTCGACGACAAACCAGAGAACTATTGGGCCTGGAAATCGTCTTTCAAGAGTGCCATTGCTGGATTAGACCTTACAGCAGGAGAAGAGCTGGACCTCCTCAGTAGATGGCTTGGCAGAGAGTCTTCAGAGCACGTTCGCAGGCTCAAAGCAGCGAACATCAGATGTCCGCCAGCTGGACTAAGTATGGCCTGGGAGAGGCTGGAAGAGACGTACGGCTCACCTGAAGCCATCGAGCGAGCTCTCTTCTCCAAATTAGAGCGTTTCCCAAAACTAACAAACAAAGAACCACAAAAGCTCCGTGAACTCGGAGATCTGTTGCTAGAGGTCAAAGCAGCAAAGCTGGATGGCTACCTACCTGGGCTAGCATACTTGGACACATCCAGGGGAGTTCATCCCATCGCCGAAAAGTTGCCCTATAATCTCCAGGAAAGGTGGATGTCATACGGGTCGAGATACAAACGTGATAACAACGTCAGCTTTCCTCCATTTCCTGTCTTTGTCGACTTCGTGCGCACAGAAGCTATGACACGTACAGATCCCAGCTTCAACTTCGCTGTTTCTCAAGCACCGTCAGAACCAAGAAAGGGCTCAGACAGGTTTACCAGAGCATCTGTATCCGTCAACAAGACAACTGTGTTCCCATCCAAGGAATACGGAGGTACAAATAAATCAGTTAACGACAACAAGCTCTGTCCCATACATGGGAAGCCTCATCCGCTGAAAAAGTGCAGAAGCTTCAGGGAGAAGACCATCGAGGATCGCAAACAATTCCTGAAAGATCACTCCATATGCTTTAGATGCTGTTCATCCACAGAACATCTCGCAAGAGACTGCAAAGCGGAAGTACAATGCGGAGAATGCCAGAGTGATCGTCATCCGTCAGCCCTCCATCCGGGTCCCCCCCAATGGACATCCAGGCCCTTCACCTCTTCTCCAGAGCATGGCGGGGAGGAGGACAAGGTCACCGAAGACGTCACCGCTAAGTGCACGGAGGTATGTGGAAGAGGAGTTAGCGCAAGAGCATGCTCAAAGATATGTCTCGTCAGTGTTTACCCTGAGGGGCACCATGAGAAATCAACGAAAGTCTATGCTATACTCGACGAGCAAAGCAACAAATCTCTGGCGAGGTCAGAGTTCTTCAGTGTCTTTAACATCCAAGGTGGTGAATTTCCATACACGCTGAAAACATGCGCAGGGCTCAAAGAGACAACTGGACGAAGGGCCCATGGTTACGTTATAGAGTCAATCGACCAGAAGATCAGTCTTCGTCTCCCTACACTCATTGAATGTAACCAGATCCCCAACAACCGTTCAGAGATTCCAACCCCTGATGCAGCTTTGCACCACAATCACCTGAGGAAGATGGCGGACGAGATACCATCCCTTGATCCGCAAGCAGAAATACTCTTGTTGCTTGGCAGGGACATCCTTAGAGTCCATAAAATCAGGAAGCAAATCAACGGGCCACACAATGCTCCATTCGCCCAGAAGTTGGACCTTGGTTGGGTCGTAATCGGCGACGTCTGCCTAGGAGGGGCTCACAAGCCATCTGTAGTGAGCACGCTCAAGACTGCCATCTTGGAAAATGGCCGCCCAAGCTACCTGCAGCCCTGTGGCAGTCAAGTGCAAGTAAAAGAAAGATTTGGTCACGACACTATGCACCAAGCTTTCCCAGTGACTTCTTCAGACAGTTCACCCTCAACAATAGATGAAGAGAATCTGGGTCAATTCATCTTTCGTCGCACTCCCAGCGACCACAAACTCGCCCCCTCAATAGACGACACAAGGTTTCTCCGCATCATGGACAGTGAGGTCCATCAAGACAACTCCAACAGCTGGGTTGCTCCCTTGCCCTTTAAGACACCCAGACAAAGGCTACCAAACAACAGAGACTGTGCCTATAATCGTCTAATCTCACTCCGTCGGACCTTAGAGAAACGTCCCCAGATGAAGACACACTTCCTGGAATTTATTGAGAAATTGTTCAAGAACGAACACGCAGAGGTAGCTCCTCCACTGCAGGAAGGCCAAGAAGTCTGGTATCTCCCCTCCTTTGGAGTCTATCATCCGAAGAAGCCGGAGCAGATTCGAGTTGTCTTCGACTCTAGTGCAGCCTATCAGGGCGTCTCACTCAACAACGTGCTTCTCCGAGGCCCAGACCTGAACAACACCCTCATTGGTGTACTCATGAGGTTCAGAAAAGATCTCGTCGCAATAACAGCTGACGTCCAGCACATGTTTCACTGTTTCGTCGTGAAAAAAGAGCATAGAGATTTTCTGCGTTTCCTGTGGTATCGCAATAACGATCTCGACAGCGACATCGTGGAGTACAGAATGCGTGTCCACGTCTTTGGAAACAGCCCTTCCCCAGCCGTTGCCATCTATGGGTTGAGGAGAGCAGCGAGAGAAGAAGAAAACGACTTCGGCGGCGATGCAAGAAGGTTGGTCGAAAGAGAGTTCTACGTTGACGACTTGTTAAAGTCCTGCCCCACTGAGGGAGAAGCTATCAGTGTCCTCAAGCGAGCTCAAGAAATGCTCGCCGTTTCCAACCTTCGGTTGCATAAAGTGGCCTCTAACCGACAAGCCGTCATCGATGCTTTCAGCCCAGAAGATCGGGCCAAAGACATCCAAGAGCGCAATCTTTTCAGCGACGATATGCCACTGCAACGGACTCTAGGAGTGACATGGAGCATAACAGCAGATACGTTCATGTTCCAAGTTGCTGCTGAACAGAAACCCTTCACCCGGCGAGGAGTGCTTTCAACCGTGAATAGTATTTACGACCCCCTTGGTTTCCTTACCCCAGTAACTATACAGGGAAGGCTACTCCTCAGAGAACTCTCCATACAAGCTGAAGAATGGGATTCTCCCCTTCCAAAAGGCATGGAAGTAGATTGGGACAGATGGAGGGAGTCTCTTCAAGACCTTAAAGATCTCAAAATACCAAGAGCCTACACGACTATCTCAAGCCCTAATGCTCAGCGCAGAGAACTATGCATCTTTGCGGACGCATCAGTGAAGGCAGTTTCAGCTGTGGCATACTTGAAAGTAACCAACAATGATGGACGAGTAGAAGTCGGCTTCGTCTTTGGAAAGGCCAGACTAGCTCCAAAACCAGACCTTTCTATACCTCGGTTGGAGCTTTGTGCGGCAGTTCTCGCTGTCGAGATGGCCGACATGATAGTGGAAGAAATGGATCTGAAGTTTGACAGCATCGAGTACTACACAGACAGTAAGGTGGTACTTGGCTACATCCATAATCAATCCAGGAGGTTCTACGTTTACGTGAACAACAGAGTTCAGCAAATCCGTCAGTCCTCAGCTCCAGAACAGTGGCAGTATGTGTCCACCGATCATAACCCAGCAGACCATGGGACTCGATCCGTGCCAGCGTCACTTCTGGGAAGTACAACATGGCTCACCGGGCCAGCCTTTCTCCGGAACCCGTCTTCACCAAAACCAGAACGTCAAGAGATCTATGACCTAGTTGACTCCATCTCAGATTCCGAGGTTCGCCCACAAGTTGTTGTTAACATCACTAACATCAAAAAGGACACTTTGAACACAGCACGCTTTGAGCGCTTCTCTGACTTTGACACTCTCATCAAGGCAGTAGGACACTTAGTCCACATCGCTTCGTCTTTCTCCCAAGCTAGACAGGTGGACACCTGTCACGGGTGGCACATCTGCCACAAGGGGCTTTCCAATGGGGAGACGGAGAAAGCTAAGATACTGGTGATTAAAAGTGTGCAACGTGAGTGCTACGCAGAAGAGTTCAGGTGTATCGAAACGTCAGGCAACCTTCCTATCAACAGCAGTCTGCAGAAACTACATCCCTTTGTCGACAGCACTGGAATACTCAGAGTGGGAGGTCGCATCAAAGAGTCTCAGTTAAGCACAGACGAAACCAACCCCATCATTATTCCAGGCCATCACCATCTAGGAACCCTCATTGTTCGTCATCACCACCATGCTGTGAAACACCAAGGCAGGCATTTTACAGAGGGCGCCGTCAGAGCATCTGGAATCTGGCTGGTGAGAGCTAAACGAAGCATCAGTAGTCTGCTCTCCAAATGCGTGACCTGCAGAAGACTTCGAGGGAAAACAGAGCACCAACAGATGGCAGATCTGCCAGCCGAGCGGCTACAGGCAGCACCACCCTTTTCATATGTGGGAGTAGATGTATTCGGGCCTTGGGAGGTGGTCTCTCGCCGTACCAGAGGAGGGCAAGTCAACAGTAAACGCTGGGCAGTGTTGTTTTCATGTATGTGTACACGAGCCGTGCACATCGAAATCATCGAAGCCATGAGTGCTAGCAGCTTCATTAATGCACTCAGAAGGTTTTTCGCTATCAGAGGGCCCGCAAAGCAGCTGCGCTCAGATTGTGGGACCAATTTCATTGGCGCATGCAGAGAGCTCGGAATGGATGGATCCCTCCCCGACCCGCATGGCGTGGAGAAGTTTCTGGAGGCACAGAAATGCATCTGGGTTTTCAATCCCCCTCATTCATCTCACATGGGCGGTGTATGGGAGAGGATGATCGGGATCGCTCGTCGTATCCTGGACTGCATGCTTCTGGAAGATAAGTCACGCCTAACTCATGAGGTCTTGACGACCCTAATGGCCGAGGTCAGTGCTATTATGAACGCAAGGCCTCTGATTCCTGTATCTTCCGATCCAGAAGCTCCCGTTATCCTCTCTCCTCTGATGCTCCTGACTCAGAAAGTCGGCGCTCCTCCAACTCCACCAAGCGACTTCAAGAAAGGAGAGCTTCTCAAGGCAGAATGGAAGCGTGTCCAAAGTCTGGCGAACACCTTTTGGACTAGGTGGCGCCGAGAGTATTTGAGCACCCTGCAAGTCCGGCATAAATGGGTAAACAAGAGGCCTAATCTCAAGCAAGGAGATGTAGTCTTAATGAAAGATGCTCAAGCAAAGAGAAACGACTGGCCCACTGCAGTCGTCACAAAGGCTTTTCCGAGCCAGGATGGACTGGTGAGGAAAGTAGACGTGCGAGTGATCAAGGAGGGCAAGCCGAAGGTTTACTCCAGACCTGCGACGGAAGTGGTCCTTCTCCTGTCTCCAGAGGACTCTCAAGATTAAAGTAGTTGTAGAAATGTGAGGTCCTGTCTCCAAAACCTCAAGCGGGGAGTGTTGTGTTCCGTGTATAGAGCTGTGTGTTTGTGGGAGCCCCCAGTGGCGAGTGATAATAGCGCAGCTTTATCTACAACAGGAAATAGTCATACAGGAAGTTGTGTCAGTCAGTTGGGAAATTACATGTGGCAGTCCAGTTTTTGTTAGCTCCACAATCTGGCTTCATCCATCTTCTGGAGACTCGTTAAGCGCATTGTCTGTAAGTAAATATGTTCGTCGAAACTATATTAATGTAGAACGGTGTTTATTTCATAATTTGATCGTATTTCTTACCTTTTATTATGCAATGTTAAACTGCATCTGCACCACTAGGCCTAAGCTAACGCCTCATGTCAATGACAATGTAACAGTATTCCGCTAGCGTATTAGCTCGTTGTTAGCTTAGCCTCTTTAGCATATTAGCTCGTTGTTAGCTTAGCCTCTTTAGCATATTAGCATTTAGCTAAACTCTTGTTTTCTCTTCAGTTATAACATAGATTTGTTAGCCTTCTAAGTTGTCTAACTAGTCTAGCATGACTATAGCATGGTAATTTATGTTGTGTTTCCGTATACCTGTCATGTATACTTATCCCATTGCAACTGTAAAACAATGTCTTTTTCTTGTGTGTTACAGTTTTACAATAAAGAATATAAGAATATTCAAGAGCTTCAGTAATCTCCAATTCAGAATCCCGTTCTCCTGGAATTATTCGAAGTTCATGTTTATGCTGACTGAATAGCTAGATTCCAGGAACATCTAGTGAGAACATCCCCTGTGCACAATCACAGACAGCGCTCTGCATCGCGCCATCGTCTCCCATGCAGATCTGTACAAATAAAGTAAGTACCATTTGTTAGCATGCTATAATAGATTGAATGAGCAATAATACAAGGATGGTCCGGATCTGGGGGTGGGAGGGTTTATTTTTCCATAGTTTTGTCCTCTTGTCTGATTGTTGTTATTGTTTGTTTTTTCTGTATTTTTTGTAATTTGTGTTGTATTGGTTGTGATTGTACATTGTATTTTTCTAAATGTGTATGAATACATTTTTGAAAAACATTTGATCAACAATAAAAAAGGATTTGGTCAGCATCTAGACTCAGTGTGTAGTTTATTAATTAATCAATGCTCTCTACATTAGGAACACACATACCAGTGTACCAGAGGGAGTCACACACAGCTGTGCCAAGATAACCAAAATCCTTGAATCTACACACAGCAAATAAACTCAAATGACACAACGAGAAAAAGGAGATCACACATACAGTATAGTGTGGTGACCACCTATTTAACCACTGGGACATAATTCAAACTTGGAACTACAGTTGCGGTTATTGTTCCCACACGGACATGTTATGGGTTACCTATAAATAGTGTGTACCCTCTTGGCTCTCTCTTGTCGACCCGGGCTGCGACCCGACAACATGTCCTTTACAGCTTGTGAATAAATTACTATTCTTGCACCTTCCTTGCACCGCCTCTGACTCCATATCTCTCGGCACTACAATAGTCGATATAAAACTGGCCGCTTCAATCTGAAGAGCAACTAAAACAAAACACGGGAGTGTACCTTGTTCTTGTGAACACTAATGTTATCCACAGCATACACAGAGACCACGAATTTCTTAAGGAGAAAACTAGTTACTAAAACAAAACACGTTAGTGTACCTTGTTAGCTAATGTTAGCTAGCTGACATTAACGTTACACATTGCACTCATATTACTCACCGAAACCTTGTAAAGCCGGTCCCGCTGCTCTTACAGAACGGACTGTTTAATCATTTTAAGATTGGCTTTAATCAATGTTTGAAAATGAATTCTTCATAGCCTATATGATAAATGAGAGGTAACATTTTATTTATGGTATTATTTCCACATATTTCTCCATTCTTCCTTCTGCCAACGGTGTCGCAGTTTCTCGTCTCTCCTGTTTTTGTGCTTAGTGCGTACGCATGGGTTAGAGTTTGCGTGGAGGACCGCACATTTTCCTCTCAAGTTAGTATTTTATAAATGAGGCCCCTGAACAGGACATCGCACGCTCACTGCTTGATAGCGCGCGAAGGTCCGTTTACGCCGTTTGTTAAACAACATCGTTATGGGGAAATGCAAGTTTGCGTCCAAATGGTTGGAAGATAAGGAGGAAGGACAATCAATACTGCATATAGTCAATATGAGGTAAAGTGTGTCGCCAAGGTAACCGGTTAAAACTCAAAGTGGCGATGGTATGGAAAAGGGTCTTAAAAAAGGTCTTAAAAAGGTATTCAATTTGACTTCAGGATTCCTGCATAGACCCTGGAAATGTTAAACTGGAAAAATAGTGAAGAAGCTTAATATTTAAAATAAAAGTTTAATAAAAGGTATAAACAACTAAATGTATAGCCTCAATGTCCTGAAATAGCTGAATAATGTAATAGTTGAATGTTTTCTGTAGCTGTAAGTAGGCTGAAGGAGTTAGATATTCAATGTAAGTAGTAGTGAATGAATGTGTATTAAGAAGAGAAAAGAAAGTAAAAACGCTTTGAAAAGCAGCAGAATATTTTAACTGCAAACGTTTGAACTAAAACCAAACGGCAACACACACACACTTCCCCTCACTAACACACACACATGTTCTTTTTCAAGGTTCTTTCTCGGGCCAATATAATCCCAAGCACCAATATATCTGTGTACAATGTTTGATACCAATATATCTGTGTACAATGTTTGATTGTTTAGGAAAGAATAGTTTGTGTGAAACCTTCCCTGGGAAATTAAAGGAGTTGAGTCCGGTGGAAGATAAGAAGTGGCACTCCACCCCAAAATATGTCCATATATACTGTTGTGTAGTCATGCAAAATGCCCCCTGTTTCTGACTGGCTGGTCCCGATATCTGTATCGCACGGCAGTAGAGCGGGGTTAAGGTGTGTCTCATGTGAAATATGAAGTTGAGATGTGCATGTTCATTCTGCGAGACACCCCATAAGAGGACTGACTACTTTAACTCTGCTCTGATTATATCAATTCATACTACAACCTTTTTGAAAGACCTTTAGTGTATCTATCATATCACCTGCGTTATGGATTCTCTGGATTTAGTCAGCCCTTACCTGTTCAGTTACAAAGGATGCTGCTCTCCGGTGCAGGAGCTGATGAAGCCAAAAGACCTTGATGCTCTGCAGCATGTGGATGTCCGGCCTACTGATATCTATATGATCACTTACCAAAAATCAGGTCAGTGACTACCTCTAAGTAAAGGTACATAAATCAAAATGTATTTTTATTAGGAAAAAGTACACTTTATTGGATTATAATAATAATAGATGCATTTACAGTGGGTGTGCATAACTTAGAAGTTGGAGCTCATTTTACGAAGTGTATTCTTTCCACAACCGGTAATAGGCAAAATAAAAAATAGGTTTTCTCTAATCCAGTAATTATATATAATCCAGAAATCATATAAGATTCTTAAATGTGCCATAACGAGTATTTTTACTTTTGGTACTGTAACTATATGCTGATTCCAATACTTTTGTACAAAGGAGATTTGTCACATTTCTCATGGGCATACCCCACATACTCAGCTCTGCTGCTCATCCCACAAATGCTTGTTCCTCACAAGCTGGAAAGGTAAGAAAACAGGTTTTCCAACGGTATAAGATTTATTGCCAAAAAGCATTGTTACAACATAGAAATTATCCTTACTTTTTGTGTTACATTTATAAGACTAGTCACACTTTAAAGTGGACCTATCATGCTATATTTGAGAAATATATTGTTGGGCCATACCTATATAAAACATGTCTGTGAAGTTTTTTTTTCAAAATACCAAACAGATCACCCATTGTAGCCATGCCTCTTACTGCTCAAACCCCTCTTTTGAAGCCCTTCCATTTCTGGAAGTTGGCAACCATGGGGAAAGGGGAACACATTTCAAAATAAAATACAATAAACACTACATCAATAAATAGTATAAACTGTATAAACATGTGCGCATATGCAAGGCCCGAAGCCCTCAGTGACAAAGTTACCTTCGTCACATTTCCTTACCCCTCTCCCCAGGAAGCACAGTGTCTTAACAGTCTCGGCTTCGGGACAACCAGTCAGCCACCCGGTTTTACTTCCCTGGCCGGTAGTTAACCGCAAAGTTGGATGCGATGCGCATGGTTGCATCTCTCTCTGGCCTTGGCCATTTTGCTTTTCCTCCATGGGTCTCCACTCCGCCCGGTGTTTCCTGGACTCCTCTATGTGCTGCGGAGTGGCTCTGACCTTCTCCAGCCTCAGCTGCGTCTACACCGGATCCTCATCGTACCCCTTCCTGACACGCTCATCAACCAGGAGCTTCTCCGTCTCAGCTGTACTGTCTGCTTCAGCGTCTGAAATGGTTACCTTTGGGACGTCTATCCCCACGGCAACAACCTGCTTCCCCTTGTGCAGCAGGGTTTTGGGGGCCGTGAAGTCGACAGGAAGCTTCCCTTTCTTCCTCTTCGGGATCTGATTCTTCCTCTCCAGGCGCTCCTGCTGTTTCTGCTGCATGACGCGCTCTATCTCCTGACGGATTTCCTCAGCCATTTTCACCCGCTCCTCCTCTGCCAGTTTCTTCTTAGAGAGCCGGGACTGCGGCCTCTCTAGCTGAGTGGGATCCGCCCGGGACCGCTGCAGTTGCATCAGAAAGGCTATCTGCTGCTTCATCTGGATGAGCTCCCTCTCGCGCTCCTCCTTCTCCTCCGTGCTGCGCTGCAGGCTGATGTTCACATTCTCCAGCTTCTTAGCGGCCGCTCGCTCAAATTCCCTCTTCATCTGGCGGTTATTCTCCTCCAGGATTTTTACAAACTCCTCCCGCTTATATGTTTCTTCCTCCTGTTGTTTTCTACGGTCCTGCTCCCGAAGCTCCATGCGGTAGGCCTACTCTTTAATCTGCTGCATCACTTTTTCCCCTCTTTGGGTCCGGTCCCCATACCGGACGTCCTCAGCCAATCTGCCGTCTTGCCTCCGGAGTCTCCGTTCCTCTTTTATCTCAGATACCTGTTGCTGTATCCGTAAAAACTGCTGCTCTCCGGCTGCCTGAGACTGCATTAATAACATCATCTCCGTTAGTTCCTCAAATTTGCGGTTATTCTCCTCCAGCATTTTCACCTCCTCACTTGGTCAATCCCACTTCTGACACCAATTGTGAAGCTGACAATTAAGCGGCCCGACCAAGCAAGGAGGCAGAGGCAGAACGTCCAAAATACAACCCGGTGTGGGCATTTATTAAAGGGATAGTGGAAATCCGCGAATTTTGGGTTTAACTTATGTATTTTTATTAAAAATAAGCATAATAAACAATTTTTTTTAATTTCATGCGCCTAGTTTCATTTTATTTTCAATTTTACTGCGCCCTCTCAATGAAACGAAATACTTCGGGAATCGTCGGGAATCTTCGGGTGATGACGAGAGCATAGGAAGACGGGCACAAACAATGGCGGACATTCAATAGCATTTGCATGTGAATAGCCGAGTATATTGCCATAAATATGATGATTGATTATCAGTAAAAAATTCTACGTGACACAACGACATTGGATTAACCTTGAGATGCGTTTTTATTCCGTTGAACACAACTTTTGATCACAGATCAAAAAAGGTAAGACGTAATTATTGTAATCTTTTTGGAACCGGATGTTGTTTACTTTCTCTTTTCTGGCTGATATCTCCAGGAATTCGAGGTCTTACAGTGATGACATTACATGTGTGGAATCTGTGGAGTCTCAGCTTTAAATCGTATATCTTGTTTGTGCAGTTAAGATAGTAATAAGGGCATTTCTACCGTGTGTTGTGTGTAAAAAAGCGTTAGCATTAGTTAGCATTGTTTCGCTCAATGCTAATTCAAAGGCTTGGTATTATGCTTGTGTTTTTTCTAGCTAACAATTGTTCTTATTGTCAGTTAGCGGAGTTTCTTACCTTTAAAAGGGTATGAAACATTAATAGTTTCATAAATGTTAAGAAGCCCTGAGACATGTGAGAGAAAAAAAACTGTGGGAGGGGTCCACTGGGGGGACCTTCGGGATTAACTGGTTAACAATGATTAATATTTGTAAAGGCTACAGGTGATCTTAAGATGCGTGAGCTATGCTTAGGGACCTACCAGTCAAGATTATTTGTGCGTAGGGGTGCATCATCTGGCGCCTGGTCCTGGTCATCCTCGCCATTGCCCATGCCGTGAACCATCACCTCGGGCTCGGGCTCGAACAAATAAGGACGTAATGGTCCATCGTCTGGCTCAATATTGTCACCATCGTCGCTTACTGAACCGGATTCAGATTCAGTTCCTAAAACGACATTTTCGTAGGAAAGCCGAGAGGATGTTTCTGACTCGCTATCATCACTGGATACCTCGTACAATCCTTCTTCTTTGTCTGGCATATTTGCCCTTCCACGTTCATTCTGCATAGACGCCACGGTTTGTTATCGTATCGTCTTCCTAAGTTTTCGTCACTTCCGGTTTGGCTGAGTCGAACATTTCGTTTCTAAAAAACTTCGAGGAAGCTGCAATAAAGTGCTTCTAACATGCGTAAGGCATTTATTATATTTTTTTAATCAGGTGTGATTGTTTTGGTACGTAATTATGCTTGTATATAAGTTAAAACGAAACTATTTGAGGTTCCATTTCCACTATCCCTTTAAGTCATGAACACATGACACACAGCCTCAATCCTGCTGTTTCTCCCTGACCACAGCCTGCAACCACAAGGATCTCACATACACTCTCTCCCAAACAGCTAAACCCCAGAGCCTAAATGCCCAACCCAATCAACCCAACAGGACACAGGTGAGGGGGGAGGAGACACCACAGAGCACCAGGTGCACACAATCAATGGCAACAGAGATGGGGAAAGGGAAACACATTTCAAAATAAAATACAATAAACACTACATCAATACATAGTATAAACTGTATAAACATGTGCGCATATGCAAGGCCCGAAGCCCACAGTGACAAAGTTACCTTCGTCACAGTCCCCTTTAAGTAAATCCCTAAACTACCCTGTAGAATGCAAAGTAATTCAATTAGCTGTACCTTTACCAGGTGCGATAAACCAATAAACACAGGGAAGGGTGAAACATAAGGAAGAAGCCATGTTGGAATGAAGTGTCTAGCACTCCTTTCTTTTTTCGTATAGTTTTCAATGGCAGAACCTTTATTGTCTATTACAATATATTTTATTTCCCAGGACATTTCTTTGGCAGAACTTTGTAATTTGCTATTATTTACAGGAAAATGGATACAGTGTTCATTATACTTCCCGTTAATTAATTGTAATTAATTACCTGGAGAGTTTTTGCATTATTGCACAGCAGGTGAGCTGAACATGTGAAACTTGTTTAACCTGTTAAGCCCCAAGCCTGTTTTTCAGGCTCGAAAATGACATTCCCAGAACAAATGACTATTGTCTTCACTTCTAAAAGGGGTAAATTAATAATCTTTTTTCTCAAAGCAATGATAAACCTGTGAGTTGGATGTAGAAAAGTCAGAATCAATATAGAATGTTTTTATTTTAAAGTAAATCAGATTGAAAATAGTAAAAAAATGTAAATTATAGTGTCCGTCCAAAAAAAAAACATTACTTAGTGAAAACCACCCTTGAATGATGGGATAGTAGACTAAACGCTTTAGGAATCCAAACTATAACATATAATAAGTACCCTGTATCAAGATTGATGCAAAACAAGTGACCTTTGACCTTTTTAGAGAGGTTTTGATCTCTCAGTGATGTTACTTATACCTCTGGAATCTGTGGAATCTCAGTTTGCTAGCTGATATCTTGTTTGTGCAGATCCGATAAGTAATAAGTGTATTTCTACCGTGAGTTCTGTGTTTCGCTCAGGGCTAATTCAGAGGCTTTGTTATTACCCTTGTGTTTCGTTTAGCTAAAAATTGTTAATATTGTCTGAAAGCTGAGTTTCTTCCCGTTAAGTGGGTATGACACATTCATAGTTTGTTAGATGTTAAGAAGCCCTCAGACGCTGTTTCTTGCAAGATGTTGCGTTTTGCCCCCGCCCGCGTTAAAATCTATATTTTAACATATAGATGCATTAACTTTTTTCTGTGCTAAGGCTCATTATGGATGCAGCAGATACTTGTCAAGATCATGGATGCTGCACATCCCGACATGGAGGAAGAGGCCGACAATAGGGCGCACGTTCCCTATCTGGAGGCCAACACGTTAGATGACTTTCGTCGAGAGAGGCCAGATCCCTGTCTTTATGCCACACACCTTCCCCCTGACATGTTGCCTACTGGATTGAAGGCCAAAAGAGTCAAGGTAATGAAGGGATGGACTTACAATACTGTCTCTGCTGCTGTCACTCCAGCCTGGAAATGAACTTAAACTTGCATTATACAAAACACATTTTATAATATATATTGTTGCAACACAAGGCATCTGTCAACCAAGCAAAAATGCATCTATTTCAGTCGATCTTCAAATATCGGTTCCAGAAATGTATCCAAATTAGAAGATATTCAAGTTTGACACTGCCTCATTTGCATGTTCAAACATTCAGTGTTTTACTAAAAGTAATTGTCTTAATGCAGTGCTTCTCAAAGTGTGGTCCGCGGACCACTGGTGGTCCGTGAGCGCCCCCTAGTGGTCCGTGAGTATATTGGTAAAATTTCACATTTGAAATAAATAAATAAATTTAAGTTTTTCGCACTCTCGTGGGAATATCTCCGCAATGGAACGAGCTTAAGTTTCACTTTCAATTGCATGATATAGCCCAGATAAGCACCTTCATCACACATGTTGCCACTTGTTTGTACAATTTTCAGACGATTTGTAAAAAACTATGTGGTTTGGATATTTATGGAGTTAGGTGGTCCTCGAGTGTTTTTTTATTGGTTAAGTGGTCCTTGGTATGAAAAAGTTTGAGAAACACTGTCTTAATGTAATCAACCAGGGAAGTGTTATGGTGATATCTTGTTAAAATATTAACCATCGTGTCTCAATATATTTTTAGCATAATAGTAAAGCGGCTGTTGTATAGTCATGAGAAGAAACTAAAAACTGAGATTCGAACCTCAACAGTCCTATGGTGCGGAATTACAGATACTCCGTTTTTATTAACTTCACAAGCTGTTTTTTAGGTTGTGTATGTGATGAGGAACCCCAAAGATGTCCTGGTGTCCCTCTATCACTTTTCTCACAGTTGGAAGATGTTGGAAACACCAAAGAGCTTTGAGGCTTTCTTTCAGGACTTCATTGATGGCAAAGGTAGGTTAATTTGTATGGTATATTTAATATTGTTTGAATACAACATTTGAGAAAAAGACAATGTGTGTCTAAATCTTTCCTGTTTTTCATTGTGTAGCAGTCTATATGGGACTGTGGTTTGATCATGTGAGAGAATATCAGAATGAAAAAGACAAGATGGACGTACATTATGTCAAGTATGAAGACATGTTCAAGGTTGGAAATCATTTTTTTATATATATTTTTTTTGTTTTAGTTCTTCCACGATGACAAGGTTGTTGATTATAGAAAAAGGTTTATTTTCAATGTTTAACTTGCAACAAATGTGTAGCGTCCTCTCATTCTACTTCCCTACCAGTATACAAGCAGATATATATATATATATGATGTTAACTATAATTCTCTAGAATATAGTAGTAAAAATAAATAACATGCTTTCCTTTACATGTGGAATTGACAGGACCTCAGAGGGGAAGTTGTGAAGCTTTGTGATTTTCTGGGAAAAGGTTTGACTGATGAAGCCATCGATCATGTTGTGGAGATGTCCACGTTCAAAAACATGAAGACAAACCCCAAAGCGAACTACAAGGACTTGGTTGAAAAACAACGCTACAGCAGCCCAACCATGCGCAAAGGTTTGTTTCCAGCTTGTTTGGTAGAATTACATATCGCTTGATGCTTGATGTTTTATTAAAGTCTTTGTGTGTTTGTTTGTGACAGGTGCGGCAGGCGACTGGAAGAACTTCTTCACAGTGGCTCAGAATGAGTATTTTGACCGAGTGTTCGAAGAGAAGATGAGCGACCTTCCTCTGAGCTTCACCTGGGAGATCAAACAGTAGCTCCATTATCATTCAAAAATGGCTCTTACATGGGGGTTTAAAAGAAAAAAGGTCCGGTGTTATTCTATATTCTGTTGCCAACAATATGTTTATCTTTTCCGCAGTTACGTAATCATCAAACAGTTGTGAAACATTTCACCCTAAACTACAAACATAAAATACATTTGGATTATATATTTACATATTTGATTCTACATCCCTGGATTCACACATGGGTAAAACATTTCCTAGATTACGTAGAGATTATTATTATTTCAGAGATGAGGAAACATTTTAGGGTACAATAATATTGTTTACAAAGTCAATCAACCATGGATTGGAGCAATTTTATTCTATCAATAAATAAAAATGAGAAGATAAATGTACAAAACGTCAGGATTCAGCTAGGTCAATTACACAAGGATATTTTACATTTAGTTGGCAATCAAAACATAATTACAAATATTACATACGTGTAGCACCTATATATATTACATACGTGTAGATTCTCTGTCTGATACTTTAGATGAAAATAAGGAGCCCCTGCCCACGCCCCTCTGAGAGACATTTGGTTACAAAGAACACAATGGTGCTCTAGGAGGAGATTCAGGTGATAAGGTGTGTGTGCGTGTGTGGGGGGGGGGGGGTTACCTTGGTTGGTGATTGGCTAATGGTTTCACAAGCCAACCAATCGTTATGACATCATAAAGTGGCCAAAATCTGATCAGCTCATTTTCAGACAGGTTTTTATAGAAATGGATCAGGACAAAAAGAGAGAGAATCTTTTTTCCTGAAACTTTCAGAATCTCTTTCCACAGAGGGGACACATGTTGATGTAGAAGAGACATGAAAAGGTGGATTTTGCATAATAGGTGACATTTAAATACCGCTATATGACAACAACTGCATTAAAAACCAGTTCCTTTCAATTCCACTGCTTTCTCCACTTTGTTTTTCCGACGCACACAGCTGGAGAGAATTAGCCAGGTGACAAACACGCCAGCCAGCAAACTGATGACTCCCACAACCACTGGCACCCACACAGGCAAAGAGGGGAGGCACCTGGAAACAGGAAGTGTTGGTACAGCAGTGGAGGTGGGGTTGGTGGAGGGGGGGACGGTCACTGCGGGACTTGGTAGGCTGTTGATCTTAGTGAAGAGGAAAGGATTCGCCTGTAGGAAACACATCAAGGGTCAGTGGACTCATTCATGGAAACTTTGAAAAAGAACCAACAGCGGCAACAACAAAAACTGCATTTGGAAACCCCTCAAATTAATCTGTTTCTGTATTGGTTACTTATTATATACTGAACTCCACAATATTTTATCTGTGTTTAAAGACAATTTTTGTATATGTAATATGTGCTATTATTTTTGACTTTAAATAGACATATTGATATTTCTTCAGTTTTAATTTTTTAATTTTATATTCAACACTTTTGTTCTCCAGACTGAATAACTCTAATTAATTATTTATAAGTACGTCAATACAGTCAATAGAATTTGGGTTGTGAGCAGTGGGATTTCCCTCCAGACTTCATAAATCTCTTCACTTACCTCAGAGGGACAGTTCATTTTCGATCGGTCATATGTGAAGTTGTTGTAGTTTTGCTTTCTTCCAACGGGCTCCAACTATTAAAACAGAGAGGGAAGTTATTTTAAAACCACCAAAAACATTTGTAAACATTGGGCATTGTGCTGCAGTAGTTTGGTTGCTCCTTGCTCACCATGTTATTCCACAAAGCTACGGCCATCTCAGCATGAGCTCGCTCACTCATGTGGAAACAGTCCACAGAGAAGAAACTCGTGTCAACCTCACCCTCCTGGTAAAAAAAAGTAGATTTTAAAATCACAGTTCAAGTTTAGTGACATTTTTAGAGCGTTTCAGATTTTATAATGGGTGTTGGGAAAATACTGAATGTACTCTTCCAATATCAGAGTAGCACATGATAACAAAGGCCCTATGTAGCTGTGGACGTATCCGGATGTATGATTACCTAGAAGAGCGTCAGGACACACTGTTTTAGGCATATGATAGCTATGTGATTAACATGAGGATTCAGCCTCTATGGAGATACACATATGACAATCATGATCATTTCTGACGTGGAGCTAATCTGAACTAAACATTGAATACTGCTTTGAACCATCTTGTGACTGTGTAACTCCCTCTCTTGTATATCAGCTTGTGAAGGACACTGTTCAGGAACTAGTTGTACCAAATGCTCTGTGTGTGATGACTACTTCCATTCTTGTCAGGATAATAAATACATGTATCCTGATTGTTGAAGCTCAAGCCGGTGACGAGTGATATGTTTCGAACAATGGGTGTGTACGTGACGGAATGTTCAGACATTCCAAAGGGACGACATCATCACTTCTTAGAGTGTCTGAACATTCCGTCTTAGAGTGTTAAAAGTCAGTAAAATTCTTGAAAGAAATATCTTAAACCTGATCTAAATCTTATAGTTTTCACTCTTTTCACATCATTTTAGATGTTTTTAGTAGCAAGATTAGTCAGCGTTGTCTCGATGTCTTCATTATATAAAATTGACTTACAAATCAAGCCTGAAACAGCCCTTCAGTGACAAAAACTCTAGCTGCGTCACCCATAGGGCACATATCCACGCCCATCTTACATTTTCTGTTGGGAGCGCCCTGAGACTTTAGGAGAACTGCTAAATACACACAAATCAAACAAATGGTTCATAAGGGGACACAGATGTTAACTCCAAATAATTGTATTAATACTATTTACGATTGTCTGAAGAGGAGGCTAAACTGTCACAGATAAACCTTAATACATTCTGAATGAGACTCAGTGCTTCACCGAGGATCTGCACCAAGTGCCAGTCACACAGTCAACATTTTTGAGGGGAATTTCTAGTAATGTCCTAATGTTTCTTTGTGTATCTCTGTTACTTACTCCAATATACGGGATGAAGAAATGCTCTAAAAAGGGTTGAAGGACGACAGCAAAGTCTTCTTTTCCCTCAAAGTGATCTCCGGAGATAAGATGCTGGATTTCAGCCTGGGAAGAAAGAAAAAATAAAATTGGATAACAGAGCGAACCCCATTAAAACAAAAATATTTAAATGGTTAAAGAACTCTTTGTTAACCTGATACTCGAGATTGATTCGTTTCATCTCTTCAAGCTCTGGGGAGTTTTCAGATGGATTGATGACACAGGGACAGCTGGTTCTGTAAAAAAAAAAAAGAAATTGAGAGATGTGATCATATCAAAGGGTTAGCACTGAACTATCTTATCCACTTTATTATCCCAAATGTTTTCCAATTCGTAAAGATTGTGTATTTCTTCTCACTCTGCTTGAGAAAATCTATATCTTTCTTAGACTTGAATGGTTGAGGAGACACTACACCAATGTAAGGACCAATGTTAGACCGGCATTTATTGATTTGTTTTGTTTTACCACTAGAGAGCAGCAGAAACCCGCTTTAAAAGGACAATGACCTACCTATCACCCTTTGAAATGTGTATTGCATAGCATCACCCTTCAAGTCGACACAACATTAGCATTCATTTTTTTGTGTTTTGCCAAATGTAAATCGAATACGTAACCACCTTCTTGCTCTGTTTTGGTCTCCACCAACTCCTGCTATAAATATGTTTTCCCTTGAACAGCTAAATGCTCCACTATGTTCTTGCATTAAAAAAAACAAACAAGAAAAACAGGCAAACCTCTGCAAGAGCGAACAGCCAAGTGTGTTCCTCTTCACTGATTTCAATGTATCTATCTGTAAGATCGGCACAACGTTAACCAGCAGCCTCGGTACCTAGAGATGCAGAGAGAAGAAGAAAACATGACATCTTGTACTCACAAGAACTGCAGATGACAATAATGTATAGCGTTTAATATCTCACCTCTTTGTAAAACATGTCCAAACCGCGCATGAGATGTTGGCTGTAGTTCGTGGGTGACAGATTATTCTGCAGAAATATGTAAAATATGTTTTTCACTGCAGTTCAATAACATACAGAAGTGTGCAAGTTATTTATGTACGTACATGAATTTAAAAAAAGACTTACTTGGTCTATACAGTAATGGCAAAGATCATTCCCTCCAACAAATATTGTCGCAAGTTTCCAGTCCTTTTCAAAATTCACCCCCTGTGTAAAATGTACCAAACATGTTCATGAAAGACAGAATTAGAGATTTTCTGATACATTACTTATCCTTGATGTAATCTTACCTTGTTTTCTTTCATGGCCTTGATGAGGGCTTGGACTTGCATTGGGATCTCTCTGTAGCAGAACAAATACAGTAAGGTGTTAGATGACAGCGGGAAGATTAAAACGTTTACACAGATGGAGGAGAAAGTCAAGGAATTACACGTACGAGGTCTTAGCTCCAGCTACAGCCATGTTGAAGGCCTTCCGTCTGGAGCCCTGGCCTTTGGAGAATCCCTTTAAAGTGGGGTTAAACATCTTCAAGATGTCTGGGATTAAGAGGAAAACAACTAAGTAACAGCCCGGGTTATAATTTAAATGTAGGTTTTTGACTGTTGTCACATACAGAATATTATCTCAGAGAAACTGTGCTTAAACTCACTTGGTAATGTTGTGACTGTCTCCAAAGAAGCATCACCTCCAATGCTGCAAGAAAAAGTAAACCAACATCAGCCTGGTTTGAAAAATATGTTGGTAAATGTAAACTTAATTAACACTACACGTATGTCGTACCTCCATGATACTCCTTTGTATTCTTTGTTGAGCTCAAACAGGTTCTTTGCCTTAGCACCACTGCCTGCCTATTAACAGAAAGCCACATATGAAGACACAGACAAATATAAATGACATTTTAAAAACCTTAACCCTTGAAAAGCTTCTTTATCATGGAGGATACAGTCATTTCAAAGGCTGTGTCCTGGTGTAAAATGTGTGTATTAACAATGTAATTACAGTGTAATATTGGTGTTGCATTCGTGTAATATGGGTCTAATAACAGCGCAACATGGGTATAATATGGGCGTTAGAATGGTGTTAACCGAGTGTAATAGGGGTGTAATAATGTGTGATATGGGAAAAGTAGCAGTGTAATATGGGTGGATAACATATGGGAGAAAAACGATCATTGATTTTTATTGATATGTGATTGCCCATTTAAGGGTTAAGAAGACACTGACACACTGTCAAAGATAAGTCTTACATCAAAGCCTGAATACCCGAACATAAAATACATGATCATCACTGGTGTAAGCGTTCTGGCTGATTACAAATTGATTAGAGAGTTCATAGTTCAATGACAACAATTAACTGATATTAAAAGGTTCAGTTAAAGGTCCCATGTCATGGCCATTTCTACTGATCATAATTCCATTGTTGAGGTATACTAAAATAAATGTATTCAATTTTCCAAACTCACATTGGTTTCTCATACAGCATCTCTGTATAGTATGTGTATGTGCTTGTTGGAGCTCCTGCCCCCCCCAAAAACGTAACGGCTCCGCGGACGTAACATAACGGCACTCTACCCGAAATACGTCACTATACCCAAGAAGTAAACAATGGAAAAAGAGAAATCTCCAACGAGGCGTTCTGGGGCAGCACAGACAGCTATTTTCTGTGTTAGAGTTTTACTCCCTACAGCGTGTACTTTGAGGGTTTGTGACTCTGCAGACCGTTTACATGCATAACAAGCTACATAACACACAAGGGGATGGGTAATAACTGGAAAAGCATGACATGGGACCTTTAAATGTCGAATGTATACGGTCAAATCACACATGTAAAAAAACATAATCACTATATTTTAAGTACCAATTTTCTAATGCTTAATTGAACTACTGCCTTTTTTAAATAGCAACCAAAGTCCCGTAAGGTGATATTATCCTATTTGCAGAAGTTATCATCTTGTAGGAACAAGTTAATTATCTCTTGTGCACACGATAAAGAAAAATCACCTTACTGGACTTCAGGGGCTCGGTTTGTCTCCTTCTTTGTACTTAAACTCTAAACCGGATATCTTTGCAACACTTACCGTTAAAGAGTCTCCCAGTGCTGCCACCACTTTAATGTCAGCTGGTCTCAGCTTATGAACTAAAAGACAAAAAAGAGATTACATTTGACAAGATAAGCCACAAAAACATCTCTTAACAATCTTATATTCAGCATTTGAAGCTGGGCCAGATCTATGTTTGAGTAATTGGGCAAAAATGTCATAATAAAGGCTTATTTTAGTTTGAGTGGTCTGCGGGAGAAATGGACTCCTGCATTTCCTGTTAGCTCTGTTTTCAGGAGAAAATATATATATAGCCAGGAGATATTGACCAATCACAGGTCTTTCAGAGAGAAAGCGTTGGCTGATCTAGAAAATATAGATGCACATGCCTTCAGATGTTTAAAGATGAATGACTAATATGTTTACAGGTTACTGAGAGTAAATAGAAAACTGCCTATCCGGCTCTACCACTTAAATTACAATATGTTTTATGTCATTATTGCCAAATTACATAAAAAATAAACTGCCTATTCTGGCTTTAACAAGCTTTTATTTTAAGTATCTCCTACTTTCTTGCAGATGAAAGAGAATGTGTATATACTTGATGTGAAGCATAATTTGTATGTGAAGCATCTGTTATCTTGATGAGACATTGAGACAATTTATGGTGAACATTGGTGCAGTTGATATAAGCCATTTCACTCTCAGTGCCATAAGTGGTGTTTAAAACTGTCTTTGTTTCATCTTCCAGATAAAAGAGGCCATTGAATGTCATATCGACGGACTGCTGATAATGCAGGGATGACTGTCTCACCAGAAGTTGGCACAGAGTCGGATGGAGCAAGGTCCACACAGGAAAAATTACTTCCCCAGTTCTGTGAGGGAGAAAATATCAAAAGATCAAATTAATTCAGATATTAGATGGATGGACATATAGAGCAATTCATTGTGTTTTTATACTGTAATTCTCAGACAAATTCATTACTTATAAGTAAAACTGTGTGGTAAGTGCTGTGACATCTTTCTGATGGGTTTTCTGATGTTTTTCTCACAGACATCCAAAAAACCAGTCCATTCAGCTTTATTAAGTTAAAGTAAAACATATACACATAACACTTATCATATCTGTACTACAAGTCACTTCTCTTTTAGAGATCTTACCGGAATAGGTCCAGGTGTTGGAGAGGGACCAGCATATAAGTAATTGCTGTTATTATAGGTCCGGATGAATGGTGATGTCTGTAGAGAAACAAAAATGCTTACATTACATGATGGTTTTAAAATGTACGGAAGTAATGTACACCAAAAAACATAATCTACTTTTATAACAGACGTTTTGGAAATTTTATTTATAGTATTTTTACCACAGGATTTAACAATCACATGATTTGTAAAAAAGCACATTCATCAGCTTTCAAAGAATTCCCTATTTATGCACAATTTACCTTGGTAGGACATTTCAGGTCAACGTCTGCAGTGAAATCCTGTATGGTTGTCTTATTGCCCAGAGGTTCCAGCTGGAGGAACAAGAGTGTACTTTTCATATTAAAAGAAATACCGCCATCTTGTGAGTTCTTCAAACAAGCAAATATACACAGTTATATCTAATCTACCTGTCTTGTTATCCGAGGCTAGCCATTAGCTGTCTGAAGCTAATGTGGTGTTAATACAACAATAGGGGGCTAACTGTATGTAAATGCAGCTGTTCTGTATTTTACTTTAATTAAAGCTCATCAGTCATGTGATCATCAGAGATTAGAAGAAATTAGAAGTGGAAGTGCTAACTATTAAGTCAAAAACTCCTAATTTCAATGACTCCAATAGGACATGAGTGCAGTATTAGTGTGTACTGTTGTGCAATAAAGTTTAGTTGTTAATAGAGATACTAACCATGTTGTTCCAGAGGGAGCGAGCCATCTGCGTCTGGGCCTTCTGGCTGAGATGGAAGCAGTCTGCACTAAAGAATGAGCGATCAGCACGACCGTCCTGTGAAAAGGGGGGAGAAGTTACGTTAAACATACGAACTTTAGTATTGTTTATCAACTTGTGAAACATATGAAAAGACTAGGAGTTCGGCCAATGCAACATAGTGTAGGCTATAAAGAAGAAACTAAAATCAAATGCTGTATCATAGACATAATAGCTGTCCCCTGAAAAGTATCTATGGACTTAAGCCATCTGTCTTTTTGTCAATCTTATTTAACTTTTGTCAAGAAAGCAAATGTTGAATCAATTTGAAAGTGGTAAACCATTTCCTACGAACTTGATTCTGATGCTTAACCTGTTGTTGACTGATATGAGAGAGAGAGAGAGAGAGAGAGAGAGAGAGAGAGAGAGAGAGGAGAGAGAGAGAGAAGAGAGAGAGAGCAGAGAGAGAGAGGAGAGAGAGAGAGAGAGAGAGAGAGGAGAGAGAGAGAGAGAGAGAGAGAGAGAGAGAGATGGATGGATTAAACTCCCATAAAGTTTGTGTGATAAAGACAGAGCTTTGTTACTGACCGGCAGTCTGGGGAATATGAGTTGCCTGAAAAAAGGTTGGACGACCACAGTGAAGTCTGAGCGAGTGTCGTACTGTTTTGACTCCACAAGCTCTCGCAGTGAACGCTTAAACAGAGAAAGAGTATGTGTTTATTCCTGAGAAGGAAACTGGACTGTTTCACAATCATATTTTGTCTTTCCTACCTGATAGCCTCTGTTGATGTCATCTACCATTTGCAGAGCTTTAGAGTTGTGTTTAGGTAAGATAACACAAGGACACAGAATACTGGAAAAGCAGGTATAACAAGTTATTTCATTGGTTTTAAATATCTCAAGGGAATTTTTAAGGGCAGAGAGATGAGTGATACTCACTTGACCAGCCAAGTTGGGCATTTAAGGGATTTGTCCATGTGCATTTCTCTTAGTGGGGTAATATGGAGAGTCTCTATTAAGTTCACCAGAGCTCGGGGCACCTGACAGAGACAATTCATGTTTAAAAACAGGCCAACATATATAATGAAATTCAGCTGTTTGTCTGTTCACTTTTTACCTCTTTGTGAAGATAATCCAGGCTGACTCGGACATTACGAATAAAATTATCTTCAGAGTAAAATAGCTGTTGAAAAAAAAGAAACAGTTTCAGGTTTGGCCCCTCGAAGAAATGTATTTTATATAATACTCCACATCAGCACTCACGGAGTTGGAGCAGTGGTTGCAGACGTCATTTCCACCAATGAAAAGGGTGATTACTTTCCAATCTGATTCAAAATCGATTCTCTGTACAAGAAATAAGAATGTGAGGGAATGTGAGCAGTTTGTAGCGTTGTTAAAAAGAAGAAATCTTTATATGAATAATTACATTTCCCTCATTGGAAGTAATGAAATCCACAATAAGATCCTTTTCCCTCTTGTTTTGCTGTATACAATGTGCCAAATAATTGTAATCGTGTGTTCTGGTACACTGCTTCTATGTATCAATGTAGATTTCTTCACTGTTGTAGATGTAGTATATTCAAGCGCAAGACGGTTGTATAGTGTGTTTTGCCAATTTTAAAACAGGTAAAGAAAAATATCAACTTGTAAACTCACAGAGTCATTTTTCATCCTCGCAACCAGGGCTCGCACCTGGGGTAATAAGTCACTTAAAACAGAAAGAAAAAATAACACAACATTTTACTGAGACAATATTTAATATTATGACAATCATTTATTCCTTCTGATGTTTACTTTCAGCTTTTATCTTTCTATTTTCAAAATCTAAAGCTAATATATGTTTTAATTAAGGTTGAAAAATGCTTATACAAAGACTAGATTTACATAGTCAAACTAATCTTTTAACAATTAATCGGGGACATTTTCTCACAGTCTGTAAATGTATTTATATAAATTGTATATAGCTTTCTTTTCCTTTTTATGCAAGGATACGTATTGTACAATTTCAGACACATTTCAATGTAAACAAATGGACAATTATGGTCTCTTGCAGTTAAGTTTAAAAAGGAAGTAACTATCTCACATATTTAATAATATAAACACGAAAAAAGGTAAGAGGCAGCTGATGCCTTCAATAGTAAAACTCACTTGCTCGTTGCTCCTGCTACGGCCTGGTTGAGGAAAGACTCAGAAGTTTCCTGTTTTCCCTTTCCAACAGAGAAGCCCGTCAGGTTTTGGTTGAAATATTTTAAGATGTCTGTTATAACAAAGAAAAGAAAATTAAATACACCAGAGATACAAAGACTGACTTGAACATGTTATTTAAACCAGACACAAACTCACTGGGCAGCGTGGTGACAGTGGTGAGGTTTTCTTCTCCACCAATACTGCAACAAATTATAAGACCATGTTGAAACGATGACTTAAATATGTTCTTAGATGTATTTTATTTACAATATACACATTTGTTGGTTGGATATTTGTGTTAATCTTTATCTAAAAAATACAAAACCTTGCAACTTTTATATTATCTGTTTCATATCTCCGAATGTACATGAATATAATTTTATAAATGTATATGGAAGTGAGCAGTAGACACAGCATTATACAACATTTTTAAAAGTATGTTGCTCAATACAAATATTTGAAATGCAAAATAATGACTTGAAATTAGATCACTTTTCTAGTAAATAAACAGATGGTCCGGAAAAAATCTTCCACTTCCTTACAGAGCCCCTCCTCCAACACACACGAACGAGCACATGACCAATGAGGGCACGAGATAAGTTTGTGCACAGATGGAAGGCTGACAGGCAGGTAGGCCATCCAGTTACTTTAGCCGGGCCGGCTGATTGGTCGTGCTTTTTACAGCGCCACGGCTTCCACAGATGACATTTTTTAATGGATTTATTGTCAAAGCATTTACTATATTCTTTGCTATCGGGATGTTAAGAGCATTCCATGGAATATAACAAAAAGTGTTTCTGAAATAAATTACGTACCCCACCTTTAAAGACCAATAACACAAGTATTATGTTGCAATGTTGTTTCATAGTTGTGATTAAAAGTCTTAAATTACCTCCAGGATAAACCTCTGTACTGACGCAGGACGTCCAGGACGTTGTTCTTACTCGATGCGATACCGTTGCCTGCCTGACATATACAACAAAACAGAACATGGTTCAGTAACATGGAGACATAAAACAGAAGTTCCCCAAATATAACATTATAACAGGCTCGTTTTGATTTATTTCTTTATACTATTATGAAACTATTATTGTTTCCATTTCTCTAGTATAATTATCTAATAAATGTCCACCAAAGCCTTGAAATCATAGGACTGCTCACACACTTAAATTGTCATGAGTTTAAGTCTGATTTATTTTACATTATTATTGATTATTCCACAAATCAGACAGGGGACAGCATTACATCTTTTACATTTGCTATCATTTATCTACCTTTTTTCCTAAATAATTTGTTTAATACGGCAATACAGCCTAATACATATAACATATTGTAGTAACTATAAATTAAAATATCATCCAGCAGAATGAGGTTATTTTACTGGCCAAGTGGATGTTTAAAATGGAAAAAAAGTACAATCTGGTCTTACTTCCCGGATCTTTTCTCAGTTTTTTAAAAATATTTGTACTTATATTTGATACTTGAGATGAAATGCATTTTTCTTTTAACCTGTTTTATCTCCTTAAAATATTGATAAAATGACTCACTGTCAGAGAGTCTCCCACTGCAGCCACAACTTGAACATCTCCAGGCCTGAGTTCATGGACTGAAAATGAAGAAGACATCTCAAAAAAGTCAGGACAGTAAAGACTTTGAGAGTAAAAGTACAGTAATATAATACTCAAAACGTATGTGTAATTGTATTGTAGTATAGGACGCAAGAATTCATAGATATGTGATACAAAACGCCATAAAAGGTCACTTAAACAGAGGTAAGCAGAAGACTAAGAAATTGTAGAGGACTGATAAATATACATCTTAATAACAAGTGAGAGGGGAATTCAACATAAAGTGTGTTTTCTTTGTCAGATAAGAGGTTATGTGACACCGATGTTTTTGATGGTTGTGTTCTGATGAACAAATAGAGATTACATTATCAGCAGCAGTCATAAACAATACAAGATGACACACTGTAGGAAGGTAACTTTAACAAGCAAGTAAGAAGCATGCACAAGACAGTAAGGGATAAATAATTCAATAAAAAGTGATATATCTGATAGTTACAGAATAAAGGGAAAACAACATTAGGTGTGTGAGAGTATCAGCTGGAGTCAGTAAAACATCAAATAAACTGATCTGTTGGCCACATTTTTGATTGTATTTTCATGTGTTGTGTTCATTTAAGTTATAAAGTTAGATAGTTGGTTAGCATCCATATAATGTTTTTTGTAACGTATAACAATGATAAAGAGAAATATATAAAAACCAATATGAATAGATTCTCCCTTCCCCTTTTTAAATTGTCCCTAAAAATCATCATTTTTATTTTTATAAATTGTGTTTTCTTCGTAGGTTAAGAAGATGTATAAATGTGTCTCTTCCTGATCTCTCCTGCTGCATTTCTTATTTTCTCATAATCTGGATTTTATGTGTGTGTGCAAATAAAATAAAACTTTACCTGAGGTGGGTGGGGAGGGTGAGGCGCTAAAGTCCTCACAGGGCATCTCTGTGCCTGTAAACTGAGTGGACACACAGAGAAAGTCCACAGTCAGAACTAGACAGGAGGCGTACAGCGCTGCCAGCATCTTCATCAGGGCTCAATGTCGCTCTATACTCACAGGGTGAAGACCAGGAGATGCATCGCTGTGATGATATGAAGGAGAGTTTCCCTCCGTCCTCAGGAAGGGCCGGTCCTTTGAGGAGGAGGAGAAAGAGGAGGGATGAGAGAGAAGATGTGTAGGATGTACGTTTGTCTCACTGAAATCTTTATTGCATCTAATGGTGCATTATTAGTATTATAACATGTGAATGTAAGGGTGGTAAAGTGAGTTTGTAGCACAGTTACTCACTTCAGTTGGACATGGCAACATGATGAGTTTTTCTTTGTCTTCTGTGCTATGTTGGTCACTTGTGGGCTGCAGCTGAAAGACACAAAACCCATTGTCTTCATGCCTGCGACAGAGGGAACAATGACTCTGTATGTTTAAGTATATGTGTGCAGCCGGGGAAGATACATAAGTACATCTACATCTTGTATTCTGCTTCAAGTACTTTTTGATAGCCTTCCTTTCCAATGAAATCCACGCATATCTAAAAATGTGGTGATTTTGAGTTTATCTGATAAACTGAAGGAATTGAATCTGCTTTAATGTGTTATTATAAGAAATGTCATATTGTTCCTAAGATAAATACATGATGGTAAATGGATTTCATTTGCACAGCACCTCATCAGTATTTACAAGCCCTTAAAGCGCTTTTACTGTAAGTCAGCATTCACCCGTGCACACACATTCATACAGAAGCAGAGGCGCCCATACATCGTTTGTTAAGTATCTTAAAGGATACGATGACATGTCGCCTGCAGGGGCTGGGATATAACCCGCAGACTTTCAAATGTTAGATAAATACACTACCTTACAGCTACAGTTGCTATTATTTGGTTATTTAACAAGCGATGCTTCAAGCACTTGAGATGAACTTGTAGAATATGATTTTTTGTTGTTCTTAAAACTCCACATCATTATGTAAAGGAGTTCAAATTGGCACAACCTTAAAAAGCTAAAAGCAGCAGTAATAATAATAAGCCATGAACATTGCATATAACAGTAAAGTATGGTAAAACACCAACAGGTAAAACGTTTTGATTGCAGGAATTTGACTTGTTGTAGTGGAGTATTTCGTCCACTGTGCGGTGTGTGTGTGTGTGTGTGTGTGTGTGTGTGTGTGTGTGTGTGTGTGTGTGTGTGTGTGTGTGTGTGTGTGTGTGTGTGTGTGTGTGTGTGTGTGTGTGTGTGTGTGTGTGTGTGTGTGTGTGTGTGTGTGTGTGTGTGTTTCTGAATGGGAGGGAGATTAGATTGCTTTAGGCCTCACCAGGTTTGTCCACATCTGCACCATCAGGTTATCAGTGTGTTTTGACGCTTGTGACACAGATAGAGGCTTCCCACTCTGTCAAGAAAAAAACACCACATTGTAGAGAAAGATACAGAAAGTACATTTCCAGTTACTTAACGTGGATTCTTTATCGGTCATCAGCACAAACTGTGATAAATCAGAAGGTTATGCTCCTTGTTTATAAAGGATATGATTAGAATACATGTAAAATACTGTGACCTCATTACTATTATCAACAAACAAAAACAGGCTGAATAAACAAAGATAGCCTACAGATACAGGGATGTAGGTTTGATAACATGTTTTGTGTCCAGTTGCTTCATTGGAGAAATAATTGTACCTAATATTTGAGATCTGTCCTTAATAAACCTAAATCAGGAGTCAAAGGATATTGTTTTTATATACTTCCCTGACTAAAGTCCACAGTGAAAAGTGATAACAGTTCCCCTCCAGTAACAATAAGGAGAGGATGCAAAATGGTGCCTGTGAACTCACAGAGACAGAGGAAGGGTCTGCGATGAAAGGTGCTTCCTGCACAATGACGGTGAAGTCATCTCTGTCACTGTACCAGCGCTTCTGAACCATGAGCTCATCCAAAGACTCCTGGTCAGGGAAAAGGAGATGATAAGTTATATTTCACAGCAGATCCAAGGACTGAAGGAAGCGATGAGATATTCTGGTGTGAATAATGGACAGACCTGCAGAGCATGAGTCAGCATGGCCCTCTGAAGTCTGGCTTCTCCTTCACTCTCCATGCAGCGACACTTCCTGGCAGAAAAAACATTTGAACTCCTTTATACGCAATATGCAAATTTACAATTAGGTATAAGGCCTAAAATGATGATGTACTGGGTGGAGTGCAGGATGGAGTATTGTTTCAAGAAGAAATGTGTGAGTAAAGCCATGGTTCCTTGACAAGTAACTCTCAATATTTGTGCTTAATTTTTACAACCAAATGTATGAATCTACAATATCAGAGAATATCTGTTTATTTTTCACGTAAATCATTTTCACATTATTTTTTTTATCGCAAATTCACCACTTAAATCTCAGAGAACCTCCTTTTTTTTGGACCTATACAACGTCCCTTATATGGCATTATTTATGCATATTACTATTCAGAGTAAAACATTTAATGTTACATATAAACTCACTTGTTGTGGAAACCGTCACTTTCTCCATCCCACAATGCAACACTGACAATAGTCCGCTTCAGCTGCAACACAGAGAAAACATTTTTTTTAAATGTATGAAAACACAAAATGCAGTAACAGCGACTGAATGAAAAGCTATTGTGAAATCTACCTGAGAGTGCAGCAGCTGCAGAGCTTCATCCACCTCTTCAACCACGGCTGCAATAACAGAACTAACCTGCACACAAACACAGCAGTTAAACTCTGTAGACTGTGAGGCAACAAATAAAGAGTTCAAATCGTTCTGTAAAACACACAATATTTATGCATTCACACATTAAAATGTAAGTATTTTTCTCTGTTTACCTGCTGCTGATCACAGACACAGAGCTCATCCACCTGAGCAAGGAGAAGGACCAGCTTCCAATCTCTATCCACATCAACAACCTGTAGCGGGAAAAAACAAACATCAAAGAGATAGATGGATAGATAGATAGATAGACAGACGGATAGATAGATAGATAGATGGATAGATAGATAGATAGATAGATAGATAGATAGATATATAGATAGATAGATAGATAGATAGATAGATAGATGATAGAGTAGATGGACTAGATAGATAGATAGATAGATGATATAGAGGTAGGTAGTAGCTAGATAGAATAGATAGATAGATAGATAGATAGATAGATAGATAGATAGATAGATAGATAGATAGATAGATAGATAGATAGATAGGTACTTTATTGATCCCAATTTGGGAAAGTGTTGCGTTGCTGCAGCATAAAGCAGCATAGATATATCCCTTAGAACTTACCTGATTGTTTTGGAGGTAGAGGTAACTTCCTTTGCCTGCTCCACCAGCGTGCTACGAACCAAATGAATCAGGGAGAAAGAAACAAATAATTAGATGCAGGCAGGGTCGTTGCTACAATATTTATCATATCAGAAAATGGTGTCTGTACCTGTGTTGAACAAACTGAGCGGCATACAGGTTTGTTTCAGCTGAGAGAGGAGCGATGAGTGCAGGATTGAATAAAGTCATCAGCTCTGAAGAAGATAAATAACAACAGTAGAGATTAAACAGTTACTCCATTAACAGGGTTGTTTTATATTTGTGTATTGCCTATCTATAGATACTATATACAGTAGATATACATCGTTCTGCTGATGATATGTTTATCTTTACTTGTTATGATTATTTTTGTATTTTATTGCAATGCCTTTTCAACATGCTGATTTAACAAAACAATTTCCCAATTTGGGATCAATAAAGTACATCTAATCAAATTACAGAAAAGTATGATATTTGAATTATCGTTTTAATTCAATTTAAAGTAAAAAGGTCAAACATTTTTTATCTTTGTACAGTTAGCAAAGCATGTTTTACTATTTTAGGGATTCAAAAAATAGTTAGTTGTAGCTCTAAGACAAAATGTGTATTAATGGGCTTCATAATAATGAAATGTACTTATGTATAAGCCTCTGCATATTTAGTCTACAACAATAAAATAGAGCATCATTCTAATAAAACTAACTACTGAAAAAATTTCAGTGTTTCAAATCGTTTTTAAATCCTGAAGAGACATTTTAATCATGAGAAACAAATGTAAAATCCCACTGTAATGAACTGAACTTCCTGCATTGCATCAGTCAGTGCTTTGTCTCTTTGAATTTAATAACTCTTTATTTCATGAATGGCTTTAGTAGAAAAGATAACAGACCAGAGACCGGGTGTGACGCAAGAGTATTGGGGTTCATTGTTTGAAATAATCACAGTCAGTGTAGAAAAGATACTGCACAGTAAGAGCTCATAACATGTATTCAGAATGTGGGACACTAATTGTGAAAGTTACATAACTCTGGTGGCAATACATCAAAATGTCACAAGACAGTTTAAAGGCGGCCAAAAAGATAGGTAATACAAAGTAAATGATTTAAGAAACATTGGGCTATAGGCCAGATAAAATCAATACATTCAAACTTTGAATCTTACCTCCGAGTCTTGATACCACTGTGGACAGCTCAGTGCTGAAGGTAGAGAAAATATAAAAGTGGATTATTTTCATTTCATTTAATCGTTTATTTGAGTAGGGACAATTCACATTAATGAACACTTTAGACAAATAATGCTTCAAGTGTAAATATGCCGGATTTTAGCTTTCAGATCATTTCCATCCGTAGTCCCTCACATACAACATATAAGAACATGACATTTGTAAACATAGCAACAAATAAATACATGATATGCAAAAGAGCATGTCCATGTAAAAATGTATTAAAAAAAACACATACTTTCAAAAGACTTAAAATGGTCAAAACTCAAGAAATTGTGTTTTTCAAGGACGGTACAGTGGTGATATGAATTTGGCTTTCTGTCAAACACCTTGATAGCTCTCTTGTACAGCTGTTCTATTTGTTTCAGGTTATGTCTCTAAATGATTTAACCGTACACCTTCTGGTGCAAATATTACATCAAAGCTAGTCACCTGTGCATGTGAAGTCCAATGGAGGAAAGCACAGCAACATCTGAGGGTGTTACGCGGTTGACTTGAGAGAGAAAAAACAATAATTCAAATTCAATCTCACAAGAATTTACAAACAAACAATAAAACATGTATTTAGTGGAGCTATACATTTTAGCCTTTGCAGACCATTTACATGCAGAACAACATATAACACGCTACAGGAGTAACTCAAATGTGTACTTAAGTACTTTAGTTACATAAGTAAATGTATTTAAGTTGCATTAGACACCTAATGTTATACTCATACAGTATATTTAGTGATATGCTGGAGAATTCCACTGAAAGGCATCTTCAAAATCAATTGTGAAGGTTTTGTAAATCAAATATGTACATTATTTTTTTTATTATTACGTGGGGGATATCCGAAACTTTTAGCCCTTAATATAAGTTGGGCTTTAAACTCTCACTTACCAGTTAAAGGGGGCGACCGAGAGGGGAACATCTGAGTGCAAGGAAGTCCAGTTACTAAAAACAGACAAGAGCATTATGATATATATATATGCATAATTTAATGGTTCAAATATGACTTTTAATTTTTAAAAAACAGCCATGCAGATTATCAAAATGTGCCTGCTGGACAATACACAATGCATATGTAATACTATTATGTTTATATATCGTTTCCTTACAAGACTTGTTGTACCACAAACATGTCAAACACATCAGAACGTATATGCACAGCTCAAGAGTCCTCAGAGACACACAAAAATATAACATAACGATAGAATTATTATTTACTAGATCAATGATCAAACTACGGTAAGATCCCTCATAACTTTTAGGAGCTGAGGAGCCATGCATATTTTTAATTCACACACTTTGTGGTCATTTCGAAATCGGTCAAATCCAACTTAAACACGCCAAATGAGCCTTCAAAAGTTGACTACATGCATAAGGTTTAGATCCTTTGTAGAAGTTTGAAACAGATATTATCAGTTCCAAATTTAATTAAAGAAAATTAAGCAAACAGTGCAAACCTTTTGTCCATGTGAGCCCCAGGACTGTGATCAGAACCAGCTGTGGAAACATCATCTCTCTGATTTTCTCAGATTATTCCTCGTTGATCTTTTCTGCAGCTGTCCTCCCTCTCTGATCTCTCTTTCTTTGTCACTATCAGTTATACCTGTTCAGGGTAATCTGATAATGACAAATCATACATATGCACAGAAGGGGAGTGACTTGACTTCTTGTTCAAGGACACAGCCATAAGGTTTTATGATGGCACTGATCATTAATCGTCTATTGTAATAATGAGTGAGAGTGAACATCAGGGTTCCAGTGTGATTCTATTATTCTCTATGGACTACCTGAGAGTTATAAACTATTCTAAATATAATGTACAACTTAATATCACTGACACATGACTCTCTCCTTCTAAAATGTTAAAGGGGACCTATCATGCAAAATGCACTTTCCCCGGTGTGTCAGGGAACTCTCGCAGCGTCAGAAAATAAAACCCTTTCACTTTTCCTCCATACCTAAATCTTTTAAAAACAGGGGTACAACGAGCGGATACAGATTTGCTGCCGATTTGACGTCAAATCGGCAGCAGACCCACAGAAAGTTGCTATCAGAAACAATGCCTGACGTGTTTTGGACGTAATCTTGTCTTTGTTTACATTAGCAAGCCTCTCTAACACTCAGAGCTAACCTGTACTGGAGAGCACATGTGTTTAAAAAGCAGGAAATACAAAAATAACTCATCTTGTTATAAACCCACAAGAGAAAAAGCATTTGAGCTCCATACTGTTTCAGAAATAATCCTTGATGTGGTTTAGAACAGGATGGTGTTTTATCACAGCAGAATTTAACTTTATCTCCGGTAGAATTCTGATCAGGCATTAGCTCCGCCTCCTCTTCTTTCTTTTTTTAAAGCTAAGGACCCAAAATCCGCGTTTCTCTAACAGGGCTGCAAAAGAGGGATATGAGCAGTATGAGGCATGGCTACAATGGGTGATCTGTTTGGTATTTTAAGCAAAAAACTTCACAGACATGTTTTGTATAGGTGTGGCCCTACAATATATTTTTCAAATATAGCATAATAGGTCCACTTTAAGATTGCTGTTGGTAAGCTAAAGGAAAATCCGCAGCTGCACTGCCACTTAGGGTTGCAGACAGAAGTAACTTTAACCCATGTATTTCACTTCTAAAAGTGCAATAAATGATCTGTTCTGCTGTTACCTAAGAAAATAAGCTATGGTCTTTCTCCATTGACGAGATAAAACACAGTCACGCTATTAATTTGTTATGTATTTATGGTCAAATCTGCACTTATGCATCTACGCAGCATCACTTCAGTTGTAAAATTAAACAAGGACTCTCCAAATACTAACTTTGGAAGCCCATTTTACACAATAACTTAAAGGAAAGGAAATCTTAGCCTTGTGATTAAAATAAGATGAAAATACATTAAAAATAATGACTTATTATTGCAACTTAATTACCTAATTTCTCAAATTAATGAGAAACCTTCTGAAAAAAATGACTAAATACCTCAAAATAATGATTTAGCATTTCAAGAAAATTAGATTAGATTAGATTACTTTATTGTCATTACAAAAATGCAAGCACAGTGTAACGAAATTTAAGGATGGTCTAACCAGAGTGCAAAACAGTCAGTTACATACACAATTATCAGAAGTAGTACCAAATAAATGATACAAAAATAAAGATAAATAGATGGGAAATGTATAAATAGGAATAAATACACAGATAATAATAAATACAGTGAATACAGAATTGCGATGAGAAACGAGAAATGAGAAAATGAGAAACGTATTGTATGTGATATGTTATATGAGTCCTTGGCTTGAGAGATGACCTCTCCGCTACAACAATATCAGATCAGGAATCACGCCACATTGTCGGCTGACTGAATCAATGACGAGGCAAAACACAGCCGGTGTAACAGAGGGACATATTATCTTGGTTATTGCACAAATAGTTATAACTATCTATTTTTTAATCTTTCAGGTGATTTCAAGGACAGGAAACAATACATTTCTCCCAACCATGCTCATAGTTGGATTCTGTCATATGAATTTCATAGATTTAGAATAAATATGAAAACGTACATTTTTGATCATTGATACATTTTGTGTAAATTCATGAAAACAGCAGTTAGTGTTAGGTTTGTGTTTAAATTAGTTTCTTGTGTGATGCTACAACCCCTCAACAAGCAGTGGACAACTTGCACCTTATGTGTGTATTTCCGTCCACTTAACCAGTTAAGTCCTGAGCCTGTTTTTCAGGTCTCAGGCTCGAAAATGACATTCCCAGAACAAATGACTATAACTTCCCTTCTAAAAGGGGTAAACTAATAATCTTTTTTCTCAAAGCAATGGTACACCTGTGAGTTGGATGTAGAAAAGTCAGAGTCAATATAAATTATTTTATTTTATTGTAAATTCAGATTGAACATGTAAAACTATTTAAATTATAGTGTCCGTCCAAATAAAAAGACATGACTTATAGTGAAAACCACCCTTGAATGATGGGATAGTAGACTAAAAGCTTCAGGAATCCAAACTACAACATATAATAAGTACCCTGTATTAAGATGGATGCAAATTAAGTGAAATTTGACCTTTTTAGAGAGATTTAGAAAAAGAAAAGAAACCACGCACCTTTGGGGTCATTTGGGTGTATTTGGGTGTATTTGCTGTTTCTCTGGAACCCATTGGTCGATTTTGGTGATTGACGTCTTTTTTGAACCGTTAGAGCCAGTAGAATTGAAGGGGAAGTTCCACATATGCACACGTTACAGTGACAGTGACGCGCACGCAGTCGAAAGCTATGTTACGCTCTGAAAACCAAAAACTGAAACCTAGGCTCAAACTAGTAAATATGAAGATGGATTTTCAGGACCCCCGGCAGGAGAGTAGACGGCGGGACCTCCAACGAGACAGGACAAAGGGTTGGCAGGACCCCCGGCAGGAGAGTAGTCGGCGGGACCCCCAACGGGACAGGACAAGGAGCTGGCAGGATCCCCAGCGGAACCTCCAACGGGACAGGACACAGGGTTGGCAGGACCCCCGGCAGGAGAGTAGTCGGCGGGGCCTCCAACAGCACAGGACATAGGATTGGCAGGACCCCCGGCAGGAGAGTAGACGGCGGGACCTCCAACGAGACAGGACAAAGGGTTGGCAGGACCCCCGGCAGGAGAGTAGATGGCGGGACCTCCAACGGGACAGGACATAGGGTTGGCAGGACCCCCGGCAGGAGAGTAGTCGGCGGGGCCTCCAACGAGACAGGACAAGGAGCTGGCAGGACCCCCGGCAGGAGAGTAGACGGCGGGACCTCCAACGGGACAGGACAAAGGGTTGGCAGGACCCCCAGCGGAACCTCCAACGGTACTTGAGTAGGGACTTGAGTGGGAACTCGAGAGAGAGCTTGAGAGGGAACTCGAGAGGAAACTTGAGAGGTAACTCGAGAGGTGATTTGAGAGGGGACTCGAGAGAGAACTCGAGAGGTGACTGGAGAGGGGACTCGACAGGAGACTCGAGAGGGAACTTGAGAGGAGACTCGAGAGGGGACTCGAAAGGAGACTTGAGAGGGGACTCGAGAAGGAACTTGAGAAGAGACTCGAGAGGGAACTCGAGAGGGGACTTGAGAAGTGTCTTGAACAGGGACTCGAGAGGGGACTCGAGAGATGACTTGAAAGGGAACTCGAGAGGGGACTCGAGAGGGAACTCGAGAGGGAACTGGAGAGAAGACTTGAGAGTGGACTCGAGAGGGGACCCACCAGGGTGGGTGGAGGGGGTCAGGAGGACGGGACTAAGCTGACCGCCCAGGGGCACAGCAGAGGACCAGGAAGGGATCTCGGGCGGACACCCCGGGGGCAAGGCAGAGTTACAAAAAGGGGTATTCGGGCGGACGGCCCGGGGGGAAGGCAGAGTTCAAGGAGGGGTTCTCGGGCGGACGGCCCGGGGGAAAGGCAGAGTTCAAAAAGGGGTTCTCGGGCAGACGGCCCGGGGGCAAGGCAGAGTTCGAGGAGGGGCGAAGACCACAGCTCTCAGGGGACCGGGCAGGAGCCGGTGTTGACCGGACAGTAACCTGAGCCGGTGGATTAGGTGTCGGCAAGATTCCCCACGGAAGAGGACAAGGAGTTGGCAGGACCCCCGGCGAGACATGTAATGTCGAGGCCTCCAACGAAACAGGACATGGGGTTGGCAGGACCCCCGGTAGAAGAGTAGTCGGCGGGGCCTCCAACGGCACAGGACACAGGATTGGCAGGACCCCCGGCAGGAGAGTAGCCGGCGGGGCCTCCAACGGCACAGGACATAGGATTGGCAGGACCCCCGGCAGGAGAGTAGACGGCGGGACCTCCAACGAGACAGGACAAAGGGTTGGCAGGACCCCCGGCAGGAGAGTAGTCGGCGGGGCCTCCAACGGGACAGGACACAGGGTTGGCAGGACCCCCGGCAGGAGAGTAGTCGGCGGGGCCTCCAACGGCACAGGACATAGGATTGGCAGGACCCCCGGCAGGAGAGTAGACGGCGGGACCTCCAACGAGACAGGACAAAGGGTTGGCAGGACCCCCGGCAGGAGAGTAGTCGGCGGGGCCTCCAACGGCACAGGACACAGGGTTGGCAGGATCCCCGGCAGGAGAGTAGTCGGCGGGGCCTCCAACGGCACAGGACATAGGATTGGCAGGACCCCCGGCAGGAGAGTTGTCGGCGGGGCCTCCAACGGCACAGGACAAAGGGTTGGCAGGACCCCCAGCGGTCTCCAACGGTATTTGAGTAGGGACTTGAGTGAGGGCTTGAGAGGGAACTCGAGAGGTGATTTGAGAGAGGACTCGACAGGAGACTCGAGAGGGAACTTGAGAGGAGACTCGAGAGGGGACTCGAAAGGAGACTTGAGAGGGGACTCGAGAGGAGATTTGAGAGATGACTTGAAAGGGAACTCGAGAGGGGACTCGAGAGGGAACTGGAGAGAAGACTTGAGAGTGGACTTGAGAGGGGACTGGAGGGGTGACTTGAAAGGGGACTCGAGAGGAGACTTGAGAGGGAACTGGAGAGGAAACTTGAGAGGTGACTCGAGAGGATACTTGAGAGGGAACTCGAGAGGAGACTTGAGAAGTGTCTTGAAAGGGTACTCGAGAGGGAACTCGAGAGGAGACTTGAGAGGGAACTGGAGGGGAGACTTGAGAGAGTTGGTTCGCCAACAGAACACGGGGGGCTGGAGTCGGCCGGTATGCCGACAGGACTCGGGGAGCTGGCGTCAGCTGGAGAGCCAGCAGGATACGAGGTGCTGGAGTCGGCCGGTACGCCGACAGGACTCGGGGAGCTGGCGTCGGCTGGAGAGCCAACAGGAGACGAGGTGCTGGAGTCGGCCGGTACGCCGACAGGACTCGGGGAGCTGGCGTCGGCTGGAGAGCCAGCAGGAGACGAGGTGCTGGAGTCGGCCGGTACGCCGACAGGACACGGGGAGCTGGCGTCGGCCGGAGACGAGGGGCTGGAGTCGAAACCATGGCTGCTGGGGCCAGGACTGAGGCTGGAACCATGGCTGCTGGGGCCAGAACTGGGGCCGGAACCTTGGCTGCTGGGGCCAGAACTGGGGCTGGAACCATGGCTGCTGGGGCCTGTACTGGAGCCGGAACCATGGCTGCTGGGGTCGGAACTGGGGCCGGAACCATGGCTGCTGGGGCCAGAACTGGGGCCGGAACCATGGCTGCTGGGGCCAGAACTGGGGCCGGAACCATGGCTGCTGGGGCCAGACTGGGGCCGGAACCATGGCTGTGAGGGCCGGTTCTGTAGCCGGAACCATGGCTGCTGGGGCTCGGGCTGCTAGCCTGGCCTTGCGACGACTCCTCTTAGCAGCCGCCTGAATACGCCGTGGACCTCCATAAGCCAGACGAGTTCCGGAATACGACTCCTGGACAGGAGCAGGAACTGGGGCAGAAGCACGGGTTGACTTCAGGCGGAACCCACCAAGGCGTATGGTGCCAGGTTGGGAATTGGGAGACATGGAGCTAGCAGGCCGGGAATCACATGTTTCAAGGAAGTCCAAAATCCAGTCAGGTAAGAACTCCACAAAACATAGTTTCTCTGCTGCCAATCGGTGCGCCTCTACCAGAGCGGCCCTCTTCTGCCGAACACTGGACGCTCCCTTCCACCAATCGAAGCAGCAAGCCAGATAGAAGGTAAAATGCTGTAATTCTACCTCCCATGGATCATCTGCTGGCCTGGGTCCATTTGTTGGTCGGTTCGTAATGTAACGGTGTGTGAAGCAGGTAGGACCCAAATGCAGATTAACGTGAAAATTCCTTTATTTCAAGGCTATACTAACAAAGACAGAACAGAACACTCACCGACGAACTAGTCATGACACAAGACGAACTGACAAAGACAGACAGAAAAACCAGAACACAAGACTAATCACACAAACACAAGACATAGGTGAGGAGGGAGGAGAAACACAGGGACTCCAGGTGAACACAATCGGGTAAATTAGACACACCAGGGAAACTAACGACAGGGAACCACAGACAGATTTAAACAAGACACAACGCAGACAGAAACAGGCAAGAACGGAGGTGAAGACCTTTCAAAATAAAACATGAAACAAAAGACAGAAAAATACAAGACAAAATACAATACAGACAGATCGTGACAAAACTGTGGGTTTTCTCCGGAAGTTTTTCCTTGTACGATGTGAGGGTCTAAGGACAGAGGGTGTCGTATTGTCATACTGATATTCTGTACAAACTGTGATGTCCACTGAGACAAATGTAACATTTGTGATATTGGGCTATATAAATAAACATTGAAAACATTGAAAAAAAAAACAGCAGGCGGGGGCCTCCGGGTTGAATAGGTTAATGACCTGAAGAACGCCTTTTCCTTCAAATCTCAATGAGCAGGAAGATGTGTGCTTACCTAATCTCGTTATATAGCTACCATGAAAAACAAAGATGTCACTTTTTGAATAACAATGATGCTTTAGTGTTGTAAAGCTTGATTATTTCTTATCTCTCCCCTGATAAAAGAGACGATAACAATCTAATCCAATCCAATCCACTTTATGTATATAGCACAGTTTAAAAACAGAGGGTTTGCCAAAGTGCTTCACAATGAACATAACATTATAATAAAATATAATATTACACGAATAGATAAAAAGCACACATAATAACCAACTAGTTTAGATAAACAACTAACCAGATGACTTTAACTACTGTTCTTGTGTCATGAAATAAAGACATTATTACTGCCTTTAGTCCTGCCAGCATATGTACATTGATTTAATAATGCCCGGTATACTCAGTCATATACTGTATACGTTGGAATAACTCAACCGAGATTTGTTTCTTTTACTGAAAAGTATGCAGACATAATGTCTTGCAGAACTATGAATGCTGTCTCTAACTGAAGAGTCAATTCCAGTCATGATTATCGTGATCCAGATATGAGTTTACGCTGCCCTCACAGTCTGTTATCTTCCTTCAAGGACATTAACATGAACTGCAGCATGGCCTTTATCTTCCTAATGTACGCTAATCTTTACACTGGCTTAGATGGGCTGAACAGTTTGTCCTGTGACACCACAAACAAAATGCACTGGCTGTACTGATAATTAAAAACTGATGAGTATATTTGACCTAGAACTAAAGCACTTCCTTCTTTTACTGAAGAAAAGGTGTACGAACAAGCCTGGTACTTATTAAGAACTAGAAACAGAGGTAAAGTCAGCTAATTTGGTCAACTTTAGTAGTTGTAAGCACAGAATAACTGCCAGGCACTCATATAGTATATAGCTTATAGTTAGGGCTGATTAGATTCAGCCCCTAGTTTTGCTGATAGGCTTAGTTTGTCGGGGGACATCTTACTTCTTCCTTCTCTCTGTCTATACCTCTCTGTGTACTCTCATGTTCCGATTAACCCAGCTTCCCCAAATGTCTTTCTTTTTGGTGTCTATATACGCTGGGATCCGAAGTCATGGATGATCCTGCGGTCCTGTGTCCTGCATCGCGAGCCCTGGATCTTGAGTCGTGGCTGTGGTCCTGGATCATAGGTCCTGGATGGATATCCTCGTGGATTCATCTTCCTATTATACACACAAGCATTTCCAAACATTTGGACTACCTATGTTGCAAATGTATTATCTTTTCAATTTACACACGGCATCTATTGCACGTCTGTCCGTCCTGGAGAGGGATCCCTCCTCTGTTGCTCTCCCTGAGGTTTCTCCCATTTTCCCCTTTAAAACTGTGGGTTTTCTTCGGAAGTTTTTCCTTGTACGATGTGAGGGTCTAAGGACAGAGGGTGTCGTATTGTCATACTGATATTTTTGTACAAATTGTGAAGTCCACTGAGACAAATGTAACATTTGTGATATTGGGCTATATAAATAAACATTGATTGATTGATTGATAGTATACAAAAGCGTATAATACCCAATGACCATGAAACAAAAATAACTGTGTAATATCTGTTAAAATAATGTTTTACTATGACATGCATTACGTTAGGTTTGAAAGGATTTCCAGTCAAGCCTGTTGTCCTTGATATTACACCTATTTGGGTGTATGCCATACAGTTATCATAAGCTAAATCCTATCATCTTGATTTTCCCGATCTTAACTGTAAGGTTAATTAGTTACTTTATTGCTGAATTGTTATAGTACATGATGATAAGTACTCAGGGCCGTCCCTGGCCAACTTGGGGCCCCAAGCGACATTGTGAGATGAGGCCCCCCCCACCCCACCCGACAGGAGTGAAACACATTTTTTTCAAAACAATGTACTTTGCAAATATAATTCCTGTTTATTATTATTATCAACACAGTTACTTTTTCATACAGTGAGGTAAATGTGCATGTATGTCGTTCAGTATGCGTTTACAGGTGAATACGTCTGCATTTCCTGCCAAATACTAGCCTCAAAAAGATTAAAATATAATTAATGCAAATAAACTACTTCTACTAATAATAAGAATCATAATCAATTCAATAATGTAAACACTATATTATTTTTATTATAATATATTTGTAATATAGTCAAGACAAAACATGCTTATTACATGCTCAAAAACTGATATTTCTTAAATCTGTATTCAAATGTAGTTCCTTCTGTCAGCAATGTATCAACAACTACACAGTACACACACATTTCTATCAGTATTTCTCCGTGTTGTGGTTGACATGATGATGACTGTTAGGAGTTAAGGGGAGAGGCTGAGCATCACCATGACATGTGCGGAGAACACACAAGCTAAGCTCATAAGCCGAGGCCCCCTGCGCAATGTGAGGCCCCATGCAGCCTGCATGATCGGCCTGTAGGGAAGGACGGCCCTGTACTTGATATTGATCTAAGCCTTAAGGTGTGGCCTGTGATAGCCTCGATCAAAGATACATTGGTCGATAATATTTGATAACTTTGCGCAATGTCTCCTTTTTTTTCTTAACAGGCTGTAGGTCAGAAGAGGTCACCATGATTGAACAATGATCTTTATCTTTATGCAACATTAGATTAATTAAACACAAAAGAATATTCAACATCTGATAAACAGGGTCTGGTCCTAGGTTAAGGCTGACATTGCTCTTTATTAAAGAATATTATAAATATTTTTAGATTTTAAACAACATTAAATTGTATGATGAGAGGTAAACATTCAACAAGGTAAGTTTGAAGGAAAAAGAAGGAGTCATTATGATAAGAAAATATAGAAGTGCTCAAAAATATTGACTCCGTATCTCATTATATAAAAACAAATCAAAAGAATACTGACAAGCTTTTTTGCATTTTGCAATTTTGACCTACATGGCAACATTTTAATCGTATTCTCTATGTTTTTATTCAAAAATGGGCCCTACAGGAGTACATCCTTTTACATTTTTTATTAAAAAGTTACACTTTAATTGTACTGCCAAATGAAATGGTTGGTGTGTACCATAGACCAGTGATTCTCAAATGGGGGTACGCGGACCCCTGGGGGTACGTTAGGGTACGTGAGATTTATAAAAAAAATTTAAAAAAAAGGTTAATTAAAAAAATAATCTTAGTAAAAATAAGTTAAATAGAAAACACAATTTTATATAAAACATTCCTATAACCACCAAGGGGGTCCTCATATAAACATGTCAAATGTGTGTATTGTATTTTATAGTTTTTCACAATAACATATTACTTAAATTTTATTTTTTTTCATGCATAAAATGAAAATATCCTTAGTTTGTTGTAATGCATACCACGAAGGAGTTAATACATCACACACTGAGGGAACATCACTATATTGTAATTATTTATATAGGCTTTTTTGATAAAAAATGTTCGGGATCGGTCAGGGGGTACTTGGCTGAGAAAATGTTTCAAAGGGGGTACATTACTGAAAAAAGTTTGAGAAGCACTGCATAGACTGTATATATTGGTGTGTACGCATATGGTTTGCTGCCCTCTTGCGGATATGATTAGGAGCTACATTGATGAGACTCTGCTTTCAAAATAAAAGCACGGTCTTTTTAATGGAAACGAAACAAACACTAATTACCGCGTTTTGGAATCTAGTTTTCTCTACAGACTCAACTTATTGTACAGAATATTATTGCAATCATAATCTTTAAGTTGTAACCGTCTTAAAATAGCCATAGCTCAATAAATGTTTTAGCGGTGATTCACTTTGAAAGTTCTGAGCGGAAGATGTCGTTGTTATTGTCTGTAGCATGATTGGAGCTAACGCCATTGATTGCAGCTGTATTTGACATCAATAACAGAGGGAACAACGGCATGTTTCTTGATTAATCACCTGAAAATAAAGGCAAACCGGTGATTAACGGACTTGACGACAAAACATCTACATTTCTTGGCAACTGCTTTACCGCTAGCTAACGTTACGAGGTGAGAAATAAGGCTTTCAGTTTACCGTTGTTTATTCGTTAGCTGTTTCTGGATGCCTTTGACATTTGTTCTCTGACAGACCGGTGATTTCTTCATTCATAAAACTGACATTCTGCCAGTAATGATAGGAAGCTATTCCACAGTGACATGTATTTTTCTTGACTTTTGCTTAGCCTTGTTTTGCCAAATGATGCCTTCAAGTGAAGCGTGAAAGTCGTACGTTTCTTTACAGAGCGTCACCACAAAATGAATGTTGTAAATAAACAAACTGTATATAAAGTAGTGGTGTAAAGTCACTACATTTACTCTACTGTACTTAAGTACATTTTTGAGGGACTTGTTCTTTACTTGAGCATTGACATGTCTTAATAATTTCTACTTTTACCCCACTACAATTCAGAGGTTAACAGTGTGCACTACATTTATTGTATACCTTTAGTTAATTTTTACACTAAATGAGACTTAAGTTACACCAGGAGTAAATCCACAAGTAAATAAAATTAGCTCACCTTTACCAGCTCTGATAACACTCGAATGCATCAATAATTATAATCCAAACATATGATATTTATATTGTCCTGCAATGGGCCACTTTTGAATTAGAATCTATCAGACTTGAATTTATTTGGCAAATCCAGCACAAATAAATACCTACCAAATCAAGTTACTTTATCACATTGATGCAAAACAGGTATTTAAGTAATATGGCCCAAAACATTTCCTTATACAAGAGATATTAAAGGGGGAGCTGCCACCTTGTAAACACATTATACATCTCACTGTAAATCAACATATTGCTCACCTATGACAATATAACTTTTAACTTGGTCAGTTCACACAGTGCCTCTAATTGCTACAGAAATGTGTGTTAAATCATGTTAACAGGCTACTTTCTTTGTATGTTTTTGTTTGTACCTTCTGGTGGTAGGCAACATGGGGCGAATCTTCTTGGATCACATCGGTGGGACTCGCCTCTTCTCTTGCGCAAACTGTGACACGATTCTGACCAACCGAACTGAACTCATCTCCACGCGTTTCACTGGAGCCACTGGACGAGCTTTCCTGTTCAACAAGGTACCTCCATCATTAGTGTCAGGGTAATTAAGGTGGTCATTTCCACTGTAGTAAAGGAGATAAGTTAACTATACATGTTGACTTTATTACCAGTTTTTCAATTTTATTTTTAAAAGGCAAAAAATGAAAATCTTACTCTTTATTTTCTTACATTATGCCTGACCTAATGCTCTTCTTTAAAACAATAAATCAAAAATAATTGCAGCTACAACGTCAGATTCAGTATTTTTGCCACTAAATCTGCTCCACACCTATCCGACATTTCAATGTTTAATTAGATACCTTGTCTTACTGTAATTTGCTTTATAAAAAATAAAAACGAATCACTAGAAACTTAATAAACTGTTACATTAAAGATCACCTACTATGCAAAATCCACTTTTTCATGTCTTTTGTACATCAACACGTGTCCCCTCTGTGTAAAGAGATTCTGAAAGTTTCAGGAGAAAAGATTCACTCACTTTTTGTCCTGATCCATTTATATAAAAACCTGTCTGAAAATGAGCCGATCAGATTTTGGCCACTTTATGATGTCATAACGATTTTTTTGGCTTGTGTAACCATTAGCCAATCACCAACCAAGGTAACCCCCCCCCCCCCCCCCCCACCCCCCACCTTATCACCAGAATCTCCTCCTAGAGCACCATTGTGTTCTTTGTAACCAAATATCTCTCAGAGGGGCGTGGGGAGGGGCTCCTTATTTTCATCTAAAGTAACAGACACAGAATCAGCACTTTTGAAACAGGGCTGAAACAGAGGGGATTATGGGTAATGCTGCAATGATCTGTTTGGTATTTCAAGCCAAACACTTCGGAGACATGTTTTGTATATATCTGAGACCTATAATATATTGATGAAAAACAGTATAATAGGGGACCTTTAACATATGTTTGTCTGCTGCCCTCCAGGTTGTGAATCTGCAGCACAGCGAGGTACAGGACAGAGTCATGCTGACAGGAAGACACATGGTGCGGGACGTCAGCTGCAAGAACTGCAACAGCAAGCTGGGCTGGATGTACGAATACGCCACTGAGGAAAGCCAGCGCTACAAGGAGGGCCGTATCATCCTGGAGAGGGCGCTGGTGAGGGAGAGCGAGGGCTTCGAGCATGTTCCCTCTGATAACTGTTGAGTTCACCTTTGTTGCAGTTACAATGCTCCATTTAAAGCTTTGCCTCCAGCAGCAGTGCATGGACCGTGTGCCATTTGTGGTAGAGCTACACCGAAAATAATATCACAAGCTGTGGTCTTTGTGAGAGTACAAACAAGAAGTGGTGGATGTTTTCCCGTCATTTATAACATCTAAGAATCTCTTCTCTGATGGGTAATACCATTGATTCTCATTTAAAATCACCTGCCGTTTCAATGTGTTACCAGCTGGCTGTGATGTTCAAACAAGGTGTTGTGGTGCTTTCAGAGAGAGAGGATTCGCTCCTGCTGCCCTGCAAGATGTCCAGACAGATGGACAGATTGTTATGTGGAGGTTTGAATAGCCATTAAAGGAATTGGTCAATTCTCAACATAAGATTTAGTCATAGTTCCTTTCCTGACCAGTTATAAATAATGCCAGATATTAGTTATTTAAAGTATTAAGTTTGTTTTCTTTAATATTAGCTGTATCAGATTATCCCCTAAGAACATCAATCATCTTCTTGATTGTATGATATTGTTGTTATCCAGGTTTGACCTATAAAGAGTTCAGATAAATCCAGTAAAAGATAATTTATTTCTCTTTCTGCAAAGCTGATTTACAGATTCTTTTTCAATTCCTTGTGCTGTTATTCAAAAATATAGATTTGTGGAAATTGTCAAGTTACTTGAATGAAACTAAAGAACATGTTTTGTTTTTTTGTCAAAAATAAATAAAACACCCAAACAGGTATTCATTGAGTCTGTGTTTTCTTACGTGTGAGTATTGGTACTGTAACATTTTATTTTGGGGATTTATTTTATGTGTGAGTAGTGATTTAAATGCATGTTTGAGTAATTTAAGATCTTATAATGTGCTGTTAGATCTAGAGTAATTTGGGTCAAATAACCTGGACATATTTTTAATTATAGCCCAACTGCTTCAATGTCAATAGCAATAACTTTTTACTCCACTACCTTTTTTGACAATAATAATTACTAGTTACTTTACTGATACAGATTATTAGCTAATACAAAATATGAATAAGCCAATAAATCAACTATGATATAAGATAGGTTAAAATATCCAGCACTATTATATAAAGTAATGACAATTCTGCGACACAGGGACAAACTTCGGGATGAGGACATTTTTATAAACTTTAAAGATGATGGATTTGATACAAATATATATTTTTATAGTTTTCTTATACAACTATTTTATCTTTTGGAAAATTGAACATTCACAAGAAGAAATTGACTACTTTTAGATTTCCAGATTCCAGATGTTACATTACAACAATATGGCACCAATTTAGAAAATGCTGTCAATGAATCAATAATGTAGTTGAAATGTTAGCTTTTGTATTGATCACTAATTTATTAATATTTATTTCTTTATAGTTAATCTATAAAATGTTTGAAATTTAAAAAAAGTAATTCCGCGACACAAAAACAAACGCACCCTCCGTTCGTCCTTCGCTAAGCATTCTGGGAAATGAAGGCAATAAGTCGTCAAAGAGGAAAAACTGAACTACTCATTATCTAATGTGTAGTTCGTCGGGCAGCTTTCCTAAATCCATTCAGAATATCTTTATAACTTTTGATGGCATGTGAAGTCAGTCGGGAACTCGAGTTGCTAACCTCCCGGACTGACACTAAACAGCGCAGCGATGGCTGTCGGTGAGTTAAAACGGTTCATAATACAAGCTAGCATGATAGGCTAATGCTAGCTGTTAACAGGAACGTTTGTCCTCTAAATTGAGTATAAACATAAACAAAGAAGTGAAACTCTGCTAGCCGGGGAATACTTGTCACTTATAGTGTGATTTGGTTTTTGCTAACACTTGTGTTGAGTGATAAATAACTGTATGAAAATGACTGTTAGCTACATGCAGTGGTGTAAAGTAACTAAGTAGATGTACTCAAGTACTGTACTAATTTTGAGACACTAGTACTTTACTTGAGTATTTAAATTGTTTCCTGCTTTGTTCTTCTACCCCACAATCCATAGGTAAATCATGTACCTTTACTCCACTACAAGCACTTAATATCTGTAGTTACTTCACAGATTTGGATTCATGATGTGAAATATATTTACCTTTGGTAAACTCATTAATGCAGCAATAATTATCATGAAAACACATTACATTCCTGTTTGTCATCTTGCAATTGTCATCTTGCAAATAAGTATATTTATATAAATAGTTATCCACGCAATAAACTGTATTTAATTTTGTCTTAATTTACATTATTTTATTTCATATTCTGTTCTTGTACATATCATATTCTACTTACATGTATAAATACTTTTTGCACTACTTTTTATTTTGTATTTTATGTTGGATTGTTGGAGGAGCTCAGTTCATAAGATTGTCATTGCCATTTCTACACTGTAGCTTTGTGCACATGACAATAAAACCTTTGAATTTTGAATTAGAATATAATATATTATTCTTAAATGGGCCAATCTGCATAATGAGTACTTTTACTTTTAGTACTTTAAGTATATTTTGATGCCGATACTGTTGTACTTTACTAGAGTAACATTTGCAAAACCAGGACTTTTACTTAACATACTATGTTCTTGTTAGTTTGACAAACTAATTCATTATTTTTGAGATATGATATCATTATACTCAGAACGTTTGTCATTCATTTGAGATATAAGGTCATAACAAGGCCCAGATTTTATTTATAAATGTTATTTTCAGGGGCTTCCATAGTTATTATCTGGAGAAATATTGTTTTAACTTCACAATACCTGTTTAACACAGAAGAAAAAACAAACAGTCACAGAGTATTCCTGGATTCAGGTACGTTTCCTTAAGTACAATATATGAGTACTTATTCCACCTCTGATTGTTACCCTCAGAAAATGTGAGCGCGATCTTCAAGATGTACTGCCTGACGGTGATGACCATGGTGGCAGCCACGTACACAGTGGCCCTGCGGTACACCAGGACCATCTCAACGGGCGATATGTACTACGCTACAACCGCAGTGTGCCTCGCTGAGGTCATTAAACTGGTACTGAGTCTGGGGATGCTGACAAAGTAAGTGTCACATACTACACATTTTACAACAGGAGTGGTGATACTTGGAAAAAATACTCTGAAAATGAAGAAAAAGTATTTTTACAATACTCTTCTAAGTAAAAAAAAAAAAGGGAATTATAAACAACATCTCTCTCAATAACTCATCATGAAGGTAGATAGATGACAGGGAAAGGTGTTGTAAAACACAGCCGTGCACGTGTATTTTGATATTTGTTAAAGGTCACCTATCATGCTATTTTTAGGCAATAACATAGGTCTCATATATAAAAAAACATGTCTATGAAGTGTTTTGCTCAAAATACCGATCACCCATTCTAGCCATGCCTCATATCCCTCTATTTCACTTCCTGTTTTAAAAGTGCTGATTTTATGTATAAAGCTTTAAAAAAGTAAAAATTGATACAAATTAAAAAAGGAGGGGGCTGAGCTCACGCGGGACTCGGCAGCTACCGTCTAAACTAAATACAGCCGTGATGAAACGCCATATCATGGATTATCAAGGATTCTCTCTGAAACAGTATGGAGCTCAAAGGCTTTCTCTCTTGCCGGTTATACCACAAGGTGAGTTCCTTTTTACTTCCTGCTTCTTCACACACATGCTCTCCAGTACAGGTTAGCTCTGAGTGTTAGCGATGCTAATGTAAACACGGACCATATTACGTCCAAAACAGTCGGTCATTGTTTCTGATAGCTACTTTCTGATAGTGCTGTGGGTCCACATTTCCGATATTACGTCATATTGGACGCAAATCTGGATCAGCTCTGTTGTACCCCCGTTTTTAGAGATTTGGGTACGGAGGTAAAGAGAGAGGGTTTTATTTTCTGACGCTGCGTGAGTTCCCCGACACACCGGGGACACATCTTTATGTATAAAAGACATCAAAAAGTGCATTTCGCCTGATAGGTCCCCTTTAAGGTAAAATCTGACCAAACAGGGGCCATGATGTATTCCCCTAAATTGTTAGTATTATAAGTATTTAAAAAAAACTGACATAAGTTAGTGAGTCGGCTACAGACAAGCACACCTATGATAAATGTTGAATATCATAGGACATTATGTCAAAAGTTCACAGCTGATGTTATTGTCCATGTATTAGTTAATATCATGTAAACTAACATGCTAGAGTTATCTAACATATCATAGTGGCATGTAACTGACGTCATGTATTTGTGATGAACCATTTTGAGACATATTTAGTTCAGGTGCTGAGCTGCCTAACTGGTTTGTACAAGAATGACTTGTGAGTCCTCTGTGATTATAAAAGGAATTCAAGAACAGTGATTCAACGACTTCTGAGGTGTAATAGATCTGTTTCAAAGAATAATCAAATGCATTTAAACTTTACATTTATACTTCTTCATCAGTCTGTTTTTATGTCCCCTTTCCCAGAGAAACGGGAAGTTTTCCCAGACTGAAGAGCGCTTTAATGGAACATGTATTCTGCAGCCCCAAAGAGCTGCTGAAGCTGAGCGTGCCATCCGTAGTGTACGCGATTCAGAACAACATGGCCTTTCTTGCCTTGAGCAACCTCGATGCTGCAGTTTATCAGGTATGAATTTAATCCTTTCTTTAATGAGGAATGTACAAATCAGTGTTTCCCACACATAGCATTCACTTGGGCGGGCCATCCAACTGAAATCAGGACTCAGAGAGACACGAGGAGAGCTGGAGCTTTGATGGCAAACACTGACGGTTTATTTGGAGCTTCGGCCGGAGAATTCACAAAACATGTCACGGGCCACGGGTTGACCACACGGTTGAGATGCCACAATCAATTCTGAAGAACTCTACCCCAGACCCGTGTATTTAGCTAGTTCAGACAGAAGAATCAACATTGTGCATAACAAGATATAACCATAACACCTCTGTCAGCTGACGCCAACAGGCAGGAACAGGGAGACAGAACACTGAGAGCACAGCTGCCAAGGTTACAGGTGCGTGTGCTCAGTCAGGACAGTATGAACTGATCAACTGGGTCAAAGTTATGGGCCTTGGGAATCAGAGCATATTTTCATTTTTAATCCCTCGGAGGAAGCGACAGCATCTGCAATCCATTAACTAGCGGCTGCACGTCATTGCAGAGGAGCTGAGGGAGATATTGCAATTTAATCAGAGAAAAGCACCAGTTAATGTTTTGTTTTTGCTTGATTACAAACAATGTTGATACACTTGGTGGTGCTGGAAAGGTTAAGCTTGCAACCCCATTTGGCCTATGTTTTTCATAGGATTCAAACACATAATGCACATTACAGAAACTTCCCTTAAATGTGAGGTTTGTAGAGAAAGAAGTGTAAACAGTGGTTATAATATCCAAGTATGTGCATAGCTGCCGTATTAGTGTTTTGCTGAACAGGAACTCATCCCCCCTTCCCTCAATAAATACGTTTTAAAAAATCCATAGTTAATCATTTTTAGAACTAACTTGTGTGTTCCTGTGTAGGTGACCTATCAGCTGAAGATCCCGTGCACGGCCCTGTGCATGGTCCTCATGCTGAACCGCTCTCTCAACCGCCTGCAGTGGTTCTCCGTCTTCATGCTCTGCGGGGGCGTCTCACTCGTCCAATGGAAGCCTGGAGAGGCCACTAAAGTTCAGGTGGGTGGGGGGCACAAAGTCAAAGTCAACTTTATTGTCAATCTTCCAGTTTGTGTGTAGACAGAGAGATCGAAATACCGTTTCCCACAATCCCGAATATAAAAAATATGTGTGCAAAATGCAAATATGTACACACAGTCAAAGACACATTTTTACATGTGCACACATTAAGACCTAAATAAAAACAACAATCAATATATACAAAATAACAGTCACTTCAATATTTTGAGAATGTACATTAGTGCAAGATTGTCCATAGCAGCGTAAAAAGTGTCTGGTGCTGTTTAAGTTACATTTTAAATTATACAACCATACTGGTGTCTCTTTTTTAAAACGTTGTGTCTAATACAACATGTAACAACACAAGACAAATGAAATAAGGATAACTAAGAACATTTGACTCTAAAATAAAAAGAGAGAAAACAGAAAAGACTTATTAATAATAACTTTAGATAGGCAATAACATGAAATTACTTTATATATAATTATTTGAGCACATCTCTTATTTTTTATAATTTAATTAGACTGAAAGTACTTCATTAATCCAACCCTGAAAGTTGAACATTATTATATATTTTGATAACTGTGACTCATGCCGTCATGGTCATGGATTGTGGTTTTTATTGGCTGGTTCTACTGAAGTTGCAGGTAGTCATTTACCTCCTGTCTGTGGTCTCATGTCTTCGTTTTTCAGGTGGAGCAAAATCCTTTTGTTGGGTTTGTCGCCATCGCCATTGCTGTCCTTTGTTCGGGATTTGCAGGTAAAACTGTCAAAGGATTCTGTGGAAATTGCTTTTACCTAATTATATCCAATATTTATTTAGCTACCACACTAAATACAAATGCTAAAACACTGCCAAAATGAACACCTGCTGCTGTCCTGAAATATTTCTTTCCTCAGGTGTTGCTAAAATGGAATGGCTGTCATTGAGGTTTCAGATATGTCGTCTTGTCTTACCGTAATTCGAGATTTTTGAGTATTCACTTGTAGTTTTGTGTCCCTTTCTGCTAAAGGCGTGTACTTTGAGAAGGTGTTAAAGAGCTCCGATACTTCCCTGTGGGTGAGAAACATCCAGATGTACCTGTCTGGTATTGTGATCACCCTGATCGGTGTTTTCCTGAACGACGGTAATAAGGTCCTGGAGAACGGCTTCTTCTTCGGTTATACGCACTGGGTGTACTTTGTAGTGCGTAAGTACGACATAAACCGAGGATAATTTATATTTGATTTCACTTTTTCCCCACAGTATTTTAGCTGACACTGCTCTTTTTGCCTCCAGTCTTGGCCAGTGTAGGTGGTCTGTACACGTCGGTGGTGGTGAAGTACACAGACAACATCATGAAGGGCTTCTCGGCTGCGGCCGCCATCGTCCTGTCGACTGTGGCGTCTGTCCTATTGTTTGGACTGCATATAAGTACGTTAATATCTCAAACATAAGTGTTGGTGAACTAATGATCAGGGTTGTACCAGTACTGAGAATTAGAGTCCAGTAGTTGGTGCTCCACATTGGTTTAAAAACAGGGGTGTCAAACTCAAGGCCCGCGCAAGAGCTTGCAAAGAATAAAATATGTTTATTATATGGTTACATGCCACTTTACAGAAGTAACGTTGCCCATAAACTACATGTCCCACAATGCATCTCATTTTGTGACATGCACACTGAAGAGACTTGCAATTATTTGCCCTAGACTTCTGCTTTCAGACGTAGTTAATTATAAAGTTATTACCCTATCCAATAATAATCCAATGCAGAGGCAATAATGTAATATAATACATTATTTTAAATATATTATATGTATATTTATGTAGTCTTAAAGTTACAACCGGCCCCTTTGAGTGCAACCTTAATGCTAATATTGCCCGCGATGAAATTGAGTTTGACACTAAAACATTTCCAAAAAGCCCAGTGTCCTAGAGTCAAACAAATCCATATTCATGGATCAAAATGTATTCCTAAATTCCCATTTTTATCTAACAGAATAATCTTCGTCAATCCATATCGGTTAGTGTTTCGCCTTTAAAGAAAAAAGCTGCATTTTCACTGCAATCATCCCACCTGTTCAAATCAGCCTACTCACTGAAGTGCTCCCCATCGTGTGTTTCATTTGTGTCCACTTTGATTGTCTCCTCCATGATTTCCTGTTTGTGTTTTTATCATGCTCTGTTGCCTCTTAGCATGTTTAACAAACGGTACGGTGTCCTCGAGTGTCATAAAAGTGTTATTATGTCTTTCTGACTTATATGAATGTCTCATTTTGCTTTTCTTTCCCTCTTGTGCAGCGATCCCCTTTGCCGCTGGTGCTCTCCTAGTGTGTGTGTCCATCTATCTGTATGGACTGCCGAAGTCAGAGACAATGAAGAGGTCCCGGCAGGACTCGGACTCAGAATCCAAACAGAAACTGATCAATGTTTGAGCCGCCGAGTCTCCTGCTGATCGGGAGGGGGAGGGGGAGGGGGGGGGGGGGGGGGGGTGACCTTCTCTAGGGACCTAAAGAGCTCTTTGGAGATTTGGGATCCACTTCTGTTAATCTGCAAGTGAACACTCAGTTAAGTTGTCTTTATGTTCAGTTATATTTCAGTTGATATGAAAAAAACACACATTTGACCATAAACTGGCTGCTTTTAATTTCTGTAAATAATCTGAGGCAATCATCAAAGTCTCTAAATTAATCTTTAGCCATTAACAGCATTGACAGGACTTTGTTACTATTATTGTGGTGCCTCAATATATCTGTTTTAGGAGGCGTATAAATGTAACAAGTCCATATCCTGTAAGGTTTTTTTGTCAATCAGTAATTCGTCTGTTTTACACTGAAATGTCTATGGCCATATCACATAGTGCTAAATCTGAATGTGCCCGACTCACGGGAAAACATACTTGAAATGATGACGACCGACTGCATGTGTGATTATGTTTATAAAATCATCTCTTTAGTGTATTTTATCTTTTTGTATCACATCTGTGTCGCATTCTGTTTTTGAAAGTCATTTTAAAGCTTTTATTAAAACTGAATGGAAATAGTGGTAAAAGGGACGGCTGCTTTTTGTGCTCGGCATGTAAGAAATCCTACCAATTAACTCTTAATGGATAGAATTGATAGTAACGACTATCAGTTTATATAACGTTCAATTTCTGTTGAAGCTGTTTGAGAGGTCTAGATCAACTTTTAGATTCTGCACTTTGTGATGCTGTATCTATGAAATGATTTGTATCTTAACATGTTGGCTAAACTAACTGACACACAACAAATAATTGTGCCTGAGATTAAGTATATCCCATCGATCTTTTAGGTCAAACCAGATGCTACATACTTTCCTGTGTAGGACTCGACTCACCATTATGTATTATGTATTCAGCAGTTAATGAGGACAAAAGGAGCTGAGATGTATCACCTAGCCTGTTGTGCTTTTAGCAAAGTTTAGTGTTTCCAGCTGTCATCAACAATCAAATACTCACCGTGGTTCGCTTCGCTTGTCTGCACGGTTTCATCTACCCGAAAGGCAAGTAGTCCGGGTGTAAGCCAGGTAAGGTACGTTTATTTCTATAGCACATTTTCAGACACAAAGGTCATTCAAAGTGCTTTACATCATCAGTTACACTTAATTAGAAGACAGGGGGACACTAAATGTCCCACTGTCCTTTACTGCCAACATCGCTGCTCGACCCACTCAATTCTTCAAAACATCAAGATGATTAAAGTTCTGCTCCAGGCTCTTTTCATCTCACGCCATAAGAGCTCTGACACACATTCAGAGGCAGCAGCCAGACTGGCTTTCTACCTAGCTAAGTTCTCTCACACTGCTCTGCTCCTCCTAACTTGTTAGCAGTGGTTGCCTGAATCCGCTTCAGGAAACGACACACTCCAGCACGTGCAATTCACTTTGCAATCTCTAACTGTGAGCAGGTTTTCAAATGCACCTCGGCCAATAAAATCTATTAAGATAAGATGGACCTTTTTTAATCCCTGTGGGGAAATTCAGCAGTTTAACAGCAACAGGGTAAGAATGAAAAACAGGACAGCACAGATTCACACAGATTAATACAATTAAAAATCAAAGTGATAACAATGATAAAATGACTATAAAATAAGAAATGATGTCAAATAAACATATATACATATTGGGTCATAAATACATATTGGATATATTTAAATGTGTGTGTGTAAAAACATCAAGAAGTAAAATAAAAAAAACGTTGGCTTGAATTTAGCTAGTTTCATATCTTCATGGTTGATCACACTAAAATTGTCGTTTTGAATAAAAAAAGGCAGCTCAAAGTAATCTAATGATCATGAAATGTGTGAAAAAAATGTGAGACCAGATCTTCTGATAATTTTTATTTAAATAAAAAGGCCTTTTATTTACAGTAATAATTAAAGCAGTGTGGTACCTCAGTTGTTAAATGAACACTGATAATGTAGCTTCACATTTTATCCACCGGTGTGATTCCCAGGATCCTCATCCCGCCGGCCAGGACTGAGCCCGCTCCACTGAACAGTCGCAACCTCGCCTGTTGACATTTAGAACATAAGATGACTCTTAATTACTTGTTAAAAAAGACCCCGTCGGCGGGTCTTTTTTTTTTTTTTTACGACACTGTGTCTCAGGGCTTCTTAATATTTACAAAACTATGAATGTGTGAAACCCTCCTAACGGGAAGAAACTCAAAATTTGAAAAAAGTATTGATAATCCATAATTCAATTTTTATGCAAAAATCGGAGAATTAATTTTAGCTGCTAATGGTAGCCACCAGAGGTTAGCGCAGCTTCCGGTTTTTCTACACGTCACTCTCACTCCTTATTTGTTAACGTGTGTGGCCCTGTCTCAGGTCGAATATTTTCATTTCCTCGCTCCTCGGTCTCACCGGAAGTTGATTTGTCTGCGCCATCTTGAGTACCGTCCCATGGCTCTTATTTCTGCCGGAGGATCGAGGAGCGATAATCGAGGAACCACCAGTCCATCCTCCGATTAAATCCTCAGATACTCGCTCCGCCCCCTTACTGTGTATCGCTCACTGATTGGACGATGCAGTGCATGCACTGATCTGATGCTTCTTGACATGAGAGCAGTTTCCCAGCGGAGTGAAGAAAATACATGAAACTCACGGGACTCACTCCTCAGTTTATACCGTGTTTTGTTTCAATTCATGTATCATTTAGTTACAAATATGTGATATATCTGAACAACAAAGTGGTCAAAAATGATTGTATTCATTTGTTGGAAACATTTTCATGATCGCTTTTTTCGTTTTAAATGTTCATTTATTGTCATTTCCATTCAGTCCGTCATTAAGTGCTATTAAAATGTTAATGTGCTACATATCCACACAAACACACAAAGTGTGCAATCCAATGAATGTTAATCTAACTGGGTTTTGATAGATAATATATCTCTTTTTCTTCTCTCAATTATTTTATTTATATTGTGCACTCTAATCAATATTAATCAAACTATTGTTCATACATTTTAAGAATGGCGTTTATCTTTTTTGAGAATGAGTTCTTATTTTATTTTATTTTTATTTATTTATTTTTATTCAACAGATGATACAAATGTTTGTGTCAGTAAATGTGTGCTAACAGAGGCGGGGGTGTTTGTGAAAATAACGGGGACAGAGCTGCTGTCAGACGATCAGCTGTGCAGCGTCATCACAAACGGACGTCGCTTCACGTGACGCTCCGGAGGAAAGGACGTCCCATTGCTCTTAAAACTCATTTCCCTGCTTCTCGTGGTTTCCTTGCGTCCCTCCATGCTTCCCTGGTGGGAGGGACTAGACGCAGGGAAACGACGCAAGTGAGGGACGCAAGGATTTCATTTAACCGACCTGATACGGGGCCTGTGTGTGTGTGTGTGTGTGTGTGTGTGTGTGTGTATGTGGAACTTCCCCTCGATTCTATTGGCTCTAACGGTTAAAAAGAGGTGTCAATCATCAAAATCGAGTTTATTCTAAACTGAGGGCGTGCCAACTGCCATCTATTGTAGGTAGTAATACACTGTGTATAACGTTACATACAACCCTAAAGCTACCACTGTCTCAGATAATGAAAAACTACAAAATAAGTTACCATAGCTATGCGGATGACACCCAAATGTACGTAACAATTTCACCAGGAGACTATGCTCCAATTCAAACACTGAGTAAGTGCATTGAACAAATCAATGACTGGATGTGTCAGAACTTTCTCCAATTAAACAAAGATAAAACTGAGGTAATGGTTTTTGGAGCGAAGGCAGAACGTATACAAGTTAGCGCTGAGCTTCAGTGTGCAATGTTCAAAACAACAGATAAAGCCAGAAATCTAGGTGTAGTCATGGACTCTGACCTGAGTTTCAACAGTCACATTAAAACAGTTACTAAATCAGCCTACTATCACCTAAAGAATATATCTAGGATTAAAAGACTAATGTCACAGCAGGATTTGGAAAACCTTGTCCATGCTTTTATCTTCAGTAGACTCGACTACTGCAATGGTATCTTCACAGGTCTCACTAAAAAATCTATTAGGAAGCTGCAGCTGATTCAGAACGCCGCTGCTCGAGTCCTCACTAACACTAAGAAAGTGGATCACATCACTCCTGTTCTGAAGTCTTTACACTGGCTTCCTGTGTGTCAAAGAATAGATTTCAAAATACTGCTGCTGGTTTATAAAGCACTGAATGGTTTAGGCCCAAAATACATTTCTGACCTCCTGCTAAATTATGAACCATCCAGATCTCTCAGGTCTTCAGGGACTGGTCAGCTTTCTGTCCCCAGAGTCAGAACTAAACATGGAGAAGCAGCGTTCAGTTATTATGCTCCAAATATCTGGAACAAACTCCCAGAAACCTGCAGGTCCGCTGCAACTCTGACTACTTTTAAATCCAGGCTGAAGACTTTTCTTTTTGTCGCTGCTTTTAATTGAACTATTCATATCTTAAACTGCACTGTAACTTTTATCCATGTACTTTTTCTTTTAATGTTTATTTTATTATCTTTTCTTTTTAATGACTGATTTTAAATGCCATTTTCTTAATGTCTTTCATTTTTGTAAAGCACTTTGAATTGCCTTGTGTTGAAAAGTGCTATATAAATAAACTTGCCTTGCCTAAAGAATCTGAGCTGTCCCTATGAGGAAGTATTTACTCATTGTACAATGTTCCATGACGGTGCATTTGAAAAGGACACATAGGTATGTACTTTTAGCGACTTCCTATTTACCTGTGCAACTTCCAGACTGCTCCCTTTTACCGGCAGCTCTCTGTGTGCCGAGGCAACCAGGTGGCTGGAAGACATTGAAGAGGAAGACTTTTATTGCACTTGTGCACTTAATGACCATACGAACAGTAAAGTGCCAGTTTAACTTAAACCTCCTGTCTCACCACAGCTTCAATAAAAAGTTGACGAGGTGTTTGGGCTGCAGATCCTGGGATGATTGGTACAAAACCTCATCGTAGCTGCAAATAAAATGTTATATGCTTAAGTACAAAACATTTAGCACAACACTGACAGACGGCGTGATTTTCTTTACTTGTTGTTTGACAATAACCAGAAGTAATCGGGCATGTTTTTAGGAAAGTTATTTGCTCACCGCAGGAGGTGCTGCAGGACGATGATGCTCGTTGGCTCGAGTAGGAGCGATGGATCAAATATAAATCCACAGACACCTTCATTCCTGCGTATTAAACTGCAGGAAGAACACAACAATTATAAAAAGGTGTAAATAAAAACACTTTAGAAGACAGCTCTTGTTTATTCTATGTGTTTTGTGTCAATTACTATACATATATAGATGTACATGAATAGAAATGTTGTTTGTTTTTTTCTACCGTTAAGACAGAATAAATCCCAAGAGCGACTCTAAATGACAAATGGATTAAAGGCGGGGTAGGCAGAATATTTTGGGCATAAACTCCATAATAACCTTTCCGGCTATTGCCATTCATGTGATCTGAAAAAACCTGTATAAATTGTATAAGTCTTTTCTGGTTAAATTAAAAACTTTAAGTGCCAATATGCATAAGTTTCAAGTGAAAAATAAATACGTCTATGTATAAACTGTATGTTAGTCATAATCAGGATTTCTGAGAAATATATTATTTTAGGTGTGTGTGTATAAAATCAGACCTGCAGAGTCGAGCGTGTGTGTACTGGAGGAAGACGCCCGTGTCTCCCTGAGCCTGCAGCATCCGGTCCCAGTCAAACTTATAGTCCGAGTGCAGAGGACCTTTGAAGTCCTGAAACAAAGTCGAAAGGGAATCAATAATCTTAAAGGTCACCTATCATGCTATTTTTAGGCAATAGCATAGGTCTCAGATATATACAAATATATAAAAAACATGTCTATGAAGTGTTTTGCTCAAAATACCAAACAGATCACCCATTCTAGCCATGCCTCATATCCCTCTATTTCACTTCCTGTTCAAAAGTGCTGATTTTGGGTATAAAGCTTTAAAAAAAAAAAAAAATGGATACAAAAAAAAAGGAGGGGGCTGAGCTCATGCAGGAGATGCGACCGGCAGATACTGCGGTGATGAAACGCCATATCATGGATTATCAAGGATTCTTTCTGAAACAGTATGGAGCTCAAAGGCTTTCTCTCTTGCCGGTTATACCACAAGGTGAGTTCCTTTTTATTTCCTGCTTCTTCACACACATGCTCTCCAGTACAGGTTAGCTCTGAGTGTTAGCGATGCTAATTAGACCCTCCGGAAAAACGCGGGCAAAAATCCTTGATTATGCGATCAAACATGCGGGGTTTTATGTGATCTTATGCGGTGAAATTGCGGGAAGTTGTGAAATATGGGGAAAGTTGCGAAATATGCTAAATATGCAGAAAAAATAAATATTGGGATGTCATATTTATTTATTCTCTCTCACACACAACCTGCCACTAACGTTAAACCCCTTTACTATACAATTAAACACATTCAATGTTTATTTATTGTAAAAGCAATTGGGCTATTTTAATCTCTCTCTCTCTCTCTCTCTCTCTCTCTCTCTCTCTCACGCACACACACACTTCTCCGCCTCATTCTGTTTTCATTTAATTTCATGTTCGTTATCTGACCAGCTTCAATCTTGTAGGCTTCTCACCTCGTTTCTTGTAGCCCTCGAAAGGTGAATGTGAGTTGTTTGGCTTTCTTGTCCGCAGCAGCAGAAAGCGTTCGAATGTTTGAATGAATCAAAGTGGGTCGTCACCGTCGATGTTCTCTTATGCTCCAACACAGTTGCACGGGGTGCAGAATAGTTTCCCCCCACTTTCGTGCATGACATCGGGGTACTGCTTTGCCCGGTCTTTAGCAGAAATGTTCGTTGGTAAATGAGATGGATTTGATTTTTTCATCTTGGTGTTTTCTCTCTCGTGTGAGCTCCACACGTTCACTCTACGGTGTTGTTTACCTTCTGTGATGCGCGAGCTGATGACGTCCCGTCATCATCATCATCATCATCATCACTTCACGTCAAGACGAGTTAACCTTTTTTTTCTCAACTTTGTGTGGAAAAATGCGGGGATTATGCGGCCTTTTGAAAAATATGCGGCCTTTTGAAAAATATGCGCCATTTTGCTGATTATGCGGTAAATTCTGCGATCGCAGAATCGCGTTTTTCTGGAGGGTCTAGCTAATGTAAACATGCACCAACCATATTACGTCCAAAACAGTCGGGCATTGTTTCTGATAGGGCCGTGGGTGTAAAGCCAGCCTACATTTCCGATATTACGTCATATCGGACGCAAATCTGGATCAGCTCCGTTGTATTTTAGAGATTTGGGTACGGAGGAAAAGAGAGAGGGTTTTATTTTCTAATGCTGCGTGAGTTCCCCGACACACCGGGGACACATCTTGATGTATAAAAGACATCACAAAGTGCATTTTCCATGATAGGTTCCCTTTAAATATATTGAGCAGAAAAGCCAGATCTTTTACTAAAGTTCAAACTAACAATTTACCTGGACTATTAGTGCACTGATTCCCACTTTCTCTGCTGTGTCCTCAGGGTCGTCCATTTCTTTTGTCGCTGTGGGAAGTAAGACAGAGGTTAATCAGTTCTCTTAGTATTTGCCATTTGAAAATATTGATGCAATGTTGCGATTGTGCTAATGTTGTTGAAAACAGCTTGTTTTGCATTGACACACACTTCCTTTACAGCAATCATTTACTAATGTCCATTTAAAATCCCTTCTAATGTACCATTACTAGAATGACTGATAAATGAGTACGCCCCCTTTTGATTCGTTTTACTCGAATCAAAAGGGGGGTGCGTATGTCTAGAACTTGTTTGCCCATGAGGGAACCTTTAATGACCTTTAAGTCGTAAATAAAAAGGTGTTCATGAGTTGAAGTTTAAATGACTCCTGCTCCATCTATAAATCAAATGTTACAAACATAATAACGGATGTTTGGGGACATGCAAATGTACTTTTGGCACACAGAGGCATGCAATAAAGAACCGATGATTTAAAGTATGACTGTGTTTACTCTTTGACTGGCTCATGTTGTGCAGCATCCTGTTGCGAGCCTCGTTCAGAACGTCCTCCAGAAACACCACCTCCCCGCTGCGGGTGCTCATGCCCCGCACCAGGCCGAAGGGCACATGCTCACACCTGCAAACACACATTCATTTATTAAGAAAATCAGTATAACACTTAGAAAAAATACTCAGTTATAAGTGTGAGTGCTAGTCACAGTTTTAGCTTGGTAAGAATGGATACGTATTTTTCGAAACAGCAGTCATTTTGCAGAACGGCCCTTTTTAATGTTATAACATATTAATGGATATTATTGTTTAGCTTTACTGATGCATTAACATGTAAGCAGCACTTCAATGTTGAAGTCGGTGGAGGTAAAGCTTATTTTAACACCTGTGTTTATCAAATGATTTAAAAACTGTTTTTTATTTTAAAGTTACTAAACTGTCAGATGAACACAAAAGGAGTAAAAAAGGAGCATAACATGTCTATAAAACATACCTTAAAAAGTACATACAAATCTAAATAAAATGTTACTTAAGTGAATGAGTAAATGTATTCAGCAAAGCATGTAAACTGACACAGACAACACAGCCATCTTTGAGAGCTGTTTCTGATTAGAAACAGCGGTCTGTGGGTGGGGTGATGATTTTGTGAAGTATTGCTCAATCCATGTTTTTACATTTGGTTACAATTATAAAGACAGAGAAAATACTGTTCTCAGAAACAGAATATGTATTCCAGAGTAGAACACTTACTTGATTATATTCCCATTTTAAACATGTGTATTGTGAAAAGTAAGTAAACTACTATTTTATCTCCTAAGACCTGTATCCAACTACAAATCAATTAAACCTCCACTATGTCATGTATGTTGTTTTTCTTGCTACCTGTCAGCCCAAGAATGTCCCAAAGCACGCAGAACGTGGAACAACTGGTTGAAGTGATTGGCTTGACCTTTATCCGTCTAAAAAAAAGAACAAATATGCTTTCAATTCAGCAAAATGATCAATATGTAGCAATAAGAAGCATGTGAAGAGAGTTCAAGTAAAGAAAATAGACATTCAAGAGTTGTAAAAGTTGCATAAACATTTGATAAATTATAAGAAACTTACAGGATTTGACGTCACAAAATAATAATAATAATAATATAATTCCTTACATTTATTATAGCGCTTTTCCAGATGCTCAAAGCGCTTTACAAATACACATTACACACATCTAACGGTCATGTACTGTGGACAATACCCACAGAAGTAAATTTGGGTGAAGTGTCTTGCCCAAGGACACAACGGCGGACTGGGACTACAAATCAGCCCGAGACTCTCGACCGGCCTACTTCGGTACCGCCGGCCCACTTCGGTACCGCAAGTAATTACCGCTAGTAAATTGTCAACGGGGGGGGGGCTGCTAGTGACTTCTCCGACCGGCCTACCTCGATGCCGCAAGAAGTGAAAAAAAAAGTGGCACTTCAGTGGGAAAGTCCAGTATTTAATATGCCAATGTTTCTTTATTTTACATTTGTCTATAATTTTTTATTTCTTGCTCCTGTGTCTGTTAGTCAAACATCGTTTTCACAATCGTATTTGTCCCATTCAAATAAATGAATGAATAAATAAATAAATAAATAAAGGAATCAGTCAATAAATATAGGTAGAAATAAAAGTCTCAATTAGCAAATAAATGAAGTGGTTAATTTTAAGATTAATAAAAAGGCACATTAATAGGAAAAATGTATGAACAAGAAAATGTATTTATTAGAAAATATACCTATGTTCCTCATTATTTACCAAGCTATTATTTTCTGTTGACATTTTATTAAGCTTTTTATTTATTTTCTTTTTATTAATTACTTCATTTGTTAAAATAAATAACACTTTTTATGTTATTTTTCACAAATGAGCCTGCACTTTGTGTTTTTTATTGTTGGATTTTAATTGTATTTATGTATCTACTTTTGATTGAGTCGTGTAATTGTTTATGAATTAATGGCTGCTTTATTCTTAAAAAGACAGCAGTGTTAAAAATAGAAAGCTTGAAAACCCTTTCCTTACCACATAAATCATCTCATCAAAATTGTACTTTTCTTTTCTGTCGATCGCTGCAGCAAGATCCCTGAAATGCAGAATATTAACCGTTACTGTACGGCCACTTTCACTCAAACATCATTTCCTATGCATTATCATCTGATTACATAGCTATGATCCGTTATGTCAAGTACAGTGGTTATAAAATGTAAAAGAATTGCAGTTGTAATTGACTGTATCTCCTCGCACTGACCTGGTGATGTACAGCGTTGTACCGTCAGCGCGCTGCACCGCACAGACGCTGCTCATGTCTCCATCTGTGGACGTATCCACTACACCGGCTCCTGTCCTGAAAATACGATACGATAATACTTTATTGGTCAGATCAAGTCTGAAATGTGACTTGCATCACGGCAGCTCCATGTGTAACATCAACATAGACAAATATCAAGACACAATACATTGAACATAACGGCACAATCACTGAGGGAAAACATGCTCAAAGAGCCTTCAGCGTGCATTTGATCTGGATTCAGCTCTGTGTTCACTGTGAGGGTTGACTGGTGCACAAAGGAGTGCTTCAGTCTGACCGTATTGAATCGCGGGACCCTGTATCTCCGATTAGATGGTAGCAGTTCATATTCGCTGTTCAGAACATGGTTTGGGTCCGCGATGATGTTGTTGGATACAGCACGTCCATGTTAGCTCATGTTTTTAAAACACCAATGTCTACTGCAATGAAGTGTGTTAAAAAGTATACAAAAGAAAACACAGCTTCCAGGGTAAATAAAATGACTAAAAAGTCTTCACCGTGTGCAAATAGTATTCAATATGTGGTATTTTAAGTTGTTATAGTGTAGAGAGGCGAGTGTTTGTCAAAAGGAAGTGTAGTTCGCAGACTATTTTTTACTATAATTTTAATATTTCTCCATATCCTACTTTTTTTTTACACAATATATTACCAATAATGTGTCTGTACCTACTCTAATGCTGCACGTTTCATACTGGTTATATTGTTTATGTATAATAACTATATCTACCACTCACTGTTTATTATTGACAATACAGTCTAAAGATGTGTACAGGACAATATCACATCAATGTGTCAGTGCTCTCTGGTGGGTGGACAAACTATGGAATGAAAATATTATTCCTGGACAACAACACATACAGGGACATATCTAAAGATAAAATCAAATCAACTTCCAACACATAAGATGGTATGTAACAAAGTAACCGAAAACCAAAAAGGTTCGGAAACAAATATCTCATATTACCTGCTCCTTAATGAAAATAGATTAATAATAAATAAACAGATGCTCAGCCAAGAGAGTACTACAGGAATGAATCCTAAAATGTAGTAATGAGTCAGCATTTTAACACTTTTGTTCGACTTATTTAAAACTCTCTGACTCTGGGGCAGAAACACTTGTACACGCCTTCATCACATCCCATCTGGACTACTGCAACGGAGTCCTGTCCGGGGTTCCCAGCAAAACCCTGGACAGGCTCCAATACGTCCAGAACTCTGCCGCCAGGCTTCTCCCCCGCACCAAGCCATGGCACCACATCACCCCCACCCTCATCCACCTCCACTGGCTGCCGGTCAAGTCCCGGATTCAGTACAAAACACTCCTCCTCACGTACAAGTCCTTTCATACCCTCGCCCCCCAGTACTTATCGGACCTCCTCCATCCCTACACCCCTTCTCGGAGTCTGCGGTCCTCAGACACGGGCCTGCTCTCCATCCCCCGCTCTCGCCTACGAACGGTTGGTGCCAGGGCGTTCAGTGTTGTGGCCCCCACCCTCTGGAATGCATTTCCTGCCGAGATCCGTCATGCTGCCTCCCTGGACATCTTCAAATCATCATTAAAAACACACCTGTTCACCCTGGCCCTCGGGCCCTAGCCCTTTCTTGGTCCCACGGCTTCCTTTATTTTTTGTTTGCCCATTGATTGTCTGTTTGTTTTGTTTGTCCACCATGTACAGCGACATTGGGTCCCTTGAAAGGCGCTATATAAATATAATTTATTATTATTATTTTAGAGTCGATAGGTTTTTTTGAATGGGATTAGCTAAAATGCCTGAAATAAGGTCGTGATAAACACAAATTAAGGAGATTTTATACGATCTATGATATAAAATAAGTCAGTAAATACCTTACACGTGAATCTTTGAGCTTTCAACATTTTACAAAAAGAGGAAACTCATCTACTCAGTGGTGGTGATGTTAAAGTCCTCTTTTAGCCACACAGTGAATCAACCATCTGGGAGCAGGAAGCTGAACCACTGGCCTCATAACACATGTTTTTGCTTGTTTACATGTTTACATACTCAGAGGTTTTCAACAGGCCTCGGCTCTGCAGCTGCTGCACCACCTCCTGGGCTCCATGTTGGTGAAAGGACTCCCCGGAGTAAATATCAAAGTGGACGTTTAAACGCTGAAAAGATTTGAAAATAAACCTTACATTTGACATTAAAACAATGGATTAGAGCCAACTCAAAAGGGACATAATTGGTATTGGTATTATTCCAGCTGGTCTCACTTTGTAAACACGTTGATACTCGTCCACTGTGATCTCTCTGAACTGTTGCCATAACGACACAGCTTCGCTCTCATGCTGCTCCAGCTGTCTGAAGAAGTCTCTGGCCGCCTGCATCATGTCCTCATTGTGCGCTGCTTCCTTGTTTACTTGAACATAAACCTGCATGACAATAACAAAAACAAAAGCCTTGGTGATATTGAAGAAAACTTTGTTTTTAAAAGCAGCAACAGAAACCCCCCCCCCCCCAGTGTTTTTAAGTGGTATTATTGTTTGTGCCGCTGCAGGATTTCTTTCCATTTTCCATGAAGCTAGCATTTGCAGTTGTTTCCAAAATGCATATTCACCTCAAACAAATGCTGTAGGGGATTCTGTTTCAATTTTTCCTGGCAGCCAAATTTTCCAAACCCAGCTCCTAGCAAACCTGAAATAACATATATAAAGTTTACACAAAGAGAAGCATTTAGGACTTTATTCACCATTCAATATGTTGCGCACTATTTACTCACCAAACTGCATACCCCAGTCTCCGAGGTAGTTCATTCTGATAACATTGTTTCCAAGTGACTGCTTTAGGTTGGCAATGAAGTTACCTGGAGACGGAAATTATAATTATTTATATATATTTATGTGTAAATAAGTTCAAGACAAAACTCACCAATAATTGTAGATCTTAAGTGTCCAGCGTGAAACTTCTTGGCAATATTTGGAGAGCTGCAAAATGAAATACACATTGATTCTGTCTGTTGACAATCTGAGAGGGGAATACATGCATGTGGGGGTGATGTTATTTGTCAAGCATACCTATACTCAACTAATGTTGTTCCTTTCTTAAGAGTCTTGAAGAGTTCACTATTTAATCCAAATGTGTGATCATCCTCCTCCTTTCCAAATGGCTCCAACATTTTCTATAAACAGAAGTAGTAGAACAGATTAGAAATCGCAGTACAAGCAAACAAGACTTTGGTTTTTTACCGAAGAGGAAAATGAAACTGACAAACCTCGACAAGAAGCTTCCGATTCACTTTGAAGTGTATCACTCCATTTCCAGCAGAAATATCTTCCACCACACTGTCCTGCTTTAACTGAGACATACAACATTGATTTTAATGCAGATATATGAGATCATGTGTTTCTTATTGTTAAGGAAACAGAAATGTGCAATTCACTTTTTGATTGAAGTCAACACATTTAACACAATAACAAAACAAATACACAAACAATAATAAAACCCATTAACAACAAGCTATTTATTCTATGTGATAAATCAAGTATTTTGTATTAAATGGTGAAAAAACAGTCTACTTGTGAGCCTGCAACATCACAACTTGTATCTTTAACCAGACTTTCTCCACATGTGATCTTACCCGGTTGGCTAATTCCTCTGATTGCTGCTGGGTGTCACCACTGGATGGTAAAACCCCACTGCTCCGTAATGTGTTGATTGACAGTTTGAAGTCAGGACTCTGTCTGAGGAGAACAAGTTCAAGGAGCCTTAACAAAACAAACACATAAAGAGAGGACACACAGAGGTAATCTTAAACAAACTCAACTGTTTCCTAAAAACTGGAACTGCTGACAGAGCTGGTATGAAGACATCCTCAGACTGCGCCAGCGCACGACCCAGCTACACAGCAAAAACAGACGTATAAGATATCAATTAGATAAACAGACAGTCCTGCCTCTTGTATTTACATCCTCCAGGGTCAAGGCATGTTGCTAAGTTAGCATAGTGTGTCATCTATCAAGTCTTACAGCTTCGTTACCTTTGCTGCTATCTTTCTTCTGAAAAAACAAGCCATGTTTCGCAAACGATCTAACACGCTTCAATGCAAATAAAGTAGTTGCTAAATTAGCAACAATTACATTATGTTTAATCAATTCACATTGGTATAGCTACTGTACTTCCTCCTTAGCCACACCGCTTTCCTGCCAGCTCGTCCAATCACAAGCTTCGTTTGCTTACTACGTCACCGACTAGAATGGGTTCGTTCGATTATTTTCTCCGTTCCTCCCGACGGTGGGTAACGTCCGGTCACTTCATGACAAATGAAATATAATAAATACATATACAATTAATAAATAACATTTATACAAAAGCAACCCAAAGTGCTTCAGATAATAATTATAAACCCAAGAAATAAAAATATATTTAGACAACTATGTAAACAAATATGGAAAGGGATTCATTTTTAATTTAATTTTTGCTCATTTGAATAATCATTTGGTTTTCATCTGCTGGCCATTTACACATAAAATGCAAGCTTTTATAAAATGTTAGCATAGTGCCTGCTTTCTTATACTAGTGGACGTTTAAAACCATGATTATATGAACAATGTGTATCTTTATTAGTATGTCCTGATGGCTTGATACAAGACTGTCCATCATGAATTATTAGTTTATACCATAGCCTGTAAAGGTTGATACCCTGGTTCAAGTGTCACATAATGCTGACTTGATTTTCTTTTTAAAAAGTTATTACTGCCAGCTCCAGTATGAATGCAGGGGCCTGGCACTAAATAGTGAACTGAAGCTTAAAAATACCCAGCAATACTTACATTTCTCTACATAATATTCCCAATGATAATAGTTGATTAAGGATGTTGCTCAGTGGGTTAGTAGTACGCTGGTCTTTGGATCAAGGAGGCACTGCAGTCAGCATGTCGTTGTGTCCTTGGGCAAGACACTTCACCCTAAATAATGATGTAATTTGTTGTATGAAACACTTGAGACATTTAAGACAGACTCCTCACTTTCATTGACCTGTGGTGGTAGCATGTAAAAACAATAACCTTATCGTAGGGCTGTGCAATTCATCTTATTTTAATCGCAATTACGATTTTGGCCTGCCACAATAACGAAAACAATCGAAAAAAAACAATTATTTTGCTTTGCTAGGTTGTGACAGGGCACTGCAGCATATTTGATCTAATTTATTTTTTATTTATATATGTTTAGTAGCTTGTGGAAGTCCGCTCAAATATTTGTTGATTGGTATTTATTATTTTAGTATTGGTTTTTCCGTTGAATTATACGTTCAGGGCAGCGCCATAAAGATAGAATGATCTATTATATGGCTCTGGTTCAGGGTAATCAACAGTTAAAAAGATACTGTTCAAATTATTATTTGTATTTGTTTTAAAGTTCAATGAACGGATATTTTCAAAGTCAATGAATAATCGTATTTAATAATTGTGATATCAATTATTGACCAAAATAATCGTGATTTTTGCCATAATCGAGCAGCCCTACCTTATCGTAACAAATTATGTGACAAAACACAACACAAATACTTGTGTAAACACTTTATTTGTCTGCTCTTCTTGAATCAAAGCCCCTTTATACATACAGCAAATAAAATCAAGACATTTTGGTACAATGAAAATAGGTCAAGCAAAAAAAAAGAGAATACAGTGTATACAAATGTAAAAGCAGGAAGTGCCTGTTCAGATTAAATGCTGAAAAAAGCCAAGATGCCAGGAGTCCAGTCTGAAGGCAGCCTTCGCTCGTCCACTTGTCAATGTTGAATCCCTTTTTTCAAAAATGTACATCGAGATGTTAGTCATAAAATCCTCTGTGAAATAACTAAATTAAACAAAAACGTAATAAAATCAAAAGGCAAAGTGTGTTTGGCAGTCAGCCTTTTACAAAGGCATCAGAACAAAGCCAAATAAATATTGACACGGCGGTTAAGAGGCAACAGGTAGAGTCACAGAGAGAGAGTCCTTAAACAAGTCGGCAGCAGGAAGCCCTCCTAACTCTGGCAGACCCAGCCAACGCCACAAACTGAGTTTATGGCACAGTTAGGAGAAAAGTCCAACTAGACCCGGAGAATTTTGCAGCAAATTGGATTCCTTAACGTCGAGGCCCACACTCAGGAAACGTCTGCAGAGGAAGAAGACGACACTTCAATACAAACACATTTTGAATCGCTTCCTCAACACCTAGCACACGTGTCTGTCTCTAGAACACACACCACAGACGCAAGGTATTTGTTTGGGTTAAGACCTAGTATGATTATATTGTCCTCCATTGTATTCCCCTGCTTTACTGTGTTCTCCTCACATTACGTCTCGGAGCAGTCAGAGATAAAAAAGGGGTATAGGGTTCTCTACAAGCAAGACCTTCTGGATTTATTTGAATGTATTTATCTTTATTTGAATCGGGCCTGTTTAGCTACACATTGGACGAGCAGCCGTCTACTGTGCACAATGTACACACACCAGAAGTGACTCATGTCTTACACAACAGGACCAAACTTTGCTTTCAGGGATCGGTAAGAAAAACAAAATACAAATACCATAACAAATAAAACAATAAATATACTCACAGCTGGCCGGCTGCTCTCCGAACCTTCGCATCAGTTGGTCGTGCGTGAACTTGACAAACGTGTCATATTGCTCTGTTGGAAGAACACATTCATTAGACAATGTATGAATGACTCACTCCACATTGTTCCACATATCTTTTTTCACTCTTTCATACCGGCAAGCTTTGTCGTCAGAATCTCGTCGTACTCCTCGCGGATTTTGTCCTCTCGCTCTTTCAGCAGTCTTTCACAAATCATCCCAACCTGCCGGAGGGAAAATAAAGGCTGCTCTTTCCTGACGGGAGACGAGGCACCGGAGGACGTACCTGTTAGGAGAGTTGAGATCACACGTTAATGCAAAACAGATGAGATTACACACAGACTTACAACCTGGCCAGGCTCATATTACAATACTTAGAACATTGATATCATCCGGCTGCCAAGCAGGCATGGCAACACAGTTATGCATAACCTGATGTAAGCTCCTGCTCGAGCCTCAGCTTTCTGAGAGTGGGTTTAATACAAAATAAAAAAAACATTATAAAAGAAAGTGAAAGGATAAAGGGACTTTCCATCAATACCATTCCTCTACTCAGGGAGTGGCTAACGATGTGGGATTACCCATTGTTGATGGCCAATTCAAAAGTAAATAGAGAGGCGAAGTCCCTCCCTTTCCGGGGGACCTCCATGGGACCTTATTTTGGAAAAATCATGTATTGAAGTCAATGGAGAGAGAAAGATTATCTTTTGATCCCGTTTGAATTGTGCAACGTTATGTTTGTCAATTTAAAAGATAATTTTGTAAGTCAAAAAAATAAAAATGTGTCGTAAAACGGTGAAGTAACACATTGTTTTATGTGAAGCGCTCAATGAACTACAACTCTGGTCTTGCATACGTCACCAACACCAAGATGGCCGTCACATTGGCACATTTCACCTTTCTTTCAGAATGAAGTGAAAAGTATTAAAAGAGGTGAAAATCACAAGTCTGGGCATGTTGAGAGCTGTACACACACACGGGGAGTTAGTCAGTTCCGTAAGAGCCGGCATGCGGACCGGCTTTACAAGGTTTCGGTGAGTAACACGAGTGTAATGTACGCGACTCTGGGATTTGTAGTCTTTCTAGTTGTGTATTTTTCATAGTCTTATATTTCAACAGTTTTAAGACAAACTATGACTTTTTTGACATGGAAATTATTTTTTACGATTGACAAACATCATATGTGTAATTCATGGCACAATTCAAACGAGATCGAAAGATACGTTTTCTCTCTCCATTGACTTCAATACATCATTTTTCAGAAATCAGGTCCCATGGGGCGGAAGTAGATGGGCGGGACTTCGCCACTCTATTAAAAAAGGCCATTCTTTCTGAGTATCAGGATGGTAACTGCGTGCTGTTGTCAGCTAATAATATTCAGGTGGACATCCTAAGCAGGACATTAACTAACTAGATCCCAATAAGTGTATGTTTGAGTTTATCAGTAAAGGAATGGTTTATCACAGTTGTTCTAGGTTTAAATGCATCTGTGAAGACTTCTGAATATCCTCACTAACAAGGATGGTAGCTACCTGGCAGGGCTGATCCACTCTGGTTCTGCAGATCCAGAGGACAGCAGCTGCTTTCCTGCTGGAAGGTGCTGTCCAGGTGTCGTCGTTTCTGCAGCCGCTTGTACTCCTGTTTGATGTTGTGTAGGATTTGCTCTGAAACAGACATTTGCTCCATTACAAGGGACATCTTCATACAGAGGTGCTGCAGAGATCAACGATCATGTGATGTATCCAGGTAGATCAAGACAAACAATTGAAGAGATAGCTACTTTCTGTAAGCATAGAATACTGCATCCATAAAATGTGTAAGCACTACAAAACATTGTTTCCTTTTTTATTTACTGAAGTGGAAAATCTATAACATATGTCAAGTGATGCATCAGTGTGAGGCTCTTCAGAAAATGGAGCACACAATGAAACTAATATAATCGAAGACAAACTCAAATGTCTATCTTCTAATAATTTCGAGGCATCAATTATGTTCAGAAGACAGCTTTAATAATTGACACAACAGTCAAACCATTGCTTCCTGCTCTTCCCACACTTCACTTCCTCAAACCATTGTTAACTATTAGTACAATGAAAGTATTCATTTATAATTACTGCCGAATTTACAATTAAGCAATAAAGATTCACATGAAATCGTCTATATGTGAGTCTTCCATCGCAAAGGGATAAACAAGAACAACACTCCTTTAACTTGACAAATTACCTGTGGGGTTTGGCTTTAACAAAACGAGACACCGGTACACAGCTAATAGGGAAAGCTAACCGTGTCCAGTTTACACTTAAGAATAGTTTTCCCATAATGTACTTGGGATTACACTGAATTCTGAAAATGTGGATTGAAATTCCTACCTGTGGTGAGTCTTGACGACACTTCCCCGAAAGGCGAGGGCTCCATACGCAAATACTTCTGTGGTGAAGAGACTGGAGACATGATCGGGGTGCACCTCCTCCTTTTTGGGGAAGCCTGGTTCATCAGTGGATCAAAGTCCATACTCCTCTTCAGGGTAGCCCCGCAAGCCATCACGCAAAACGGTGTCTTAAAAAAGTATTAATAGAAAGCT